AAAATTATTTGGAAAGTTTAACGCAAGCTTTGTTGCCAACCACGTTTTTGCAATAAATATATTTGGAAAACCCCGTACAATTATTAAAGTATATCGGTATACAAAGGTTAACGGTATAGTTTTAATATGCTTAACAACCAAAATAACGGCCATAAAATACCGTACGCTCCGTATAATTATTTTTAAAAAAGGGCAAATAAATAGGGTTTTAATTATTACTTTATTAAAAATCGATAATTTCCCGCAACGGGAGCGCGTTGCGAATACCCATATAAAGCGAAAAAAAGGTAATATTTATTTCGGGGGCAGGTTTATTGGAATCGAAAGCGTTGCGGCGGCGTTCGTTGCGCGCTTTACGCTTTTTTTCGGCGAAAGTTTTTTTGCCGCGGCGGTTAAAGCCCGCCGGGGGGTTACCGGCAAAACGCTTGCGAAAGTTTTAAAAGGTTGCAAGCGCAAAAGGGCCCGATAAACCCGCAATATTTAAAAGGTTTACCGGAAGGTTACCGGCAAAACGATCGTTAAAAATTTAAAAAATTAAAAGCTCCGGCAAAACCGAATTCAAATTCGATTAAATTACAATAATTAAAAAAAATACCGGGGGGTTGCTAAAAAAGGCCAACGGGCTAGCTGGAACCGAAAAACCCGAAGCGGATACCCAAAAAAATATTATTTTCTTTACGTAATTAAATACAAAGGATAACATTTGCAATTACCGGTTAAATCCAAATGTTTAAAAAGAACGGCTAAATACCGATTACTTACGGTTACAATCGTTAAAATTATTGGAATTGGTTGTTAAATATACAAAAAGGAAAAAAAAAGGGCTCGTAGCTTTAAACGGGAAAAAAAGCCTTTTATATGCCGGTACGGATTTACTTTTCCGAATACTACAAAATTTTACAGCCGGTTTTTTTAAACGTTGCCGGGCATCGGGGCGGCTTAACGGGATACCGTAAGCTACCGGCTACTTACGGGGTTGCACGCGCGGCATAAACGGTTTAGGACAAGCCGTATCGGGAAAGGGCAATATGTTAAAAGCACGGGCAAAACCGCCCGGCAAAAAGCAGGAAGCGTTAAATGCACGGGCGAAACCGCCCGGTAAAAAAAAAAAAAGGGGCGCTAGCAACCAACCGGGCACGGACCCCCCGGGAACATGCCGGCAAATTACCGGTATTGCGGCCAAAGCATAATAACAAAGCTAAAAAATAAGGTAAAGTTTAAATTGTACGAAAGCGTTTGGAGCGTAAAAAATTTAAAAAACCGACCCCGGGTGCCCGAAAGGGCACAAAGGAAAGGGAGGTTAAAAAAGGAATAATCTTTGTTAGCGATAGCACTTTTGGTAAGAAATTTACGGAGGCTTAACAAAGGAAATACCGCATCCGGCCCGTAACCCGGTAACCACCCGCCTTTGCACCGATTAACCCTTAACAGCAGGGGGACCGCTTTTCCGATGCCTTAAGCATTTAATATTTATGCCTAAGGCTTTTTTATAACAATATATACTATTTACTTTGTAATATACCCTTTAAGCGAGCCTTTTGGGTTGTTTGTAAATAAAACAAAAAGAAATTGGTTGCTATGTTAATAGCGTGGGATTTAAAAACTTACCGCGCTTTTAAAGGTTAATTGTGGAAGCGCATTAGCTTTAAAAAGTAACGAAGCAAGCGTTTCCCGCTTTTAAAAGGTAACCGTAAAAGCGCATTAACTTTAAAAAGTAACAAAATAAGCGCTCCCCGTTGTTAAAAGCAACGAAGCAAATGCTTTAGCTACAAAAGGTAACGAAGCAAATGCTTTAGCTATTACCGGGAAAAGGTGGGCGTAGCAATTAAAACTTTTTTTTTTCCATTTCGTTCCGGCCTTTTTTTTTTTCCTTTTTACCACCATTTTTTTACCAATCCGTAAGTCCTTACGCTTTCGTTTTTATCGTTTAAACTTTTATTAATACAAAAATTTTTGCAAAAGCAAAAGCAAGCAATTGTAAATGCTTTACGCGATGGCGTAATGTTTTAAAAACGTTGTGCGGTATTAATAAATTGGCTGGAAAATAAATATTGCCGGTAACAAAACGACGCGTGCAACCGTTCGAAAGCGCGCTAAGCGCGAAAAGTTTAACCGGGCTTAAATTTAAAAAAAATAAATCGTAACTTTTTGCTTTTTTACTAATTTATCGCTTTTTTGCTAATTTTGCTTTGTACGCGTATAATACGGATTTGCAAGCGGTTATAGCTGCTTTAGCAATTAAAGCTAAGCAAACGGAAAAAGCACTATTTAAAAAAAGGAAAAAAGCTTAGCAAATTAAAAAAAACAAGCAAAAAAAAAGTAAGTCCCCCGCGGAAAAGGACAAGCAACGGGATACAAAAAACGCGCAAAAGCAGCAAATTGCCCGCGAAAAGGCTTAAAATAACGCCCAAACAATTAAAGCAATAAAAGCGCGTACGTTCGCCGAAAGCGCTAAACGGGTTAAAATTAATCGGGCTCGTTACGCTAAGCGGATGGAGGTTTTGCGCCGTTTTTTAATTTAAACCCCGATTAATACTGCCGTAACCGTTTTTAAGCTTCCGGTTATTTTTGTTACTTTTTGTACCCTTTGTCTTAATCCCCAACCTAACCCGACCGGTGCTTTTTAAGCTCCGGCTAAACCAAGCAAAAGTTTTGGGCCCAATTAATTTGTTCGTTAAACGATTAAAATCGATTTTAATTTCGATAAATTCGTTAATCGGTTTATTTAAAAAAATAACGATAATAACGATAAGCCCGTTGTTTTTTCCGATACCCAAAAGCGCAAAGCGGGTAAAAAAACGAGGGTAAATAGTTAAATTAATTCGTCCCCAACCGTTTTTGCGGGTTTTATGCTAACTACCCCTTTCCTTTCCGTTTTAATCTTTAAAAAAAATGCTATTTGGCCTTTTTTTTTAGCGAAACCGTCGATTTTCTTTTAACGGGAACGTTTTAGCTAGCTTTCCCGATAATATTATTTCCCGCGCGGTTTTATACGATAAGTACATTAAAAGCTTTTTAATAAAATTTCGGGGCTTTTGTAACAATAAACCCATAGCGCGTTCCTTTCGGGATGGTCGTACTTTACGGTGTATTTAATGTGCTTAAAGCAATTACCGTTGCGATTTTTTCCTTTTTTTGCCCCAATTGCGTATTGCAATTATTTTATTCCAAAAAGAGCTTTTGGGTAGCTTTTGTTTTAAAATTAAAAAGTTTAAAAAAATGGTAAGCTATTTTTTCGAGCCTTACCCAAAACCGGGCAGCAAATAAAAGGATAAAACCAAAAAAGGAAATAAAAAAGCTTTTCGTCGAAGTAATTTTGCTTTTTGTAATTTAACTTTAAAAAAAAAGGAAAATGGTAATAATAACGAAAAAAGTTAAAAAAGTAACATTAAAGCCGTAATAATTTGGGGTTATTTCCTTTATGGAAATGCTTTTATTTACCAAATAATGGGTAAGGGCTAAGGCTAAGATGGAAAGGAAAAATGGACAAAAAAAAGGTATAGCGCTTTTAAAAGCTGCACGCGTTATAATTAGGTACCGTTTTGTTATTTAAAATTGGCATGCTTTATGCTTATTAATAAAAAAGAAATTTGCGTTATGCCTTTATGCAAACGTTACACGCTTTTAGTATTTGCTTCGAAATTTTTGGCTGCGTGTTAAATTTGCCGACCCGTTTTTGGAAAAGTCGTGCAATTTTAAAATAGCTTTAAATATTTTAAATTTGTAAAGCGGAAAGTTTTTGGTAAGCCCGTTTGTTAGCATAAAAACGGTTTTAAAATATACCACGTCGAACGTTTTTTTTTGGTACTTTTGGCGTAGCTATATGTTTATAATATCCACGTGCTTTAAAGCCGTATTAATGCGGGTGCCCTTTTTAATTACTAATTGGATCGTTTGTATGTTATTACAATAAAGCTTTTAAAAAGTATTAATTTTCAAGCGCAAATTTCGAAAAAGCCTTTGCATAGCGATAGTTTTTTTTTCGAGCTTTATAAGCGCTAAAAGCTTTGCTTTTGTAATAAACGTTGTAACGGTAGCTTGTTTTTTTGCTTTTTACGCTACGGGCTTTCCAAATAAGAATATAACGTATCCTTTAAACGATTTTTTCGTTTTTTTATCGTTGGCAAAAAAAAGCGTTTAAGGCAAAAAGCAAATGGTTGGACTTTAAAACGTTTTTTAACCGGATGCAATAGGATTTCGACCCCTTTAAGTACAAAAGGGTATGGTTTGCCGCTTTTAAATGCTTTTTATTTGGGTTTGTAAAGTATTTGGAAAGTTTTGCGCTCGCAAAAGCAACGTTTGGGCGGATGGTAATGGCCGTATAAAATATAAACCCGATTTTTTTTTGCATAGCCAAAACCTCGGCGGGTATCGCTACTTTTAAATTTTTTTTAAGCGTTTGGTTAGGCAAAGGGAAGCGCTTTACGCTTTTATTCCTAAAGTTAAAAGTATTAACGATTTTGTTGATGTAAAAATCGTAATGCAAGGTTATTATCCGTACTTTTTTATCCTTTACGATTTAAACCTTAAAAAAGATTTTAAGTGGTTCCTTTTTTATTTTGTACTTTTTTTTAAAACCGTTTAATACTTTCGCTACCATTTTTAAATGCGTAGCACGGTTAAGGATAATTATATCGTTAACGTACAAAAAAAAAAAACCTTACGTTTTGTGCTTATAAACAAATAAGGCTTTTCCGTTAACGGGGTAAGCTTTAGTTTTTTAAAGGTTTTTTTAAAAGCTAAGTATTATAATTTCGGTAAATTTTGTAGCCCGTATAGGGCTTTTTTAAGCCGGGTTACAAACCTTTTTCGGTAATACCCAAAAAGGAATTTTACGTAAACGGGTGTATGGTTATCGCCAATTTTTGCGTAAAAAAAAGCTTTGCTAACGTCGATTTAGTGCGCTTCGAAATTAAAATAAACCATAATTGCTATTATAATTTTAAAGCTTTTAATTGCAAACGTAGCAACGTAAATCTTTTTTAAACCGTTAAATTATTAATTACTTTTAATTACCGCGCGGGATTTATAGTCCGTAACGTAACCGTTTTCGTTAAATTTATAAATAAATACCCAAACAATGTCGATAATTTTATTACCAAACAAATTTTTTGGAATTTTTTCCTAAACTTTTTTTTTTAATAGCTTATTAATTTTCCCGAAAGCAAATTATTTAAATTCCTTTTTATACGGGTGCGTATTAAACTTTTGCTAAAATTTTGGAATTCGTTGTAATTCGTTTCGGTGCAACCGTTTGTTTTTTTAAAGGTTATTGCGCTTTAATGTTTTCGTTACGGTAATTGCAATTATTTCGTAAACCGGGCGATAGCCAAAATTATTTTTTTTAATCGCCGTTTGTTAATTAAACAAATACGTATCGAAAAAGGCTCGTTAATTTTCGTTTATTAAGCTTGTTTTAAAGCAACGTTTTTAATTTCCGGTTCGAAAGCGTTAAACGCTATCGCTAGGCCGTAATAAAAAATAACGTTGTTAAAATTATTGCGTTGCTTGCTTTTCCTTTTTTTTTTTTTCTTTTTTTTTTTCCTTTGCGGCCGTACGCGTTGCGGCGCGGATCGCTTTGGACGTAATTATCGGCGAATCCGGTAAAAACGCGTTAAAAAAAAAGGCTTTGGGCGAAAGCAAAGGGCCCGTCCCTTTGCGGGGTTGGCCTTTGCCCCTTTTAACCGGAGGAAAAAAGGAAAGCGGCGCTTTTTGTTCGTTTGGGTTTGCTTTAAACAAATTTTTAAAAGCTTTAAACGCTTTTAATATCGCGATTGGGGGCGCCGCAAAAGTGCCGTTTGTGGTTGCGATTAGCATATCCGGTCCTGGGGTAAGCAAGGACCGGCTTGTTGCTTTATAAGGTAAAGCCAGCCCTAACGGTTTTAGGGGTTATTTTTCGGGCTCGTCGTTACCTTTACCCCTTACCAGCGGGAGGTTATTGCTTTTTCCGGGCCGTATAAAGCCGTAATACGAATTGCCCATACGTAAAAAGCCCGTATTACGCATTTGCTTTACTTTATAGCCATTTTTTAAAGCATTTAAAATTAAAAATTTATGCGCGTTTGGATCCGGCCCGTTAACCGAATCCTTTGCGGTTTTAGCCTTTGTAATTACGATAGGATTTGGCTTTTTTACCCCCGATTTTTAACCTTAATGTTCGGTAACAAAGGTAAGTGCTTAAAGCTTTTCCGGTTGGAAAAGCTTTAGCGCATTAGCAATTTTTTTTCGGGTTGCAAACGGGTTTTTCGTTTCGTTGTATTTAACTAGCAGGTTATAAATAACTACGTTAATCGGGTCCTTTTTTTGTTTGCCCTTAAAAAAGCTTTTTTTATTAAATTTAACGTTTTTTGTAATTATTACTTTTTTTTTTAACGGGACCCAAATCCGGTAAATGTTAAAAGCTTGGTAATTTATTAAATATCCAACCCCGGCACGAAAATTAATTTTAAAATGCTTAAAATCCGCGTTATGGAACTTTTTTACGTTTAAAGGATAAGCTTTGCACCCGTAAGCGTAAATGCCGTCCCAATCCGGTTTTAAATTGGTTGTTAAACCCGTAAAAAGCTTTGGGGCGTAATGCCGGAATTACCCCCGAAATTAGCTTAAAAGGATATTGTTAAAAGCGCGCATGCTTTTTAACGGTAAAGAATTTATATTTTTTAGCTAAACGGTAACGTAAACCGTTTTCGGCCATAAATGTTTAAAAAGTTTTGCGCTTTTGCGCATACGTATCCCTTTCGTAATAACGTCCTATCCCGTGCGCTTAATTATCCCGTTGGGCTTGTAAGTGTATAACGGTAAGGTTTTAATAACGATGCCTTTAGCTTAAGCCCATTTTTTGTACTTTAAAAACCCTTTTACAAATATAATAAACTTTTTTTGGTCGTATTTAAAAATAGCAACAAGCAATTCGTACTATCTTTTTACTTACGTTTTTTATTTTTTAAAACTTTGGTAACCGTTGGTCCCTTTTTATTTAAAAGTGTAAAGCTTTAAATTTTGCCGCTGTATTTGTCCATTAATAGCAAAACCCAATTTATCCTTAACTTTAACTTAGGGTAATTAAATAGGTTAAACCAAACCTTCCAAAAAGGGCGTATAGCCCTTTTTATAAAGCGCTTAAAAACAACGGCTATAGCATAAATTATTGCGCATGCTTCGCATTTAATCCGTTTAAATCCTTTAATTTTAACGTTTCGGGCGTTCCAAACGAAAGCTTTTAGCGCTTGTAATTTTAAATAACCATTGCGCAAATGCTAAAGGTCGGCGGTATCTTTTCGCGGTTTCGTAAAGTTCGAAAATGAACGCCACGTGTGCGTAACACGCTTGCGGCGTAAAAATTTTTTAATTGCAAAGGTTAAAACCGTATTTTTTGGGAAAAATTGCAACGTAATTAATACAAAATAAATAGCAATAGGTTTGTATTTATAAAATATTACGTTATTTTTGCGCTAAAAGCGTTTAATTACTTTCCCGTTAATAACTTTTTTAATGCGCAAAATTGCGTTTTTCCCGCAAAACCACACCCTTTTAGCGTTTAAACGGGCTTTCGAAATAATATTAATATAAAAGCTTTCTATTAAAGCAACGTTGTAAAGCTTAAAGTTTTTGCTTCCGTTTAAAAAGCTAAAAAGCGTACGAATGCTACGTTTCAAAATCGGAAGGTATTAAATGCCGCATTAAACCGTTTTGGTACCGTTTAACGATTAAAACAACCTTTTATTAAAGCGCTTTTTATCGTTAACGATATAAAACGAATCGCAATTGTTAAATAGCGTGCTTTTAAAATAAATATTTTTTATAATATTAAGGGCCGAAAAAACGCTTTAAAACAAAAGCACTTTAAGCACGGCCGCGTTTAAGTCCCACTTTTTTTTTAAGGTTCGAAAACCGGAATTTAACGCGCTTTTGGCTTGCTTCCTTTAAGCAAAATTTTTAAACTTGTTTTTGGAAAGGAAAAATTTTTTAAATAATTTTTAACGGTTTTTTTCCAGGAACTTTTTAATTTTTTTGCATTTTTCGTTGCTTAACTTGTTGCGGAAACGTTCGAAATTGCCGGTAAGTACGTAAACGAGCTTCCAGCAATTTTTCGGCTTTTAAAAATAGTTTTAAATGCAAACCGGGCATTCGTACGTTATTGCGTTATTTCGTTAAATGCTTTTAGCTTTTTCGTTTTTATTTTTAAATGCGCCCCCGAAAATTAAAAACGCAAGCTTTTTTTTAGTGCCCAAATTATTAATGCGGTATTAAAAAAAAATTGTTAAAAATTTGGTAACCAAAGTATCCATTTTTCCCGTAAAATTGCCCGTAGCTACTTTTTAACGGTAACGTTTTGTTTAAAAAGGGTCGAAACGCTCCATGTACTTAAAAAAGTTAAGCATGGGCGTAAAGCTTTGTACTTTAAAAACGTTTTTAATTTTGGCTTAAATAAAAATCGCTTAAAATTTTAGGAATTATTGGTTAATATTTGTAATGCTAGCGGCCTTTTTAAACGTATTGCGGTACTTTTAAAAAATTATTTAAATTTTTATTATAAAGGTAAAAGCGTAAAGCGCTTTTAAGCAAATAATAATGCTACGGAAAGTAACGTAATTATTGGTTTAAGCTTTTAGCTGCGCGTTTGCAAGCGCGATAAAGTTTACAAAAAAATTAATCCATTTAAAAAGGGTTGTAATTTTTTTCGAAACGGTTTTGCTTGCGGTATCCTTTGTTTTAAGCGTTTTTTTGTGCTTGGTTTTAAAATTACCTTTGGTAAAAACCGAAAGGGCTTAGAAAAGTTCGGAATTAAATTTTCGCGTAGCTTCGCTTTTGCCTTGCTAAGCCTTTAAACAAACCTCCTTTTTTTCGGTCGAAAGGATCGTTTGCCAAGCTAAGCGTTTAAACTTATGGTTTTTAACGTGCTTAGCCCGGGCCTTTGCTGCGAAAAAGTTAAAATCCAGGGTTTCGTTGGCCTGTACGTTGTTCGGAAACTTTAAATTAAAATTAATTTGGTTTTAAATCCTTAGGATTAATACGTTTTAACGGAACGCCGTAAATTACGTAAGCCATTGCTTTTAATTTTTAAGCAACGCTATTACGAAAAAATCGTTATCCGTGCTATTTATAATTAATAGTAACCGGAAGTTTGTAAAAGTAAAGCGGTAAAAAATAAAGGGTTAAAAGCTTTAAAAGCGTAAAAACGTAAAAATTAAAAAAGTGGAATTTAATAAGGGTTTTTAGCAACGTTCGGGATTAACAACGAAGCTTGCTTCGGCAAAAAAAATTTTGTTAAAGGAGGTTTTGGAAGCGTAAAAATCTTTCCGTAAAAAAATCGCGGAAAAGAAAAGGAAAATAAACGCGCTTGAAAAAGCGCGTTTGGGAACGATTTAATAAAGGTAATAAAAAGGGAATAAATCCGTGCTGCTAAGCCTTTTACTTTACGTTAAAGGGTTTAAAAGTCGCCGGGTTTATAATTGTTGTAAGCAAAAGGGATAAGCACGGTATAAGGCTATTTCGGTTAATATGCTTTAAAAAAGAAAGGATTTAAAGTGCAGGGTCCCGTAAGGGCCTTTGCCCTTTATATACACGTAACTCCCTGTCCTTTTTGCTTACTAAGCTTCCTTTTTAACGCCTGGAAGCGTTATACGCTTCCAGGCAGGGGGACCGCTCTTCCGATGCCTTAAGCATTTGATATTTATGCTTAAAGCTTCTTTATAACAGTATATACTGTTTATTTTGTGACAAAAAATTTAATAGCGTTATTGTAAAATTGGGCGTAAATATTCCAACGAAATCGAACGTTCCGCGTATAAATTTCGATGCAATTTATTAACGTAAAATTGCTAAACCCGCTACGCTTAATTTGGAAATAATTAAAAGCAATATTAAATACGAAAAATATTTTAATAAAAATGTTAATAATAATAATATCGCGGCAAGCTTTAATTCCGGAATTTCCCGCAAAATAACGGAAAGGCTTTACCGGGGCCGGGGTATTATTCGGGAAATACGCTTTGCAAGCGGCTTTAAATTTAGCGTAAGCGCGGCGCTCGTACTAAAAAAGCTAAACCTTCCAATCTTATCCAGGGTATTAACAACGCACCGGGAACGTAAGGAATACGATAAGGCAAAAAAAGAATTTATAGCTTTTATTTTGCCCGTAAAGTTAAACGTTTAAGCGTAATGCTTTTTGCGGTTCGTAAAATTATTATCGGCAATAAAAGCAAAACTTACAAATTTAAACTTTTCCGCGGCGTTAAATATACGTTGGCCCAATTTTAAAACGCCCTTTTCCAACGCAAAAGTGCATTATCCGTCCTTGCTAACCTTTTTTTTTAAATAGCAATATATACACTTTTTTAATTTAAAATTTAAATTAAAGCAATTTATTAACAAATTATCCGGAAAAATAAAATTAAAAAAAACAACGAAAAAAATTTACTAAAATTCTGCATGCAAGCTTTGTTAAAGTTAATTTTGCGGGCCATTATGCGCATGCACGTAATATAATTAATTAAACCGCTAAAAACATTGGAATGGGTTAACGAAAAATCGCAAAAATGTAAAAAAAACCATATACAAATAACGGGCTTTGCGCTTTTTAAAATTGCCCGTTACTTTAAAAGGAAGTAAAGCAAGCCTTTTTGTACCACTTTTCTTTTTGGGCGTTATAATACAATTGCAAACCGCGGAAAGCCAAAGCGAAATATTAACAAAGCGCTAAAAATGTACGGTTTTACAATTAAACGTTAAATGGGCTGCAAAATAACGAAAGCCAAAAAAGGAAAACTTATAACGGTTATTGCTATTGCTATTTTGCAATTGCTAATGGTATTTTTTGGTAAAATTGCGTAAAGGATTGGGAAAAAAAAAGCGGAAAAGGCCGCGATATATTAACCCATTTGCTAAAATTAACAAAAAAAAAAGGAGCAACGGGAAAGCCTTAAATTGGCACGAAAACGTGCACCTAATAACGCAATTTAAATGCAACGAACGAACCAACTTTCGACCGGACCACAATACTTCGTTTCGAACAACAATAACTTTCTTTTTTACCGAACGTTTGGAAATGCGAAAAACACTTTACAAACAATTACTTACGAAAACGACGCGGAATAAAAAATACTTCGAAAGGAAGGAATTTTTACCCGGCTTTACACCAAACAGCTATCGGCTGGAAGCACGGTTTTTACCTTTAAATAGCTACCCCGATCCGTAGTGCTCCCCATGGGCTATACAGCTCGAAAGGGGTAAATAAATTTATATATATGCGCTGCACCAAAGCAACCTTGCGGTACTTTTAACCCGCGCTAAGCCCCGCAACAATAGCGCTGTGCTGCCCCGGTAATAGCTTATATCCTAAGCTGCGATTGGTATTCAAAGCGGTACCAAAAGTACGTATTGGAGAGGGGCGATTGAAGATGGTGTGTAGGATGAAGAGGGCGTCGCGTTGTGGGGGCTGACGCGTTTTTTTATCCAGACTACTTTTGTGGGGCTTTAGCATCGGGTTCGGTTGCATCGGCAGACGTCATGCTAAGGCGGGTGGTGGGGCCGGAAAGTGGGTTGTCAGACCGCTGGGCCAGCCGCAAGAGCCGTGATACGGCAGTCCCCAGTTGGTCCCGCACAGAAGGCGTGCAGCGCCGAGAGGGATCCGTGGCCCAAGAGCGATCGGCATTGAGGGCGGCCAGAGTGAGAGTGGGGCCTCAAGGCCACTTGCCATTAGTCTCCCAAATAGGAAGGATATCCCGACGAGTGGTATTGTGGAATTTTCGGGTTACCAGTCTGGGACAGAGGCTGGGATAGAGGCTGGGATGGGAGCCCTTCGTGGCGTTGGCCCTGCCGTCGGGATGCAGTCGGAGAAACCTGATGGAGTTAATGGCCACGCGCCCGAACTTGAGGTCAGCCAAGAAGCAGAGACCTTGGGACGTACATGGAAAGGAACCGTTTTGTCAGCTCCCACATGGAAATTTGGCACAAAAAGTTGCAATGAGGCTCAAGACCTGGGCAGAATGGAATCCGTCGGGTGATTGTTGGTCGTCGTTCTTGTGCCAGCCTTTTCGACGCCAAATCTGGTTCCCACCCTGTCACGTGGCACATACGTCATTTATTTGCTTCTGCAGGTTCCCAGACACCTATGAAAGAAAGCGCCAGTTGCCCGGCCTAAAGCTTGAACGTCCTGATGGGGGGCAACGAGTATCGGTCGCTCGCTGTATCACGAGGACGGTTATAACCGCGTGCCTCCACCTCCGTTCCTGTAATGTTGCAAGGATATAGACCCACTTGGTAACTACTAGCCACTAAGCGGGGGCCTTTCCCCGTTGTTCTACCCCCTCTCCCACATCCCGCCATATATCTAGCTGCCCCACTGGCCTGTGTAACAAAGGAGGAAGAACAAAACACACTTGGTGACGTGGATTTCAGGGCCAGGGGTCACCCTGCTGGAATCCACGATCTGTACCATCTACGAGGGTAATAGGGGCTTCGGACAGGAATTAACCCACTATTGCAAGGGGACAACCCGGTATGTATCTTTTTGATTTTTCACGGCCAAATAGCCTGCTAGGTACATTCAGCCTTGTCTCGCCTCAATGACTGCGCTGCTCTCAGGGTCTGGCCGTTTCCCACCTCCGTGTTTGCCTCCATTCTTTACTCGGTTTTAGTTAAAATAGCTTTATTTGAACCTTTTTTTTGCATCCAACAATGTGCTTATTATAGGTGAGTTTATAGCTTAACAAACCGGCCGGCCCGGGTCTTATATTTGTAGTTCCTTTAAGTGCTTTTATTTTACGACTCTTCCGGCCGGCTTCGGCCTTTGATTCTATTTTCTTCGCATTCAACGGGCTTGATCTCGTTGGTATTTTGCGGAAAGGAATTTGAAAAAAGCGCTGGACGTGCAAGAAAAAATTCCTGAAACTGCCCTGCACAAAGGCAATGTACCTGGGCGGTTTTTTGGCCGTGGAAAATAGAAAAGATACATGCCCGGGGGCCACGCGTTTCCCTAAGCCCCTGAGGATAGGTGGGACTTTCCTCTTTAATACCCTCGCGGATGGTACCTGCTGGAGCTTAGGACGAGCAAACAAGGGCCGGGCTTCCCGAACTCGCTGGGGCCGAGGATGCGGGGGAGGGGGCGCATGGCCCGCACAAACGGATCACTAGTCAGTGAGCTGCATCTGAGTGACCACTCGCGATTCCCACTCAACCCTTGTCGTCCCTCGAGAAAGGCGCGGGGCTAATCCCACGTGCTGCTCTCTTCATGCCGGGAATAACACCATGTTCCCGCCCGCGTCTTGGAGGGGCGACGGCGACTGCGATTGGGAGTCTTTCGTCATTGTGCGGCTGTTGTTGCATAGATGCGGAACTATACGTGTGGCAGATGGCCTCGTGTCCACCTCCCTGTTGTTTTCGTTCACAAAGTAGTGCCTGGGCCTGTCCTCGAAGCCCGTACGCCGGGAGCGGGCCGATCCTCGCACTTGGGGGCACGCGGACACTGGCCTCCATCCTTGTGATGGGTGAAGGTTTAGGGCCCAAGGCTGCCAATGGAGGTGACAGGAAACCATGTTTATCGGGTGGGATTTCCATTTAGACCGAGTCATCCGCATCAGGGTGTAACAAGAGAGGGACCAATTAAGCGAGAAAAAGTTTATTTAAAACCCTACCATATCATCCTTGATATGTGCCAATGGCCATCCGATCCGGGATAAATGCTTATCGTGCGTGTTCTGCGGGCCGACTAATACTTTCGGGCAATCGTGTTGCTTCGCCCCGCATTCCTTGGTTCCGTCGGGACATGCTGCCTGTGAAGCTTGAGGCCCACCAGTAGGTTAAGCTTCCCGTGTTCGGGTTCGTTTCTAGTCGATTCCTTACATTTTCTCTGCCTGAGATGGCAATCTCTGGGATATAAAGGCCGTAGCTGAGCATGGCCCAGATTCTATCTGCCCAGAGGATAGCGAGGCTGCCAGATGCAGGCGTTGACTCAGGTAGGGGGTCTCGACTTACAGAGGGTCAAGGTATCCAGGGTGGTAATTAGCGTTCGGACGGGCCATGGACGGGACACATGGGGTGGGGGTGCCTGGTGGGAACTAGGAGTTCTAGTTCGTCGGCCGCATGTTTTGATCTCTCTCCCAGTCCGTGGTCTCGGGAGGTTGCGTTTTAGATTTGCCTGTCACCGGCAGCTACTGACTCTCCCCCCGGGCGCGGGTTCGGATGGAGATGACCCCATTCTCCTAGCTCAATGCACAGTCCACCGCCGTTATCATGCCACGTCGATGGCGAACCCGCAGCTCGGCCGGCCTTTAACCGGAGAGCGGAACCCGCCGCCCCCTCTCCTCAATGGCAATGGGAGAGTGGTGAACGTTTCGTCTCCGCCGGTTTGGGTCAAAGTTGGACAAACCCCTTAGCAATAAAAAAACATACCCCGCCCGTCTGAAGATGTGAAGCTTTCTTTGTGGGGCAAGCATGACCAGAAGAGGCATAAGGGCCCGACCAGCACCGAAATACTACAAAAATCTAGCATCTACTTCTGACCGGCTTGGCACTAACAAGACTAATCGTCGATGACCGGTGTGATTGGCCGCGCCTCGACCGGAACGGCTCGTCTTTTATAACCTCGAAGAGGGCTCTGAGATCCTCCAGGTATTCAACTGCTGCCGCCGCTTGACCGATTGGATGTACTAAAGATAGAGCAGCACTCAAAGATCCCATTCCAGGAGTACCAGCAGACAGGTTGCAACCGAGACTGGTCGAAAAGCTTGACGACCCCCCCCCCTTTTTCATGATGAGCGAAAGTATGGACCTGAGCATTGGGGTCTCGGTCGATCAGGACTGGGCACAGGACGTGCCGACGGCGCTGGCCCAAGTGCCGCGCCAACAGCCGAAACAACAACAGCAGGTTAGCGCGTGCGACCAGTGCCACCGACGCAAGCTGCGGTGCTCTAGGGAGAAGCCGGCCTGCGGGCGGTGCCATTTCTCCGGCCGCCAATGCACCTACAGCCTCTCCAGGCCGGCAGGCAGACCGCGCCGCTCACTCAGCGGCAAGCCCGAGTCCTCGGCGGGAGAGCTCCTGCCAGGCCGGCTCAACGACAAGATGGCCGAGGCGATCTCGTTTGCTGACACGGGTAGGCTTGGCACAAACCCCCTAGGTTTCCATGGGGCCTTGGCGGATATATTGATACTAATAACACCTGTTCCCAGCCGTCCCCTTGATGCGCGAGTATCCCTTGCCTGGCTCCCTATTTGATATAAATTCCTTTCCGTCCACCATGTCGGCCGTCCCTTTCCCGGACACGTACCACGACACGTTCTCCGGCACCACAACCCTCTGCACAAGCCCAACCGTCATCAGCCCTGGCTCGGGCGTCACCGGGCACAGTGCGCTCAGCCGTCCGCTGCCCAGCCTGCCGGGCCACCCCGAGCTGGCCTTCCTCGCCGACGGCGGACGCCCGGAACCGGCCGGGAGGGCCGCCAGCCCGCCGACCTCGGCGTCGGCGGGGAGCGAGGGCGCGGTGTGCCACTGCGCCGAGGCCCTGCTGCGGTCCGCGTTGGACCTGGAGTCGGCGGCGGCGGCGGCGACGGACCCGTCGCCCAGGCCGTGGGTGCTCGAGCTTGCCAACACCGGGTTCGAGGCCGTGGTCATGTGCAAGCAGAGGCACGACGGCCTGCAGCACCTGATGCTGCTGGTCGTCATCTGCCAGCTAGAGAGGTACACGGGCATCGCGTGCCCGCCGCTGCCGCTGCCGCCGCCGCCGCCGTCGCCACTCCCACAGCACCAACAGCAGCAGAAGAATAATGGCGGCGTGGCGGCGGCGGCGGTGGCGAGCCCTGGCAGCCGCGGGAGCAGCCTGCCCCTGTCGCCTCGCGGGCTGGTCTCGCCGCCGCCGCCGCCGCCGGCCGGGTTCGGCGAGCATCAGGACCCGCCGCCGGACGCTAAGGCGAGCAGCTCGCAGCCGGATGAGCTGGCGTCGTTCTCGAAGGGGCCCGTCCTGAGGAGCTATCTCCTCCTCGCCGCCTTGTCTTCCGAGGTGCTCACGCGCGAGGGGAGCCAGTCTTGCTTTCCAGAGGTGCCGTTGGATGTTACCCGGGGTAGGGTGGATTGGATGAAGGCTGCTTTTAGGGCTCGGCTGGGGCTTGACGTCTGAAATGTCTGGTAGTGAGATTCGGTGAATTGCTAAAGATAGTTCCACCAGCATTTCAGCTGGACGACAACTCGCCCATGATGGTTCAATATTTCCAGCTACGCATACGTGCCTCTCGTCTAAATACATGATACCAACTACCCTGAAGGGGAACAAACCTTGACTGCCTTGTGTTTGTCACCGTAATGCTTGCTTTTCTGGACCTGCTGGTTAGGCTGTCGGGCCTTGGGGAAGCTTTGACTGCTCCTAGTTAGCTTCGCGTTTCAGGTCATGATGTCTCCAGGGATTACTTGGCGGCATGAAAAGCTTCGAGGCGTGAAAAGATTGTGTCTTGGTCTCAAATTTTTCATTCGTCTGTTCACTTATGGGATGAATGGGACCCCTTCCTTGCTGTTTGGATAACGCCATGCCGCCAGTTCTGCGGCCGCTGCCGCATTCATTTCATCATCCCGCGCCGTTACCATGTGGCAAAAGTATGCTTTTAGCTTGAGAAGATGAGATATCGTCCTATGCCATCATCCTCCCATGTCCACCGTACATGGTCCTCACTGCTTTATGCTGCCCTTGATGATCTGGACCAGCAAAGGCGACATTTTGGAGGCGATGATCTGGTCGCCCTGCGCGCCGGGGTGAACTCCGTCGCGGTTGGCGCTGGCGGGGTATCCCGTGGCGACGTCGAGGACGTAGATGGGAGAATCGGTCTTGTTCTGCTGTGCGGCCCAGGCTGGGATCTGGTTGTTTATTGCCGTGACTCCGGCTTGGCCGAACGAGAGGGGGATGACGGTGTCGACCTTCGCGCGGATTTTGCAAGTGAGCAGAGGCACAGAGGCGGGATCCGTATGAAGCAGAGTGAACGTACAATTATCTTGACCTTGGGGTTCGCGGCCCTCAGCTGCGTGACGATGCTGGTGTAGGCGTTGATGATCTCGGTTGTCGTCTTTCCTCGACTCACGTCTGGAGACGGAAACATCCAAGTCAGTCGTGGTAAGCAAGGATCTTGTCAGTGATGGTCTTACCATTGGTGCCAAGCATGAAGTTGACAATGTCGGGCTGGTTCAGGCGCAGCCAGTTGGGCAAATTGGTGCGGGCAATGTCGACGGCAAGGAATCCCGAGTGCCCCTCGTGGCGCTTCTCCCAGGCCGGGTCATTGGCCCGGCAGTTCACCGTGTTGCTCGTCGTCGAGCCCACGAACTGAACCGAGCCCGACACGCCGGCGGCGACCAGGTTGTCCCACACCAGCGCCCGCCAGCAGGTGATCTCGGTGATGCTGTCACCCAGGGGCACTATGGGTAGGGCAGGGATAACGGTGTCAGTGAATGCTCATCTCTGACGTCCCTATCTCTCCAGGGCCGCCGGGCAATAAGAGATCGAGGCCCCTTACTGAACTTGAGCTTTGTTTGACACAGCGCCGCGCCTGAAAAACAGGCAACGGCGGCGAGGGCAGAAGCGAAATGCATCTTTTGTTTTCGAAATCTCTGATGTCGTAACTATGTCGTTCCAGTTTCCCGCCAGGGAGACCATGGCACCCCACGACCGCGTCTGGGAGGCAGTGTGAAGGACTTATTTATCCCGTCAAGTGCCCCTGAACAGGCCCACGAACGTGCCATACTCGGTATGTATTCCCCGCATCGTGGGAGTTTACCGACCAAGTCCTCCTTGCTACAATATCTGCCTAAGTGCTATGACGGGAGTGGCCGAATGAGAGTAGAAGGGCTGGAGTGGGAAAGTGCTCCGGAAGATGGCAGACGCTCGCCGGATAATGCCAACATGAGGGGACGTGGGCAGTGGCAGATTGATGGATTTACCCACCACACGCCAGCTACTCTATCTTCCGGATCTCCCCTCCCGGAAGCCACAAAGAGCTCCCTGGAGAGCTCGCTGTCCAAAATTGCCCTTCATAACGAGTCTTGTCTGGGCCTCAGCAGTTGTGGTGATTGGACGGGTGGGCGCCCGAAACCGCGCGGCCACCCCGCAGCCATCTTTACAATGATCCCGGCAGGTATCCAGCCTTGAACCCTCCGCCTTGGAGCAGGGCGGCAGATATACCGCGGCCCCGGACGAGCGGAGCGGGCCAATGGGTCCAGCTTCCGTTCGACGCTGGGGCAAGGATCATAACTGTCCCCAACATGAAAGAGGACATGCGTGATGCACCGCAAGCGTCCGCAAGAGAACCTTGTAGGGGAAGGCCGGCGAGAACAAAGAGGGTAGTGCTTTTCAAGATGGCAGAAATACATATTAAAACATAGTCTATCGCACATTGACATTCATATTATCATAACACCCCGCCGTCGGAGCCTATGCCTTCTTGCCCGGAAACTCCAGCACCCACTTCTTCATGATGGCGACGGCCTGGATCTGCTGCTTCTCGAGGTCGGCGTTGGCCTCGCTCTCGCGGCGAACCAGGTCGCTGCAGTGCCCACCCCCGACCACGAGCAGGACGGGTCGCTCGTCTGTCGACTCGAGCGGGCCGCCCGGCCTGTGGACCGAAGACGCGGTGGCATCGCGCCAGGGGTCGAACTCGTTGTTGACCTGCAGCAGGCGCGTCGAGTTGGTGTAGAGCCAGCCGCCGTCGGTGAAGCGGTTGACCCCGTCCACGTCGAGCCCCCGCGCGATGCCGTGCCTGTACGTCCTGCCGTCGACGACCTCGGGCGGGAACATGCGGTCGCAGTACCCGTCGTAATACTTGGTGTCGACGAGGCGGGAGACGATGGTCGGCTCCCCCTGGGGTGCGCCACCCTGCCACCATTTGAACCTGCGACAGCCCGAGGGAAGGGTCCATGTTAGACAGTTGTGGACACACAGGACGGGATGGGGTTGTACTCACGGCTCGTTGCACGTCATCCACCACCAGGCCCTGTTGATAGGAGCCGAAAGGCTGAGGTCGGTGAAGCTCGGGTCGGTGAGGTTGAAGGTGTTGTAGCAAGCGACCGGGTTGTTCGCGCCGTAGATGGCGGGGTCGCACGAGCCAGGGATCATGATGTCCCTCGTGTACTTGGCATAGCCCTCCAGCGCTTTTTCCAGCCCAACTCCCTCAGCTGTCGGTGTGGAGGCACCGGGAAAGACGGAGGGGAGCGCGTTCTGTACCGTCCCAAAGAATCTAGATTAGCACACAACGATACCTTGCGGTTGCCAAGGCGCGTGTTCCTCCAACACCCAGAGGCGAGGGGGCCCGGCGGCGTCTTACCTCGACGTAATCACACCATCGAAAGAAGCTCGAGTACCCCGAGCTGAAGCCAACCGGCTGCCACTTGATGGCATTCGCGATGGCAGAGCCGAAGTCGGAGTCGTGCTCAAGGTCGGCAAAGCCAAACTTGGTCTTGATCGCCAGCTTCTCCTGAGGCGAGCCGGTGAGCAGCACCTTGTCCACGTGCTCAATGACTTTCCGCACGTCGGCGCTGCAGTTGCGCGGCATCCCCTCCTGGACGGGGCTGAAGTACCGCCAGAAGTCGCCGACGGCCTCGACGACAGGGCTGCTGGCGTAGTAGGCCCAGAACGTGCCCGGGTCGAGGCGTTCGATCCAGGCCGACAGGGCACCCGCGTAGGAGCCGCCGGTCATGACCCAGGGCGCCTTGGACGGTGCGCTTTTGCCCTCGGGGTCGAAGGGCAGCTTGACGTTGCGGGCGAAGTAGGTGTGGTCGGCGATGGCGTTGTTCAGCGTGTGGTACTGCAAGTTGTGCACCGTCAGGTCGCTGAAGGGCGATGATTCGCCCCAGTACCGATGCTCGAGCATGATGGTGGCGCCACCAACCGCCTGTGCGATCATACCCTGAGACTCGCGTGTCAGTATCATAGGAGGGTGTAAGGCGGGTGAACCTAGTGCTGAATAGGGGGATAGATATCTAGGGAGCGCTTACAACCATGCTCCTGTTTGTGAGGTACGCTAGATACGGCTCAGCCGTAGACTCTCCCATGCTGAACATGCTGACGGGCGAGCCCGGGCCCTGGTAAAAGGTGGTGTCCCACCAATACCTTTGCTTGAAGGTCCCGAGCGACGGGTTGGAGTGGTCTATTAGCTGGTCGAAGTAGCCCAATCGGATATCGTACCGACGACCCAACTTGCTCCCGTTGACGTCCCCGCCGAGCTCGGCTATGGCCTCGTCGAAGTCAAGGGGCGGCGGGAGCCCGTCAAAGCCTGGATGGTAGGCCGTGACCTGGCTGGCGAGAGCTAGGAACAGGGAGGTGACCGAGGTGAACTTCATCTTGACTGAGAGGAGCAAGGGCACCGGGGAGACTAGCGGTAGGCGGCAAAAGTCGACGGAGTCGCGGGTGCAGCCAAGGGACAAGCGTAATCCTCACTAGGCGCCGCCCGCAGGTCTTATACTCAGGTCTGATACCATCGCTATTCAGGGGCCGCATACCGGCTTGACACGATGTCAGGCAGGCGGGTCAAAGGCAGGACAACGTCGACCTCGGGCGGTCGCTGGTGTCGGTCAGACCGCAGCCCCCTAAGCAAGCGTTCGCCACCCGCTGCATTGCGTCCTTGTCCGAGAAGCTCATTTCGTTTCGATAGGGGAGGAGGTTCAGCATGCGGTCGCATGGCCACCCTCGCAGATGTGTCCGCTTTGTTTTATTGCAATTCGCCCCGCGACTTGCTGGCGAGTTCTGGACAAGGAGGGCATGTGTAAATCACAAGCCGCCGCCGCAGTACAGGAGCTGTAGAGTAACTTACTGCAGAGCGCATATGTTGGGCACAGCAAGCAGCCGCCTCCTCCGTCCCTCCAGCATGCGCGCCATCGCCGACATGTTGCGGTCGCTGGTGTCACAACGTGGACAAAAAATTGACTTTTGTCAAAAGGGGGTGTCAAGCAATAGAGTTTGTGAAGGCTAGGTTAAAAGATGGGAAAAGCAAGCAAACCATGAGGATCCCGCCAAGACAGGAACAGAAATTAGACCTGTCATGCCAAGCACAACGCGCTAGGATTGACTCGGAGAGGTCAAGATTGGGTGAATCGGCCGAGTTGGAGATGAGCCCTGGCCCCACACCGGCCTCAGCCTCCTCTGCCTGGGGCAGCTCATGCCCTGAAGTGAATTCGTCCATGTTCGTGATAGGAAGCTCGTTGCAGAATAACGAAGTTTAAAGCGCCCCGTACCCCGTGTTTTCATCGCAGGTTGCCGAACATGCAGCGCCGCATCGTCAAACCTCAAAATCGATCCGGAGGTGGGTCTTGGAAAAAGTGAAAATGGAGGCAATGCATCCCAAATGTCTACCTGTAGCGCCAGACCGCCCTATTCCCCCTGGATCTGCTTTCTATCGTACAATGGAGGCGGATGCGTTTCGTTTTGGCCCAAGGTGAGAGGGTGTAGGAAAAGGTGCGGGAAATGGTGCAAGAGGGACGACCTAGACATCGATATCCCCGACCATTGATAGATGCCAAGTCCATCGCCCCGGGTTTACATCTTCTTCTTCATCTGCTCGGCCGCGCCCTTGGCTTTGCCTTCCATCTCGGAGGCCTTGCCCTTGGCCTCTCCCGCAAGCTCGCTGGCCTTGCCTGATGCCTCGCGGCGGTACTGCTCTGCCTTGCCCGTCGCCTCGCCGGTTGTGATATCCTGGGTGGCCTCCTTGACCTTGGTGCCGACACTGGCTGTGGAAAGGCAAGATAAGAGGGTGCGTCAGTGACTAAGAAACCCCCAAGTTCTAACTGGAATTGGATCACGTACCGGCGACGTCAATGCCGTCAACCAGCTTGTCGCTGACAGCGCGATCCGCCTTCTTCAGGACATCTCTAGCGGACTCGGTTGCGGTCTTGTGGAAGGTGGTGGTGGTGCTGAACGCTGACCTCGGCACGGTCGCTGTGGCGGCAGTGCGCGAGACGGTGACCAGGCGGCGGACGGCGACCTCGGACAGGAAAGACATGGCGGGCAATGTGTTGTCGTCGTGGAGAAGCTGGTGAAGATTGCTGTGTTGATCAGGGATCTAACGTCGAGGTACTTTACTTTGAGGAGAATGGTTAGAGGGGCAGACGGGGTTTTCAGAGAGGACTGGGTCGCTCTCCAGCATAAATACTAATATCTAGATCGACCTAGCTCCTTCCTGCTTTTTGTGCTAGTGATGGCCAATATTGTAATGGTGATGTCATTGAGAGCTCTGGTGGGGCCGAGCTGCTTTCGCGCGGCTGAGCAGTGACGTACTGTTGGAGATCAGATGCAAAACACAACGCAACAAGAATGAAATGCAAGGTCCGATGGGCATGCATCCGAATGGGGTGTCTGTTAAAACCTCCAATTGTGCATACAGCAGCCGGATTTCAAAGGCTTGGGCTTGTCGGGCCTGGTGGCTTGGGATATCTCGTGTGGATAACCTGACATTCACGTTCAAGGCGTAAATCTCTAGCTTATAAGAGCACACCAAGAGTGGTCGCGGTCAGCAAGCTGCTTCGAGATCGGGATTACCGTCAGAGCCATTGTAAGTTTAATCCTCACCAAGACTTGCTGAAAACATGCCGCCGAAACAATCAGGGAGCCAGGCTCAGGGGGGCTGTAAGCTATGGGACGGTTTCCAATTTCTGTCGTCCCCGCGCAAAGGGAATACATAAACATATATCTAGGTATCCAAGAACTTGGCCACTGCGGCTCAGGATCAGAAAGCATTACCGTCCCGTGAATACGGGTTTCCTCTTCTCCGCAAACGCCCGCAGCGCTTCGTTCCTGTCCTCGGTGCGAACCACCCGCTCGTACATCTGCCCTTCGCGCTCCGCCGACGGCGCCTCGACGGCCTGCAGCGCGGCCCGCACCGCGATGGGCCCTCCGTCGCAGATCTCCCCGGCCAGTCTGACGGCCTCGCTCAGCGCCGCCCGCCGCGCCCCCGCCAGCAGCGACGCCTGCCTGTCGTTCTCGTCGGGCGTCTCGGCGGCCTCGTCCTCCGGGAGCATCACCTCGACCAGCCGGTCGGCCAGGCCGATGAAGTAGGCCTCGGGCCCGCCGACCACGCGGCCCGTGACGATGAGGTCGCGCGCCCGCGCGCGCCCCACCACGGCCGGGAGGCGGTGCGTGCCGCCCGCCCCGGGGATGATGCCCAGCCGCGTCTCGGGCAGGCCGACCGCGGCGTTGGATGTCATGACGCGGAAGTGAGTCGCCAGGGCGAGCTCGAGGCCACCTCCCAGCGCGCGCGAGGATATGGCCGAGATGGTGGGGACAGGGAGCGCCTCGATGGCCGCCAGGGTGGAGCGCAGCGAGGTGAGAAATTCATTTGTCCTGTGTGAGATGATGCGGTACCGAGTCAGAAATGGGGGGACGCGGTGGCGCGCAACGGTCAGAATAGTCTCACTCCTCCTGTGTAAAACCCCTCCTCTCCTTGAGGTCCGCCCCAGCGCAGAAGGAGGTATCGACAGCGCTGGCCAGCACGAGCGCACGCGTCGGGCCCTTCTCGCCGTCGCCGAGGGCACTGTCGAACCGGTCGCTCCACGACGGGGCCGGGATCTCGTCGCCGGTGGCCGGGTCGTACTGCGAGCCGACGCCGTCGATCTCCTCGCGCAGGGAGGCGAGCAGGGCGCGCGAGATGGCGTTGCGGGCCGCGGGCCGGTTCAGCTCCAGGACTCGGATATGGCCGCTGTTCGGGGCGGGAATGTCCGTGACGAGGATGAGTGGGCCCGGCTTCGCGTCATCGGCTGTCGAGTAAAGGCGGGCGACGACGGGGCGCCAGCCGAGGCTCTGGAGGCGCAGCGGAGCAGATGTGGCAAAGGGAGCTTGACGGGCTGCTGCTGCGGCTGCCCGCGCCGCTCCTGCGCAGACGAGGCGTGGCCGTAGAAGCATCCTGTCGTCGATGGGCCTGCGCGCAAAGGGAGGTGCGAGTCGGGGAGATGGCGAGTCAATTGGGGCCGCCCTCACCAGTGTTTGGCGATGTTTCCACTTGACCTTCCAACTGACAGCGGCTAGCTTCGGCTCCCCGCAGTGGCATTTCGCCGGCTGGTGCGGTGCGTGTTGGGTGGAAGTGGGCCCGTACCGACACCCCTGTCACTCGTGGGGGCACGTCGATTCAAACTTCAAGCATGAACAAGAAAAGAATTGAGGGAAAGGAACAAACTCCAACTAGACGCGACGGAAAGTAAAACTTGACGCGCTCGGCATGGAACATTAACACGGATAACAAGATTTGTCTGTCTACCCGTTAGCTCTTGCGAGCCCATCTAACACTCCATGCTGATTTATGCTCGATTGCTTTCTCTGGCATTCTCCTTTCAACACGCGAGCGTTCAACGGCAACTAATTGCCAAGGGCGGAAACCTCGCTGGTGTCAAACCCGACCATGTCCTAGCAAACAGCCTCTCTGGCCAGCAGGGGTCGCGGCCTCCGAGAGCAGACACAACACATGCGTCCCCTTTCGTCATTTCTGGGCAACCTCGCCGTGTCAACATGCTTCCCGCCGCGATCAAGTTTATGCGTGGCGTTGGCCAAGTTGACCACAAACCTACCCATTTCCCTTGCTAGCTGAGCCTTGCTTGCCTGGCGACCTCCCAGTATGTGGAAGCGAGATAAATAGGTACCTAGCTATGTGACTGTTCTGGCAGAACAAGGTTGATGTGAGGCTTATAAGGTCTGCCAGCCTACCAGCCACTGGCCCAGTCTGCTTGCTTGGTAAGTAGGTAGGTAGGTACCTAGGTGTGCGGTTGTGACTTCCCCCCTCACCAGTGGCCGGGCAGTTGCGTGACATCTGGCGGGAAATGGCTCGCTCGGTGCTCGCTGCCTGGCGTTGACTTTACTCTTTTGCTGGACCAAAAACTCTGTGACGAATGGCGTTTTCTGGTATGTATCTCCGATGGTTTGTTCGTTATATAAGTAGGCAACGGGCACGATGAGATTCGGCACCCGCCATTCCCGTTGTCCATCCATCCATCCATCCATCCATCCATCTCCTCGCCTTTGACTGATTTTTGACAGCTCGTTCGAGCCTGCAACTCGCCTCCTCTCATCTCTTGTCTTGTACTACTTCCAAATGGCCGATGCACTATCGAGGACGGCTCCCTTGGAAAGGCACTCGCTGAAGTCGCCGGACTTTTTCCACCCCGAGCCTGTCTGCCGCACCAGTCTTGCCAACGAAACGTACGGACGCGGCACCATGAACACGCCATCTACCTCCCGATCGGGCCCCAGCACTATTCACGGCGGAACTGGATACCTCCCGACTGTTGATATTCGTCAGTGCCACGTGGAGGGCCATCGCGGCCATGACTGCTGCAATCCTTGGTGCCAGCGACTCGAGTGCCATATATTGCGCAATCCAAAAGAAAGGGACCAGTCGGGACACAAAGACTTCCCTCTTCCGTCTCTCCGAGAGCACCTTCACGGAGTCCTAGGAGTGCCGCCGGTCCAGCCGGCTCCGTCGAGCCCTCGAGCCCGCCGCGAAGCGTGGTTGATGCCGCTGGCATCCGACTCGCCAGACTCCCAGGGCAGTAATGGTCGGCGGCGGTCTGCGCGCGAGGCTCAGGCGGCCGTCAAGCACTCGACCTCGCCGGATCCTCAGATCAGCTATGACGGGCGACGTACTGCGAGGCACGCTCAGGCGGAAGCCGAGCAGTCAACCTGGCGGGATTCTTAGGTCAGCCATGGCCAGCAACAAAATCCCAAGAAACCGAGACGAGAGGTTATGCTGCAGTCGGCCGCCCATTATAGCGATTAAATTTAATATAAAATGTGATAACTCATAGTGGTTCTTCCTTTTCTTTTTTTCAGTTTGAAAAAAAATATTCGAACATTTCTTTTTTTCGGTTTAAAATATTAAGTTGCGCGTACCGTTCCAATTTCGATTAAAGGTTTAAATCTCAGCCCAATTACCCGCCTCAAGCCCGCGCAGAATGGGTTGAGGTGTCCGGTGAGAGTTGGGAGGCCTTCAACAAGCCGATCAGCGAGGTCTCCAGCACGGCACGTCCATCCAAGAGTCGTCCGGCGACCCGCACACGCGTCCCATGCCGCGGTACCCCTGGAAGTGCCCAACTGGTGCTTCCTGCTGGTGCTGGTGCTGCCGCTCGCGCTGGGCATCGCGGCGCTGAGGCTCTGGCCCGCTGTCGGTGCCGGCGTGGCCGCTGTGCACCATAATCGCCATCAGCGCCGTCCCTCTCGTGCCCACTCAACCCTACTGCTAGCCTCTGCCAACGTCTTCATGGGCTTCAGCGTGTGCTATTCCAGCTGCTAGGCGGCGGCGGCGTCTAGTTCGTGGGCGGACCTCAAGGACCCTCATCTTCGTGCCGGCCTTTGGTCAGAACCTTGACGCGCAGGCGCAAGACTTGCGTCTCGGACGAGAAGATGGTGGGTCGCTACGCCAAGGCCCCGCCACGGGGCCGTCTTCCGCGCGCGCAGATGATGGCCCTCTTTCCTCAACTGCTCCATCTTCGTCGGCAATGCTAGACGACTGGATGATCGGGACCTTTTTCGCGACGGGCACGCTCTGCCGGTGGGACAAGACGAGCCAATTCGTGTGCGCAGACGCCATTCTCGTCTTCGCGTCGGCCGTCGAGTAGGGCGTGTGCGGGCGTCCGCAACATGTTCCGCCCTGTACCCCCGGGGGTCCTGCTCGAAGCCGGCTTCTGCGTCAGCGTGGCCGTCGGCGGTACCGTCCAAACCTGCGGCCTCGCCCTTAACAGGACGGAGCTGGCCTGGTTGGGGAACGAGGTCACGCCCGTCGGCGCCGACTGCATGGCCTGCAACCAGAACGTGGCGCTGTTGCTGCTGCCGCTGCCGGCGGTGGGGTACTTTGAGCCCTCGCCAGCAGGCCACCCCATACAGTTTTCGTAAACATGGGATGAGTCGGTTGGGGTTTCCGGCTCTCGTCCTCAGACGATCAAGGGGCTACTTGTGGCGGCCATGGGACATCCTTTACATGGCACTTCAGTCGACAAGTGGCAAGTGTAACAATGCGAATCATTAGCTACTATGTCGTGTTTCTGCTCAAAATTCCCCGTCTAAACGAATACAACGCCAGTTGGATGGAGAAGTGGTAAAGAGGTAGCCATCTCCTAGTCGCTTACTCGAAATCGAGGTCTATCCATTAAGAAGGGCCCGTCACTGTCGCATCAACTCCCCAAGGTAATCGACCAGAAATAAAGAAAGGATGGCGATGGAAGTCATGGCGACGGCGCCTACAGGCCCATAGTACGAGCTCCCTGAAGACTTGCACGTGCACACTCCCGATCCGCCGGATCCGCCGCCGCCGCGTGGCTTACTCTTCGCCTTCGATTCCCCCCGGCTCAGTCCCCGGCTTGCGGGCAAGGGCAGAGGCTTGACCTCGTCCCTGTTCTCGTTGTAGACGAACCAGTCCACCATGATGTGCTTCATCTCGGCGTCCTGGCAGTTCCAGTCGCTGCCATATGCCGCGATCTCCTCCCCGCCCGCGTTCATCAGGTCGTAGGCGGCGGCCAATATGTCGGCCAGGTCCCCCACCGCGAGCGCGAACTCCAGCTTGCCGGCCGCGGCGGGGCCAGCGGCCGGGCTCAGCACGATGCTGCAGGACCCGGCCTTTACGGCATTCACGCCGACGCCGGCCGAGGGGACCTTGTACACGTACGGGCGCCTGGTGTTTCCGTCACCGTCGTCGGTGCGCTGGAGGCTGCTGAGCAGGCTCTTGCAGTCGGCAGCGCTCGCTGGCTTCATGTCGGGGCTGGGTGCCAGGCGTCGCAGGGTGGCATTTCCCTCGCAGACACGGGGGAGCGCGCGCTCAGCAAGCTGGAGGGGGTTGGCGGGTGGCATGTCGGTGGCGGATGCCGAGGCTACTGCGAGGAGCAGCGCGAGAGCCAGCCATTGGAGAATGAGGGGTCGGTACGCCATACTTGATGTTATGTAGATGTGCTTGCGTTCAATGGTGTTGTTTTGCTGATGGACCGTGTCTGTCTGGCTTAAAGTTGCAACAGCAAGCACACCCGGAAGGCTACGAAGCTATATATGTCTTCGGTCTACGTATCTCTCGTGAATAACCAGTGACTTCCATACCGAGTGAAGATATCTACATCAGGAAGAAGCTCGAATTCACCTCTCGTTATTGACTCGCCCCTCGCGTTCCAGTGCTTGATTTAGCTGAACTGCGATGCCGATAAGAGCTATCACTGCCTCGGCTGCATAAATCAGTCTCGTCTTGTATGGAGTGCTCCTCGTCTCACCGCGGCTCTGGTCAGCGGCCGCATATCCCCTATCCCGCGTCACCCTACTGCCCTTGGCAAGACCTCGACTTCACTTGGCGAGCGGGTGCGGGTGAATGTCTTGCTACAATAATATGCGTTTATTAGGCCCCTCTTCGCCTACGCATCCATTTCCTGGGCTCACTTCGGCAATACCGACATTTGTTGCCACTCGCATGCGAGATCGCATGTGCCCAAATTGTATTTACTCCTCTTCTGCCGGCTGGCCCATTCGGATGCCATCCAATTGCCGGTGCATCGTTGACGCCGATTGAGGTCTGGTTCGACATCATCCACTAGCGCGGGCATATTGCTGTTGACATTGAGTATTTTAACCCGGCCACTGAGAGCATCACAACCGGCCTCCAATATATTGGATATGCAAGCTGGCACCGGCACCTACCTGCAAGCGAGGTACCCCCGGTCCCCTCCCGCGATCCTGCCGGTTCCCCTTATCTCTCATTCACGGTCTTATAAGCATGCATTCCAGATAACTTCTCGATTCAATGGAGCAAGGTCAAAGAACGGCACGGCTCAACGTCCTTCCCAACACATCGCAAAGTTCGGGTTCACCTACGACGCAAGATGGCTTGGTCGACTGGCCTTCTGATCCTGCTGGCCGCGCTTGGTGCTCAAGGCGTATGGGCCCAGGCCAACCGAGGGTCAGACTTTTTGCGCTTTGCCTGCTCCCAGCTCGTTGTGGAGCGTACCGACCCCCTTGTCAACCCAGGGCAGAAGCCGTCGCCGCATATGCACCAGATTGTGGGAGGCAGCTCCTTCAACATCACGGTGCGTGGAAGCCTTGGAGCCAGCCACATCCCGTGTTTGCAACATAACAACGACATACACTGACATGAAGCCCGCCCAAGATGGACCCAATGACCATCGACCCGCCCAAGACATCCCGGTGCACCTCCTGCCGGATGGTCCAAGATTTTAGTAACTACTGGACAGCATCCATCTACTTCCAGTCTCCGGAGAACGGCACATTCAAACGAATTCCCCAGATGGCCAACGGACAGCTAAACGGGACCCTGATGAAGCAGGAGGGAGGCATCACCGTCTATTACATGCGCCCCTTCAGCGGGAGGAACAAAAAGACAACCGTTATGAAGCCTGTAGGCCCATTCCCCCAAATGCATTGGTTGAAAGCCCAACCAAGGGTCGACTAACATTCCTCGTCCAAACAGGGCTTCCGCATGCTCGCGGGCGATGTGAGCCGCACGGCCAAGGCCAGCGGCCCGCTCACCATCTGCCACCGATGCCTTTCGGCGAGTGAGCGGGTGATGGGGGGCACGGGCGCGCCATGCGACCGCTCCGACACGTCCGAGTTCCCCAACAAGCCGTGCCCCGGCGGCATCCGCACCACCGTCATCTTCCCCTCGTGCTGGGACGGCAAGAACCTGGACAGTCCCGACCACAAGTCCCACGTCGTTTATCAGGCGGGCAGCGCCCTCGCTGGGGACCAGTGCCCGAGCACGCACCCCGTGCGCATCCCGTATGTTGAGCAACCGAGAGGAAGTTTTTCGTGACTAAAGTGGCAGACTAACATGTGATTTACCACACCGTAAAAAGGCAGGTGATGTACGAGGTCATGTACGATACCAGCGGCGCGTTTGCAAACCCAAAGTACTACAAAGATGGGAAGCAGCCGCTTGTCTACAGCTACGGCGACTCGTAAGTCCTGGCGTCACTCTTGGGCTCAACGCCCTTCTATACTGACCCTCCCGCCCAACACCAACAGCAAGGGATACGGAAACCACGGAGACTACCTCTTTGGCTGGGAAGATGACTCGCTCCAGCGCGCCATGGACGCTCTCGGCACCGACTGCTTCAGCGAGACCTGCCCGGTGCTGCAGTTGCAGTCGGCCGAGGATGCCATCGCCTGCACCAACCCACAGCAATACAAGGAGGACATTGGCAACGACGGATGTAAGTGGCATATCCACTCTACCCCAGTTCTGGGATCTGGCTCGCACTAACCAATATAATTTACGTTGTAGGGCTGAAGGAGCTTCCTGGTGGCAATGCCGTCTACTGAGGGAAAGCCAAAGAAAGACCAATGAAAGGAGGAATGTTCATGTGACAGTATCTTCAGATTGCCAAGCGCTTGGATTTCACCGACTTCCATTCGCCGGGGCCGGCAGTTGGTCATGCTTGTATTTCTTGGCCCCACTAGCAACGCCAAATTCACACCCTTCTCCCGTGATAGGCTGTCGCCCCTGAATGGTTTCACCGCATTTGCCGCACACAGCCCAATCAGGCGTGTCATGTAGGGTGTGCGGTTGGCTGTGGCCTCGACTACTCCACCGTCAGCTAAATACAACCCTTTGTTTTCGTCGCTCTCACTTCTCTTCTCTTCTCTTCTCTTCTAGTACGTGGTGTTTCTCCGCCTTTCGGCGCGGTTGCTCTCATCTGGAGTTGCCGCCGTCGGCATTCCCTAGCTCCACAAAGAAAGAATGAGCGCCGACGTGAGCAGCGCGTCCACGGGGGTGCCGAAGTATGCGACCGAGGCCACCATAACAGACAAGGACGACTGGCCATCGTCGCCGCCCCCGAACGCCAGGGGCGCCAGCGCCGACAAGGCACCATCGCCGCCACCGCACGTCGCGCCAGCGGTCGACACGCTACACACCACCTCGCCCGAGCTCCTCAACCAGCCCATCACGCTCGAGGCCTTCCGCGCCCTCGTCGGCATCCCGCAGCAGCAGCAGCAGCAGCAGCAGCATGCCACGGGCCCCTCCGGCACGCAGCTTCCGGCGCCGTCGACCATCACGCGGCGCACGTGGCGGACCCTCCTACTCCGCGACGACCCGGCGACGGCGGAGCGGCCGACGTCCATGTACTACAAGCTGCGGCGCGACGAGCGGCGGGCGCGGGCCATGCATGCGCTCGTCGACGCGGTGGTGTACGGGTCCATGCTGCTGCAGATGGCCTTCGCGGCCGCGCTCATCGTGCTGGGCGCGCTCAACGGCGACTACCACGTGCCCGTCGCCGTCGTCGGCGCCATGACGGGCATCCTGGCGGGCGTCCTGTCGCTCGTCAAGGGCCAGGGCCTGCCGAACCGCTACGTCCGCTACGCGGGCGAGTGCAGGCGCGTGGCCGACGAGATGGAGTTTATGGAGAGGGGCCTCCGCGCCGGCGTCGGCCGCGTCACCTATGCGGACGTGTTGGCGCTGCACCGCCTCTACGAGGCAGCCATAGAGGACGGGGTGGCGAACCACCCGTCCGCGTGGGTGTCGTCCATCGATGCCGTGGGCAAGGGGGCCCCTGGTCCGGGGCGGAGGGAGGACGGCCTCGTGCTGGGCGCTCGTGTGCCGGGCTTGGTTTCTGCGCCGCAGGGTGCGATGGGGGTCAAAAGCGGTTGATCAAATCGTGGGGGTGTGTAAACATTATCAGCTTTGCAGCGAAAGATACATTCATATAGGTACACGTGCATCCCTATGCTCCGCGAATATCCCACCCCTAGCCATCACAACAATAGCCTGGCACTCTCGGTCCCTGCGCGCTGGCTCGCCCTGGACGTGTCGTTCTTGGGAAAGCAAAAGCTGACGCCGGCGCCCTGCGGCCCGTCGCCGTACACCCACGTCGCGCCGACGCACCTGCCCGCCTCACTGGCGGGGAAGAGGTTGAGCTGGGCGCAGAGCGCGAGGCAGTCGTCCATGCCGCGGACGGGGAAGCGCCCCATGTCGTTGCCGCCAAAGTCGGTCCCGCACAGCTTCTGGAATGTCAGCCCCGTGCCCGGGACCGTGTAGTTGGCCCGGCCGGCCGGGACGGGGCACTCGATGCCCGGCGGGATCGCCGGGTCGGCGCCGGGCGCGAGAGGCGTCGTCGTGCTGAAGCACACCTTTGGGCTGTTGCTGTCTGGTTGCGACAGCGCGGTGGGCTGAACTGGGGCCGACGTTGTGCTGCTGGTGGTTGTGGTGTTACTGCTGATGTCTTGTTAGGCCGCGATGATTTCAGGCTGGACTATAGATTCCAGAGCGAGGAATAAGGTCAGTCGGTCAGGGACATCATACCTTGTCGAGCAACCTCCAGCCGGGCCCTGGGCTATTCCCGACGCGCCTGACCCACCCTCGATTTTCCTGTTCATCTGTGCCGGTACCACGCCCACGACGATCAGGGCGATAGCGAGGACCACGTTGCTGACGAGAAGCCAAAAAGTTGGCCGGCGAAGTCCGAGGATTCTTGCCGACTCCCGATGTCTTGCTTCCGCCACCGGGGATGATTGATGCCAAGTCCCGACCGTTTCACTTTCCGCGTGGTGGCTCGGAGAAACAGCGACCTGCCCCGGTGTATATGGCTCTTTCTCCATTTGGAGCACCTGTAGTCCATCGTGGCGGTCGACAATCTGGAGGCCCTCGTGATCATGGCCCTTGAAATTGGCCATTGTGTAATGTCGATTGATCCTTGTTTTTTTGCACGACGTCACTTCACAATGGTGTATGTTGTAGAAGTGGTGAAGGACGATGAGCAGATTCGACGGGACGGAGGCAGTTCTGCCTTCCGCCCTGCGTCTTTCCCTAGGTACCCGAGCCGTGCCCACCTTTTGGCACCACAGGGCCGCTCCTTGAATTAATTTGCCAAAATCGTCACCCGCCATCAAAAGCAAGGCCCCCTCATCGCCCCCTCTCCCGTCCCGTTACACAGCACCGCCGCAATGCAAGGACCGTCGCAATGAGGGGCGGCGCGGGCTGCTAATCGTCGGTGGTGGCCTTGCAGGCACAGGTCGCGTGTAAGTGGTATCTGAGTGTACCAAGCCTTATGCCAGAGGGCGACGTTGGCTTACACGGCGATGCTGTGCCGTGCTTGCCGAGACATGTGGGCCCAACTTTCTGGGGTCGACCAATTGCCCCTGGGCCAGATCTTATTACCACCTTGTCAGCCCGTTAGACCAAGAGCAGATTGCTTGGGGGTCGAAAGAAATGCAGACGTGCGGTCCGGGAAATCCAGCCCGCCGGGCCGTCTGACGCCACAGATGGCGAATGCCAACCGGTCATTCGCCGAACAAAAAGCGAATTCACCACCGCCCATCAGTTTCCCACGTCCTCTCCATTGAACCGCAGACGAGTCATCAAGTAGGCACCACGGATCCGGTCAGGAATCAGCCTTGCCCAGCCACATCGTGCTTTAGTGGACCTCGCACAAGCTGCGTTCCACGTGGGACCGCCCAGAATCGACGGGGCCACCAACAGCATCCAGCCGCGTGGTCTAGTCGTATGATTGCTGCTTCGGGTGGATTCCCATCGTGTAAACCATGGTTGTAGCAGATCCCGGGTTCAAATCCCGGCGCGGCCCTATGTTTTTACCGGTTTGCAACAGTCGACGCTCTCTGTCTTGATGGGCTTGAAGTCATCGGATCGCGACATTGCGGTTATTACAACAGTCTCGTGAGGGGGTTCAGTATTCTGACTAGCGTGATGGATTCGCTGCTCCTCATCGACCGAGTACCCTTCCTTATGCAAAATAGTTGAGATATCTGGCCTCGCGTCTTCCTCAACTTCCCTACATGTCCTTGTTCGGTTTTCCACGATATCGCAAAGAACATGACCAAGTCATATCAACGCTTAATTAGCGGCAATGACCAATCAAGGACTCCCGGTCCTGAAACTTGCAACAGTCCTTGAAAGTTTGCCTGTTCCTCTGGTCGACATTGCAGACGGGGCCCTGTTTCCATGTACAACGCATTAGCTATGACCACGTGAGACGGGTCCTAAACAGGCAGTAGCCATGCCGAGACATGCAGGGAGAATGCGACATAATAGTATCAAGAGAGACGAAACTCACAAAGCCACCGGCCTTCCTTCCCATAGCATTGCAGCAGTAGTTTGTCCACTCTGTCCAGCCAGCACCCGTGGCGCTGTTCATGCAAAGGCAGTCGTTGCCGTTGAGGTACCACCCGCATCCTTGGGCGTTTGCGCCCGCTCCGAGAGCAAGAAGAAGGAAGGCTGTCGAAAGGCGCATAGTTGTCGCTGGGGAGTGCTTTTGCCGTGTTTTCTCTTTAGAAAAGATGTACGAAAGATGGCCGACGCTTACATGCAACCTATGGTGGCTTTCCGAGATGCCGTGGGCCATTATATATTCGTCCTCCCTGGCAAGCAGAGCTACCCTCCTCAGCAGCACTGTTGAGGCGCACACTTGGGATCAGAAGATTCGGGTCTCGGTGGAGGTCCTCAATATGGCTGCAATGTTTATCCGCACTTTTACGACCAGTCCCAACATCTGGATTATAGTGTTGCTAAATCAAGAAACATCCTGCAGTCCAGGCCACGGCTAGCGGGCAATTCCACTAGAAGGCCCCCGGATCCGGCGAAGCGAATGCTACGTCTCTCCACGCAAGCGTACCAACGTTCGTCGACTTTGGGATGAGACGAGTTGTGTTGCTGACGGGACGCCCCACACGAGCGCCATACATGCCGGGCTTGTTACCGACTCTCGGCTGACATTCCGGGACCCCAGGGCGTACCGTGGTTGGCCGACGGGCTCAGCTGCTCGGCTCGGGGTAAACTGAATTCTGCGGGGGCGGAGCCGGGAACAAGCGGAAATTCCATGGGGGCAAATCGTCTTGGAGCAGGCTCAGCTGAAAGACAATACAGACCACAGACGAGGGGAATACGAATATAAAAGCAATATTCGTTAATTCACCGCCCCCTTCGACGCATGCAGCTACCAATATCCGATTTCGGAAAGGTGGTTGGTTAACCTCTCAATAGAATGATGCCACTGCGAAGTGGAGACCTGGCATGCGAGCTGGAGATGTGCGGGCAAGAGAGCGGTGTGCTTTGCCTAAAAACTCAGTATGCAACTTGGACGGTTGCATTTCCACAATATGGCCACACTTGGTACTCCATCTCGTATGATAACAATACAATTGGCTTGGCTCTTTCGATTGTGCATCCATTACTTTTCTAAAAGCGAGAGGTTTGAACGATAATTAATCGCCGCTCCAGCCTTCCGCCCTGCATTGCGCGGGCCGCACAATGCGAAAAGTGGTAATTACTTGCACGTTGCTGGTTCGATATTTCCTTGTCCGCCGTTTGATCTTTGCTGGCGGGTCCGGAATTGCAGCAATTTGAAGCTGAAAAAACGGCCTGGAAGCTCGGGCCAGGCCTTATAACCTCATTGCTAATAACATCTGCCTGCGTAGTGTAACGGTATCTTACGGCCCTTAGGGAACACCACCTGCGGGGCTGTACAAGTTAGCTCTGGGGTTTACACCTTCGAAACTCACAAGGCTTATCCAGGCCTCCTTTGTTCGCTGGCGAGCTGTAACCGAACAGGTAATTTCTGCAAATAAAATTTAAATTTGCACAATTAATAAAAGCTAGTAACAACCCGCGCTTTTCTTTTTGGCTTGGGGAAGAGCTGCGATTTAGCGGATGTGGATGCGGTAGTGAGCACGGGAATACAGAAACCACAACGCCCCCGAATGTTCCGTACTGCCAGCCGGGCTAACAATAGCGCCCTGCCATTTATTGCACCATTAAAGCTTTTACTTCTCAAGGCTAATGCTTTAAAAACTGTACTTTTTACCAATGTAAACACTTTTCATAATTTGTCCAAAGGCTTAACTACCGGAAATTGTATCAGTTACTTAATTGTGGTGTTTTAAAAAGTTGAAGGAATTTAGAAACCTGTTACCAAAACGTTTGCCTCGCGTTACCGCAATCATACCAGGGAATCCCCAAAAAATCTAAATATCGTATCATCCTTTGATTCCATTCAAAGAATGAAGTTATGAACCGTAGCTTAACCATTCACCATTCACGGCATCGCTTAATTGAGAACAATAGCGTCTGGGCTCTTTGTTTCTGGGTTCAGCGTCAATGCCCTCAGCACACTTTGTCTGAGCGTTGTTTTCTTCCACCACTGTGAGCCCCAGATGGATAGTCGCAACTATATGAGCCCCCGGCGGCTACTTCGAGCTTGCTGGAGATCTGAAGAGAGTGGCCTTAAGGACCACATCACGCACGCCCAGCTGAGAGAACAGAGACCCCGAGTCAGAAACTCCGGAACATTGCACGACACGGAACGAGCAATCGCAACCACGGACCCAGAAGCTCGTCTCTGCAGACTCGAGATCATCATGTCCCGAATCGACCGGATCTCCAAGGATTTAAGAGGGTGCTTTACCTGCACAAACGGTAAACAGATTTTGGGGTCCCAAGCAATGAGCCGGCGATCAAAGAACCTCATTGAGGAAGGTGGGTACCGCCGTGAATATAGCTACGAGGAGTGGTGCTTGTAAAAGGTTGGCTAGGTAAAACGGCCATAAGGCGGCGTACAGTAAGGGATCATCCTTGCCTGACACGAGTTTTTCCGCTTGATGTCGTCCAGTACCGTTAGGTTCGCCTGGATGGGCTAGTCCGGGCGGCGCGGGCCGGGACGGTAGACAGGGGGGTGGCGAACAGGGGGTTACTTGACTTAGTCCATAACGGAGCCGAGTTGGTCCTGCGTGCAGGTTAATTATTATCCCACCTCCTGCTTCCACCAGAAACACATCACCGACATTACCCGCAGGTTTAAACCGTTATCAAACGTTTGGATATCTCCCGGGCTTAACGATGGTTTCTTACACACCTGCCAAACCAGCGACACCCCAACCACAAATATACTCATGACCTTTCTTTCCCAGTGTCTCACTTGAAAAGCATGCAGCAGCCAAGGCCCACAGCACACATCCTACATAAATCAATTTACTCTGGTGCATGCGGACGACACGCTCGTTGATTAGGTTGCTATGAGTCAAAATAGTCGGCTTGAAAAAGACAGGCTTTTTTGCCCATCGAACAAACGTTTCTATCTAGAGAACTGCAGAGGCACTCAAACCCTGTGGCCTATCCTAGCACCGCCTTCCCCTCTCTAGGGCTTCTTCCCGAGGACAGGCACGCCGGCGCAGTTGCCGACCGGCTCGGGCCGGTTGCAGTCGACAAGCTGGACATACTTTGTGACCGTCTCGAACCACTCGCTGGTGCAGGGCAGGGAATCTTTGTAGGCGCCCTCGGTGTCGGCCGGCAGCCGGCACTGTAGGAGGGGGAGGACTCGTTAGATGGACGGATCATCACAGAGGAACTGCGGCTCGGGCGGCAAGCGGTAAGGGGGGATTGCGAGGAACCAAAAAGGAGGCAAAAGAGAAAACACAGGGAGGTGTCAGGCCTGGGGCATAGCATGAGAAGGTGGCAAGCAACTTACGCAGGACGTAGGGTCGTTCCCCCAGCCACAGCAAGCGAGGCCATGCCACAACTCAGGGAGGCCGCCCCACTTCGGGCACAACCCGGAATCCTTTTTCTCGACGATGGGCGAGGCCGCAGCCAGGCCGGTGCTGAGGGCAACGATGAGACCGGAGAAGTGCATTTTGAGTAATTGTGAAGCCTTTTAAGAGCTTGGTCTTTGCTGGTGCCGGGTGAAGGAAGCGAGCGAGTGTGTAAGGACCGTTTGGGTTGGGATGAGGATGGTGGTGAAAAGGAGAATGTTGTCGAGGAGAACAAGCGGCCGGCCCGATGTTATATAGACAGCCGACTGCTCCTCCTCCCCTTGATTAGGCAAACCATTTAAACGATAAAGAAGAAAAAAACAACCCGATTCGATCGATATAGCCTCCCCGGCAGTGCCCGCGGGACGGGTGGGGTCGGCCTGTCAAGGAAAAAAAAGGGGCAACGCGGAGGGACACGCACGCGCGGAGATGGCCTGTTAAAGAAAAAAAGGGCAAGATACCACCCTCCCGCCCATCTCGCGCATTTTCAAGCTTTACCAACTCTACAACCGCCCACAAAACAAGATCAAATCCGGGTGCCCCGTAAGTGGAGTAGGGGCGGTGACGTTTTAACTGCGCCCTTCCAAGGCCCAGCCCCTCCAGCGGCATGTCAAGTATCGACAAGGTCGCTTTCGTCGGTAGGGTTGCTGCCACATCGGGGCTGATTGATATCTTTCCAGTCCAGCTGCCGGATAAGAGGAGCGGAAACCGGGCGGCACTTGGCATCATTCGTCTCCTCTTTTTGTTCATCCCCGCCACTGTCACCTATACCCCTGCTCCACGTCAGCCCAATCGTTGGTCACCTCGGGTACGTCGCTTTCACTACCTAGGCACCCACCCAAACTCTATAGCAAAAAACATCAGAACAAATTGCAGTATGCCAAAGCACCATAACACGCCCAAAAAAGTACGGATCCAGGCCGTTGCTAATTATTTTGATTCCAATCCAACTCCCTACTATAAACTCCATTTTTTAATTGCTGGCTATTTTTTCTGGTGTTGTTAATTGACTTTGACATGGGAGCCCCTTTTTTGCGGTCTTGATTTTTTGTTTTAGTGGGTGCTAGGCTTTCCTGTTGCAAACGCCGAGCCCGATCTTGGTGCATATACGCCTGCTTTTGCCGGAGCGACCCAACCTGCTGGTGGTGTTGGTTGATGTCACGGGGATCCACATTGACCTCGCCGTTATTTGCGCGAAGGGAGTCGTTTCATGCGTCGGGGGATGTTAAGGTTCGGGGCAGGGTCCGGATTGGGCATTCGGTATGTGCCCGTCGCAACCTCGAATAAACCGCCTTCCCGATTCGCACTCCCCCCGAATGGGGTTAGCATCAGCAACCCCGGGCCTTATATATTGTCGGCGTCGTCTTGGCTTGCAGGCGGCATATCCGGGGCCGCGACGGATACAGCTTGCCGCGCCGAAGGCCGAAGGGAAGGGTTCCAAAAAATGCAAAGTCGGATGTTGCGCTGTTGCTGCGGGCTCCGTTCTGGGCAGGTCTTCATTCCCTTCCCCTGTGTAAAACCATTCAGGACAACGCGCTAGGGCAACCTTGTCGGGCCGTTAAAGGGGGCCAGAAGGTACGACAGCAATGCAACGCGGGCACATGGGAGGTTCCTCTTGTGATAACACACAGCCGCGACCCTCGCGCCCCGGTCCGGGATTTCCCCCCGTCCCCATCCGACGGCGACAACAGAATGACCTGGGATTTCTCCAACCTGGACGGCCCTGCAACGATATTCAAGCGTGCTCGCTTGACGGGTGTCAAACTCCCGCCTCCACAATCTTGGGGATGGTGAAGAACATTCTCCGAGGCACCCAGCACCTGGTGGGTAAGGGTCTCTCGCATGGCCTCTTAGACCGCCCGTCCAGCATCGGCGCCGTTCAGCCCGGCCCCTGGAGGCTGCCGGCCTTCATCCTCAACAACTTCCACTGCGAGCGCAAGCATGGGCCGGACGAAGATATGGACCAGGTCGCCAAGGGCGAGCTGAGGGCCGTCATCCGCCTTTTGAAGGCCTTCGCCTACGAGAAGTGGCTGCCGCTGGGCGCCATCGAGTATGCCGTCGAGACTCTCCAGAAGATCGACGAGGTTGAGTGGGACGGCTGGGACGGGTGCGCTCCCGCCGAGAAGCTGGGGCGTGCGGCCGACCGCTTCGCCGAAGCCGAGAGCGGGGCTAGGCTGGCGATTGACTCGTCCTCAGAAACCTGCAAGTAGCTGCGTAAGTTCATCGACATGCTGGATGGGCTGGCGAGTGAGATCATGCCGCAACGTCCGATGACCTTCGAGACGCTGCAGGAGGCGCAGGAGGAAGCCCGCCTGCATGGTCCTCGCTGGGAGCTGGTGCTGGTCGACCCAGAGACATTCCAGATTCTGTTCCTGGGTGACGACTGAGCACGGGATTGCAGGGCCAAAAATATTGGATCGGGGTAAGGTCTTTCATCAGGTCTTCCATAATTTGGTCAGGTGGTCGCGGTGGAACTTGTTTTGGCTGACCGGAAGATGGTGCGCGAAGAAAGGGATCGAAGCGATCGATCAACGTGTCGCCAAGCGCAACCTAATCTCACCTCTAGTAGGTGAGGCCCCACCTGCGGGGTTGAAATAGCGCGAACCAACGGACGATATGCGCTGACCTTAGCCTGAGCCATCAGCGCCAGAATACGGAACCAAGATCGAAGGCCATATGGCTATGCACCCAGGTTATCAGGTAGGAATTATATGATGTATTAAGTTCATTGTGTCTTTGCAGGTCCAGGTATTAATCGCTAACCGCGGGTGCTGGCAAACGCGATTCAAACGCGTTGTGCCCCACCCCCACTACTTGGCCCCGCCTCTGTAGCTGGGCAACTTCCAGGCTGCAGGACAAGCCTCCCGATCAGGTTGGGCCAGACCAAGCCCTCACAGCCAGCCCTCACTTGCTGTTTGATTACCAAGCTATGGGTTGCATCTGCGAGCCCCTCGTTGGACCGAAGGGATGGTCAGCACATCCGCTTCATCCTGTGTATTTGTCAGCTTGGCGGCCCTCCAGAACAACGTAGAATCTCATGGCTTTGTGGCTTGTTTGGAGCTTGGGAGGCCGGCCTCCTTAGTCCTGCCGGCAAAACTATTAGGCAGCGGGAGCCCGGGGGCCAGCACCCGACTCGGGGTTGACGACCAGATGCGGTCAACACCATCCCCCATCCCCTCAGGTTGGATTTGTAAGGCAGGCGCCACTATGCCCAAAGAGACCTAATCCTAGGTTATATTTGCTTATTACGTTTTAAGTTTTATGCATCTACCAATGTCCCCGCACCATAAAAGGCGGACGACGGCCCCCCCATTTCCGATCCGTTGGCGTTGACGACAGCTCGGGGGCAAATCACACCATCACCAACCCACAAAACGCCTCAAGATATTATTCTTTCCATCCCGTTAGCCACATCTTCCTGGAGTCTTTCTTGTGCATCCCATTTTCTCGTACCCAAGCTCAGCCCTACGGGTGATCCCAGAGCCGCACTCCCGCACCCCTCCCCGGCCCGACCCACCGCGTCTAAGCCACAGCAGCAGCAGCAGCAGCAGCAGCAGCAGCAATGCCCGGAATCGCCTTCTACGAGGCCTCGGGGGCCGTCTTCGCCAAGGGTCTCAAGACCATGGACGCGATCCTGACCAAGGCCGAGGCGCACGCGGCCGAGCAGGGCGTCGACGCCGAGACGTACCCGGGCGAGAAGCTGGTCGAGGGCATGCTGCCGCTGTCGTTCCAGGTCCAGGTCGTGTCCAACACCACCAAGAAGTGGGTCCAGCGCATCACGGGGGCCGAGCTCCCCGAGTGGGAGGACAACGAGACCACCATGGCGCAGCTGCACGCCCGCGTCAAGAAGACGCTCGACCTCCTGGCCACCGTCGACGCCACGGCTGTCAACGGCAAGGAGGACAAGGTTGTCGAGCTGTAGGTTTTTCTATCCAGCTTTCCCCTATCGTTTTCCCGTCCAGACAGATTGTATTCCTGACCTTTATCTAATCACCCCACACAGGCAAATGGGCAAGGCCGGCTCGAGGAACCTGCCCGCCAAGGACTACACCTTCAACTACGCCATCCCGAACTTCTTTTTCCACCTGCAGACCGCATACGCGATCCTGAGGGCCAAGGGCGTCCCACTGGGCAAGAGCGACTATCTTGGACCTTTCCTTGGCTGATTGATATTACCCGCTGGCGGGCTGGAGTTTTATCGTTTACTGCAATAGCATGACACAGTCAGTAAAATCCAGGTGGCTGATATGAATTGCCATAACGATGCAGTAATTGAACCAAACAGCCCTACCCAAATGCATTCCGATATTTTCTAGCACTGCTATGACAGGTGTCAAACCGAGACGGAAAACGTTTTGCAGGCGCTTTGCATTGAGTTTGTTATTTGTCCAACACCGCACCATCTTTGTCCCACTCTCCTGCCGTTTTGGTCGCTCGTGATTGCCTCCCGAAGAAGTCGTCTTGAGGGAAGGTGCGGGGAGTACGACTTCCAAGCGTCCATTATTCCTTTCAAATGTGACACAATCACAGCAACATAATCGTACAAGCGTAAATCAAACCCGGTAGATCATGGAGGCATTTTGGGGGTTGTCTGCCACCGACTCTTCCGATTCTCTTCGAACCCAAGGCTCGACAGACGACAAACAAACACCGCGATTAACAGCCCAGACTCTCCTTCACCTCTAGAGTTCTATTGATATTGAGCCATCATGAGGCTCCTCTCAGTCGCCCTTCCCGCCTTTTTTGGCATCGCGCCAGCCACCACCAGTGGCGTCTCACTCCACTATCGCTTCACCGTCAACCTCCTGCCCGCTGACGCCGGCGCTCAGGGCTCGGCTGCCGGCTCCGATCTCGTTCCGGTGGTCACCATGAACCAGCCCCTGGGGAGCGGCGTGCTCCACTCCGTCCAGACTTCTGTCAACATGGGACCAGGCTGCGAGGCTTGCGAAAGCTGCATCCATGGCTGCGACAGCGTATTCGAGGGCCTGTCAGACTGGACACGGCATGTTGTTTTTTCCTCGTTACCACTTTCTGACCCTCACTCGTTCCCGGCTTCGACTGTCACTGGATTCACGAGCAGAACCTTGCGTCTCGGCAGTGTTTAACCTTTGAGCTGGCTCCTGCAGATGCACCGCTGTGTGCTTCGACACCCAGAAACGCAACGACTGCCGCAGCTGCCCGATCTCCGACGGCCGGTTCGACATCTTTGTGAATATAGCCGACGTTTTGGCCACTACGGATGTTCTAGAGAAGCACGGTCTCCTCGGCGCCAACCTGTCTACGGACGACGCCTGGCGCCGCTGGAAGCAGTCCGGTCTCAAGCTCAACAGCCTCGTCGAGCTGCGCCCATCGCTTCCCGTCAACGCCTCGGAGAGGTTGCAGGAGGGCGGGCTGGTCAGAAACTGCAGTGTGTGCAATGGCCTCGTTGCTGCCTGCCTGATATTTGTGTGGCTGCCGTTCATCTGGCTCCCGTAAGTTCTGCCTACTGCTCGCACGATGAACTTCCACTTCTCGCTGCAAACCGCTACAATGGATGTCAAAGCACCCCATACTGACAAATGCTCTCGCAACCCCCTTAGTTGTATCATCTCCGCCGCTGGGACCTCTGTCTGTAGCTGCTGCCTGGAGCAGCCTGGTTGCCTTTGACAGACCGCACCGGCCTCGAGCGCGGTGGACTGATCGTAGGGTACAGGGGCGACTAGCAGACTAGTCGACGTGGATATCCATGCTGCGGCGAGAGGGGTCTCCGTATTCTCACTGAGTGGATTATCGCAAGATGTCCGAACCTGAACTATGTGTGACCTTGACGCGAGCTCTGGAAGCGAGGGGGACATGGAGGTTACGTAATACGCGATGCTCACCTATTTTGGCCGTGTCGCCCGGTATTTTGTTCGCAAGCCTCCACCGAATACGGCATGGTAAGGTCTCATTTGGCGCCCATTTGGGGTTCCAGGTCGCGAACCTGCAGGGCCTTTGATCTTCTCCCACCCTGGCCCGTTAGGATACCCTGGATATACTTTTTTCGGCAGGATCCGTCGTTTCCCGCTAATGTGCTCTCCCGTCCACGTCAAAAAAAGCATTTGTGATGGGCGGCCGTGGCGACGATGAGTCGGTTGGCTAGGCCGTCCTGGTCGCCCGGTGCGGAACGTGCACCCAGGTCCTGGCTACAGATGAGTGCAGTGGCGGGTTCCCCAGGTGCGAAATCATGATACTCAAGACCAAGGCCTGCGGACGTACCCAACTAGGCAGGTCGGGGGATACCTAGATACTTGCGTCCCCCACGCACGCAAGGAGCGACATTGACATGCTAAAGATGGGATGGAAAGCCCAACTTCACCCCGTCATGTCAATCATGTCATTGGACGAGATCGTGGGGATTCTGGGGAAGATCTTTGTGACAGGAACCGACAGGTCTGGAAGGTCGGCAAGAAGGTCTCGTTTCAACAGAGCAAAAGAATTATGGAGACGGCCTATGAATAGGGTCCCTAGGGGGTCGCATTGGACGACCGTGAAGCTAGGGCCCAATGCAACCGCGATATCCCAGCTGTCCCTGACGTTGCCGCCAGAGCCATGACCACCTCGGCGTCGAGCGGGCAGCAGGGAGTGAAGGCGGTCAAGTCTAAGGAGTCCAAGGAATCCGAGGACAAGAAGAAGTCCTCCGCCGCCCCGAAGCCGGAAACGGCAGAGCAGAAGAAGGAGGCCGCCGATAAGAAGCAGCACACCAGCGACGACAAGAAGCACGCGGCCGATGTCAAAAAGAACGCCGACCGCGAGAAGAAGACGGTCAAGGCCGGCGAGGTCAAGAAGACGGCCGGGGAGAAGAAGGAGCAGCACAAGCCGAGCACCACCGCCACACGCCCCGGCGGCGGCGGCAAGCCCATGCGCCCCCGCGCCATCCTCGTTGACGAGGCGGCCACCGCCGAGCCGGCGCACCTGCTGCACATGACGATCCCCAACCGCCGCCGCGCCGCCGCCGTCAAGGCCCGGTCACCGCACGCGCTGAGCGAGAGGCGCCACGCCCCCCACGTCAAGCAGACCGTTATGCTCAGGCCCGTCGGGGCCGTTGAGGACAACTAAGCGGCGTTACCGCTGCCGCCCCTACAGCGACTTGGTTGCTCTGGTTGGGACCTTTCGACCTCCTTTTTATTGCTTCTTGCACACTCCTGCATTTTCTCGGTTTCTGGCGTCCTTTGGGTTGGTCTTTGCTCTTGGTTTTTCTTGTTTCTGGTTCTTGTTTTTTTTATTTTTAATTTTGGTTTAGCATTAGGTGTGTAGCACATCATAGGGATTAGCCGGATAGCCATTGGTCATTTAGGTATATAGGAAGATAGAGGCGGCCGTCATTTTTGCATTTTTACATTTTTACACGTTCAAACTACTTTCATCGTCTCGTGACACCTGACGCATGTTGTCTGCTCGCGCCTCCTCTTGCTGTGAGGTGGTGTGCCCGCGCAGCGTGAGATTGCTACGTCGGAGGTGCCATACATAAACAGCCGAGGGCCAATCGTTGGCCTCCGAGGGCGACGATACCTATGTACGTCGTTGACATTCAGACAATCGAGCCGGTCAAGTTGGACAGTCCTTGCCCCCCTCCCCACACAAGTGAGCCGACGGCAGCGATCGCCGGTGGGGTGCGGGGAAGAGGCGGTCCGGGGTTGGCGGGCTTCCTGTGCGGAGCCCCAGCCTTACACGAAACGGCATCTTACGCCTGGAGGGCACTGCATGATTCCGAAGTAGGCTCGGCTGCGACAATCGGTTCGCTGTCCCGAAAGGATTCGCCAGGTGGTGCCGTGATTTGGAAAAAAAAAAAAAAAAAAAAAAAAAGGGCAGCGTCAGACCGGTTGGTGTGCGGGCTGCGAGGTGCTTTCTGGAGGCCGGTGACAGTCAGGCTTGCTCGGTCAGGGAGAACTTGCCCGGGCGGCGAGTGGGTAGGAGAGAGGAAGGGAAAGGAGGGGGTTCAGCGCATCTCTCTCACGAAAGCCATAGACAACAAGGGAGCGTAGCAAGGCAGGGTAGCATTGCAATTTGAGTGTGCGGGGAGGTACTGTCAATCCAACATAAATGCGTTCGACCCCTCTCGCGTATCATGGCCTGGGGAAAAGACGATGGCGTAGAAGAAAAGTATCCTAGGGCATCCTTTCAAACTCAAGACATAGGTAGCCTTGGAGCACTGGATTTTGCCATCACGATTAAAGACGACCACCTGCGGGAAGGGCGAGAATGGCCCCTGTAATCGGCCAGAAAGAGCATCTGACGGATGATGACAGGCTAACCAGGATCGCCCAGGCGGACTTGAAGCCATGGTACAAGAAGCCGAGGTTGAGATTTCTGTACCTCATCATGATACCGACCTGTCTCGGAGTGGAATGGACCTCTGGCTTCGACTCGTCCATGATGAACAGCCTGCAGGCGGTCCCGGCCTGGGTTGAGTGTACGTTTTCTCTGGCGCCCGCCGCCGCGAACCACATCGGGCTGGCTTGCCGCTGCTGACCACAACCGCGTCTTGAACTGGCAGACTTCGACAACCCGCAGGGGGCGCAGCTCGGCCTCCTGGGGGCCATATACTCGCTCGGGGGCCTCATGGCGGTGCCCTTCGTGCCGAGCGTGTCGCAGCGGCTTGGGCGGCGGTGGACCATCCTCGCGAGCTCGCTGGTCATGTGCTTCGGGGCGGGCATGCAGGCCGGGGCGCGCAACACGGACATGTTCCTCGCGTCGCGCTGGGTGCTCGGCTTCGGCATCCCGTTCGCAATCGTCAACGCGTCGTCCATGCTGGGCGAGCTCAGCTACGCGAGGGAGCGGCCCGTGATGACGTCGCTCTTCAACGCGAGCTGGTTCGTGGGCGCCATCATCGCGGCGGGGACGACGTACGGCACCTTCCAGATGGCGACGACGTGGTCGTGGCGGCTCCCGTCGCTGCTCCAGCTCGTGCCGTCCATGTGCCAGATCTGCTTCATGTACTGGCTGCCCGAGTCGCCGCGCTGGCTCATCTCGCGGGACCGGCACGAGGAGGCGCTCGCCATCCTGCTCGAGTACCACAGCGAGGGCGCCGACGGGGGCGAGTTCGCGCGGCTCGAATTCGCGCAGATCCAGAACACCATCGCCATCGAGAAGGAGACGGCGGCGCGGTTCGTGTGGGCCGACGTGTGGCGCGACGCGCCCATGCGCAAGCGCTTCGCGCTGGCGGCCGTCGTGGGCTTCTTCACGCAGTGGAGCGGCAACCTGCTGCTGTCGGTGTACATGAAGAAGATCCTCAAGATGGTGGGCATCAACGACGACCGGCTGGTGCAGCAGATCATCCTGATCAACACGTGCTGGGGCCTCATCAACGCCGTGCCCATCGCCTTCTTCGCGCCGCGGTTCCCGCGCCGGCGCATGTTCCTCATCTGCACCACGGGTACAGCCTGCGTCTACACGGCGTGGACCATCGCGACGGCGCGGTACGAGATCGACAAGGCGGCCGGGGCGGCGGTGCCCATCATCGTCTTCATCTTTGTGTACTCGCCCTTTTACAACATCGGCTGGAACGCGCTGACGTACACGTACATGGTCGAGCTGTTCCCGTACGAGCAGCGGAGCAAGGGCATCGCGGTGGAGCAGCTAACGGTGAGGCTGGCCGTCTTCTTCAACACGTACGCGAACCCCATCGCCATGGACGCCATCGGCTGGAGGTACTACCTGATCTACTGCGTCTGGATCGTGGTCGAGATCGCGACCGTCTTCTTCTGCTTCCCCGAGACGCACGGCCGCACGCTCGAGGAGCTGTCCTTCATGTTTGAGGGCAAGGAACTGCAGGATCGCGTGCGCAGCGGCGTCGACAAGATGGTGCAGGCCGACGAGGCGGAACCACGCACGCCAGCAGACAGGGACAGAGTCTGAGCCGCAAGGTGGTGCTTGTCTGCGAACCCACGTGCCACACCGCGTGCTTTGACAGATGCAGTCGGGTCGGCATGGATGAACAGTGGGCGGGCCGTCCAAGGCCCGTTTTGTTTGGTGTTGATCAAAGGGCGGATGGTGGTGGTTCCGTTTGCTGCGGACCTGGGGCAGATTGATCCACTTGAGAGGGAGGGGGCCAGTCGCAAAGCTTACGACAAACTCAAGATTCCATGCTCCATGCCTTCCTTAGCACTGGATAGCACAGGCCCGACACGAGTGTGGCTTTGCTTTCCAGCACCGGCTCCCGGCTGGTCGCTGGAGCCGCTGGGCATTTATTGCAGCCACGGTTTCTTGCTGTCACAGAAATTGTTGATCCTCAAGGGGCGTCCGCCTTGGCGACCAGGGCTCCTGATGCCAAGGCTGAGCAGGAGAAATGGTACCTCGAGCGTCGGCACCAGGCAGGACGGATTACTGTATTCTTGAATCTTTGAGAGTTGGCCCAGCGTCTGCTTCGCTTGAGGAACGTGGTTAATCCAGCCCGCCAGGCATTCATTGAAGTAAATGTGACCAGACCGACTTTGGTGTGGTGCCAATCTAACGAGCCGGGCCCAAGCCGCTGTGAGGGGGCGGCCCAGCCCTGCGTCGAGTGCAGTTTAAACTCTTTGGGCCGTGCTGTTTGTTACAGGCGAGTTGGGCTGACGTTGGGGCCCAGCCCAACGTGACAGCGCCGTCGCCGCACCGTGCACTAAGCAGTCGAGGCTTGTCGCGGTACAAATCCGCCTCATCGCGGAACACTGAATGTACTGCGCTACTGTAGTATGCACTCGTTCGGACCGGAATCCCGCCAACGGGGGGGTTTGAATTCTCTCGGCCTAGTGTGCTTTGTGCCGGCTGCCTGGCATGTGGCGAACTGTGGTTGATTGCCTACACCGTAAGTCCCTGGTAGATGGACTGCGCGTCATGCAGGGCCGCGTCAGGAGCTGGAGCTGGTCGTTGAGCGAGGACCAAAATAAGAGAGACCAAGGAACGAGCGGCCTCTGTGATTGGCCAGCATCGTTTTCCCCCCGCCGGCGCCGGCATCTCACGTCATCCCTGCCATCTACCTAGCTAGAGCCTAGCGTTCAGATGCGTCTCCACCGGCTGGGCCCCTTCAGTGCCCCTTGTTGTTCGGCTGTCTCCACACCCCGCCGCTCAGAGACGTCCAGCTTGTGCGCGCTGGCAGCGTTTCGTCTCATGTGCGCAAGCTTTTCTGGCTTTTGCGGCAGCTCAATGTGCCGCAACAGCTTCCTTCCCCTTTGCATTTCGCTTCAAATTCCTGCTGCCGGCTGATAGGAAGCAGCGAGCTGAGCCTGCACCTGTTCGTGGCTGCGCTCTGGGCTGCACGCTGATCTGGCCGATCCAATCACGGGGTCTGGCATTTTGTCGGGTGGCATTTTGTCGGGTGGGATCAACTGTGCTTGGCCGTCCATGGCTGCGCCCGGATTTAGACCAGATCCTTGGGTTCCCATTCTTAGCTGGCCCCGTTGCTTGCCCATCTTCCATCTTTCCCTTTCGCCCTTTCCCACACCTGCAGCCCTGCCCCCGACGCAGACTTTTTTTTTGTCCCGGTCCCATTGTTTGCCAGCTCAAACTCATCACCCGTCAAGCGACGCTCAAAGACCCGAAACGATAGCTCGAGCATCACGGGCCTGCCATCGATTGTGTCAATTGCCACTCGACCTGCCGAGTCCGCGGCTGCCGCTCCCGACAGAGCCGTTGCTCCTTGATCGAAACGCTAATAACTGTGGCTTTTGCTCGACGCAATCCTTTGCATTTTTGACTTTGCTGCCACTACCAGCAATCCCCGCACACACCGCTCTCAGCGCCATACAACAACCGAGATACCGCAAGACCGATACCCAAGAACCACGCTCGAGCACCACCAGGCAAGAAGCCCAACGACGTGACCAGACAACCCACGCAAAGGCGCCATCGACGACCACCACCACATCGAACGAACACACGCCACAACCGACGCAGCCCGTTGCCCGCCATGTTGAAAAAGAAGGAGGTTTACACAACCATAACGCCGATCCCCGGCTTTATACCCCGACAGCTCGCCATCGACATTCTCCACTCGCACTCCGAGGTCATCACTCTGAACCCGCTGGTGCTGTCTCACAAGGCCATCCCCGCTCCGCGCGATGCCGCCTCCGATGAGTTTTACAGCACCTGGTACGAGATCACGGAGCGTATTCAGTATATCCCTGGCCTTGGGAGGATGGGCTCTGGCCGCATATCATTTAACGGCTGTTTTCACGACATGCCATGGGGGCTTCAGACACACATCTACGCTCCCATGGGTGTTGACCTGCGCAACAAGTACCGCATAGCAGGAAACCAGCCGGGCGTCGAGGCCCCGGAGCTCGCCGAGATCGGCTCGGCAGAACTGGGTATTCCCAGCGACGGACTGTACCTGCGTGAGGATATCGAGATCAGGTGCAACATTACCGTCGTCGGCTTTGTCAAGGCCGAATTGAAGAAAGCTAGCAAGGAGATGGTCCAACGTATCATCAAGAAGGCCGAGCTCCTCGACGCGGGGGTGCTGCAAGGCATGATCGAGGACGGCAAGCTGAAGACATTTAACCCTGCCGACCGGTCCAGCATGATTCGCTCCGCATCCCACAGCGGCTCTGCTTCACCCCAACCCAGCCCGACAACGCCACATTATAGCATGCATAATAAGAACAGCCCCTCGATGCCGTACAATATACCCCGACCGGAATCGATGCAGCAAGGGGGACTGCCCCCGAGGCCAGGCACCTCGGGCTCGCAAGGCCCTTACCACGGACACCAACCCCATCAGTTTCATGGGCAACAGCACTACCAGCCCACTCAGGGTGGCGCCCTAGAGCTGCCCACCCCTAGGATGTCGCATCAACAACAGCAACAGCAACAACCACAGCAGCAAATCGTCATGGAGCTGCCGGGCGACTTCTACCACCCCCAGCAACCGTCTCCGCGCTTCACTCCTGCCTCGGCCAGCGCAGCACAAGGCTCGCCGCGCGCTGAGTCGTTCGTCATGGCGCCGCCGACCCCACCACAATCCCACCCCGGCAGCTACGCCGGCGACGCGCGCGTGTCTTCGGTCTCGGCGGGCGGCTGGTCCGACGTCTCGCGATCGGACGGCGCCGGGACGGCGTCCTCCCGGCCGAGCTCGATGCAGAGCGACGCGGGCGCGCAGCGGGGGCTAGGCGGCGCGCGGTCGCCCCCGCCCCCGGCGCTGCTGCCCGGCGGCGGCGGCGGCGACCAGTCGAGGCTCTCGACGTGCAGCGAGACGGCCGAGGAGCACAACAACGGCCACCGCGAGCAGGCGCTCAAGAGGCTCGACGGCGGCAAAACGCCGTCGCCCAAGGGGTACAATTACAACCCGGCAGACTACGCAAAGGTGTCGCCGCAGATGCAGCAAACCTCAAAGATGGCCGGTCGCAACAGTTTCCTCTACTCACAACAGCAGACCCAGCAGCGGTACGGTTACTGATGGCCGGCCCTGCCCTGTTGAGCATTCGCCGACGATCGAGTCTCGACCCCGATTTTCTCTCAACATTTCCTCCTTTAATGAGAAGTCCGCGCCTTTGGTCTTCTTTTGCACGATACATTTTGATGATACCTGACTCTGTCGATACCTATTTCTTACTATTTCCAATTGTTCAGCAGTTCTTTTTACGTTAGTCGCTGGCAGGAGACGCGATCTAGGCTAGGATCTACCCCTTTCACTCTTCCCAATTTGGATTGATATCCCACTTTCAACCCCCTCTCGGTCATTGGAAATCCACGGCGTTCTTTAGTAGATGGACGGAAGACTTTTACGTTGTCCGAAAACTATCTAGAGATATAGCGATTTCGTTTGTTAATGTGTGAATGAATTTGCTGATTCTGAAGTTCTCTTCTTCACGTTTTCGGCCTGGGACGAACGGTTCCTTTACCATTGCAGGCCCACCGCCACCTTTGCTCTCCAGGGCGATCTGTCTCGGTCCTGATTTTTGGCAACTCGGTGGTGCTACACTGTGAGCCCACCCTCCTCACGGGCTGATGTCACCTATAGTCTTTCGGACAGAGGGTTATGATACCAAAGGGCCTAGCCGTCCGACGTAAGTAATGCGTGGCTCCGGCTGTTCCTCCTTACCCCCACCCGACATCAAGCTCAGCTCAGCTCCGGACTACGCCGTCAGGGAAAACTCAAAAGGTCAACAAAGGCTTAAGAGCGGCGCGTAAGCGCAAATCGACTTTGGCCCAGCCAAGGGGCCACCTCACTCATTCGAAACCCAATATTCGGTTGGCTTTCTCCAGCACAGCCCGGGCCCCGGGCCGGATGCCATCGGGGATGGTGAGCTTTTCCAGCCCAAATGCCTGGAGCCCCTCCAGGCCCAGATGCGTTCTTGCGTACTCGGCTGTGGATCGGCCAACGTGCTCCGACTCGCCCTTGCCGCCGGGAAAGTCGGGGCCGGGCGTCCCCGCGAGGAAGGCCTGGCGCTGCCTCACCAGGTACTCGGCGTTCAGCTCGGTGACGGGGCAGACGGGGATGTAAAGGACGCTCGAGTCGGACGTGCCGCCGTGCTTTGGATCGACGGCGTGGATCGCTGGCGTGGCGACGGTGGGCAGTTAGCACACGGAGAGAGATGGATGATGATTATGGGAATCCAAAAATTGCTGTCAAACCCTCATGACAGCACACGAACGAAACGCGGGGACTCACTGTCGCAGTGCCAGACCACGTAGTCGCCCGGCTCGACCTCTGGCATGGGCACCATGGTCCTGGCGAGCTCGAGGTGCGGGTGCAGCTCCGCGCGCGGGAACTCTTGCCCGCGGCCGGGCGTGGCGCCCTGCAGGTCCGACGTCATGTCCCGGCCGGCTGTGAAAGCCCAGTTCTCGGCGCGCAGGAACCCCTCGCTCGCAACGCCGCCGTCGCCGCCGCCGCCGACGCCGCCGAACGCGCCGTGCGGCCGGACCGGCCTAAAGAAGGGCCTAAGCAGCGTGTAGGCGGCCGAGAGGGCCGGGTTCGGGTAGACGAGCAGGGTGCCGCGGCCGGGCCCGCACGCGCTCATGCTCAGCCAGCCCTGCAGGGCGCGGAAGGCGGAGCAGGCGCCCAGGCCGTCGTGCAGGTTGCAGACGGCGCCGACGCGCGCGCCCGCGTCCCAGGGGTCGAGCGCGTCCCAGCGGCCGGCCAGGACCGAGTCGTAGACGCGCCCGCGGCCGTAGCCGTCCGGGTCCCAGCGCTCGACGCTGCCGCCGTCCTGGTGCGGCCCCAGCGCGAACGAGGCATCGCCCGGCTGCCGGATCCGCAGCCGGTCCGCGTAGGCCAGCGGCGTCGAGAGGTCCACGAGCGGTTCCTCCTCCTGCCCGGCCGAGGCGGCCCCGACGTGCCACAGCGTCGAGAGGAGGGCGCGCTGGGTGCGGAGGAGGTTGGGGTGCGCGCGGGCCTTGATCTGGGGCGCGCTCCAGTACAGCTCGAACACTTGGGGGTCGTGGGCGGGAAAGCCTGAGTGCGAACAAGAGTTAGCTGCTTCTCTGCATCCGCCCCTGTCTGTGCTACCCTTTTGCTCCATTGCACATTTCTCCCCTCCTGCGTCCACCACTCATCACTCATCCTCCCCCATCCAAATAATAATTGTTGCCTCTTTGGCTTATCTGCTTGCCCCAGTCGAACTGAAAGAATCCTCACCTCTTGTTGTCGGGTTCTTGCGGATGTACTCCTCAATCTCGTTCTTATAAGCGCGGGCCTCTGCCTTGGGAATAACACCCCTGATCACGGCAGCTCCACGCTTCTGTATCTCACCCCGGAGTCTCGGTAGGTCCGACCCGAGACGGCTGAACTGAACCTCTGGAATGACCCGGGAACCCCCTGATGCGATCACCTCGGTCTCAGCCCGCAAGGCAACGAGTAGTCTGTCCCAGCTGTCTTGGATCTCCCTCTCGCAACCGGCCACCAGCGAGAGCTTGAGCAGCCGGTAGCGGTCTGGTAGCGGTTCCTCCTTTTGGCCAGAGAGGGAGGCAAATGCGTCTGATATGTCACCCTCGCGCTTCGGAGCACTCGCCGCGGCTGCCATGTTTACAAACCTGGCGCCCCGGAGCATCATACCCGCGTGCCGCGTAGCGCGGAGGGCATGGAAAAGAGGGAGGCGTGATGCGTGCAACGCCATGATGGGCACGCCGATGGCTGGCGGACACGCTAATTTCTTACCAAGGCTTGGTAGTAGCTTTTGCACAGCAAAGGAAAGACAACAAGGAGAGGCAGTGGGCCCATACACACCAATCCAGCAAAGCAAATCAAAGCCAAACAGAGGCCCAGCGCATACTTTATATCACGCGGACCGGGGCGGAGGGTGGCCGCCACCTAAGCCCCGGAGCTTCCATTTTCGCACAGCCAAAGCGGGACAGCCCAGGAAGGCTCCGACTTGATGTCAGACGACAGCCCCGTTTGGCTGTACTAGACGCAAAGTGTCGTCAGCGGTGCGCCTTGTGGAGGGCAGGAGGTGGGGAGGTCGGCTGGCCAGAGGTGGGCACAGGTGGAAAACGAAAACTCGGCAGTCGCACCAGGAAGTGGACGAGGCATGACGGGGTGACACAGCCCAAGGTTTGAAGCAGTCACACCCACCACAAAATGAAAGAGGGCTGTTTTTGGGGAAATGCCAGTAAGTTCCGTAAGCTTTCCTATTCTTATTTTTCTTCCTGTTGTTGTTCATATCATTGGTTATCTCATTGTTCCCGTTTTTACTCCCCTTTTTATTCCTGTTGTTTTATTCCTCTTTTATTTCTGGCTTGATACTTATTCCTATTCCTAATTCTAAAAGTAACTGCTATCCCTTTTGTGGTGGGCGTGGGAGTGTTCATTTCAGGAAGCGACACGTTACGCTGTACATGTCGTTGATGTATCTACTTCTAACCGGCTTGTCGGAATAACGTTGGCTATGCGTCCATTAAATATGGCCGCCAGCGACAGTCTAAAATGCGCCGAATAGTATAAAATGGACCACGCAAACGGCCGAGTCAGTTGGCAGGTGCAGGTGGCTGTCCGTTTTGTTTCCCCTGTGGCGGATGAACGGCTCGAGGCTCGTCCATCACTCCTGGAAGGTGCAGCCGGCTCCGGCTTGCATGGCTTCCAAGTTTGCCGGGGCTGTTGAGCCCTGGACAAGGAGGGGCTTGGCCTGTGCGTACCAACTCGCGTTCTTGATTGGCCGCGCAACTTTTCGCGTCCCCACCCCACGAACAAACAACCGGCGGCTTTACGATATCTGGAAGGTCCGACCCCTCCGAACACACGACCGCCCATGCCCTCTCTTGCTTTCCATGGCCCGTCGACGGCTGTGCCCGCACAGTCTGCGCCCAATCTCTGCGCCGTCGCCCGCTGTCGCGCCATTCCGCCCCCCCGCACGCCCTGCCCCTCCCGCCTTCTGCAGAGCCTGGCGGTCTGATCGAGCTCTTGCTTTGGTTGGGCCGCATCGGACGACGCGTTGCGCGTAACGAGGCTGCGACCGCAAATTTTTTTGAGCAGCCATGGCTACCGTCGCAAACTCCAGCGCCGCCGTCAAGTTTGTCGGCTCCGACGCCGACGGCCTGCCCCTGAAGCGGAAACAGGTCCAGCAGGCCTGCCTGTCATGTCGCAAGAAGAAGGTGAGCCGAGTCTAGCTGCCGAGCTGCCTGGCACCTGCCTCTACACACCCTAGCCTCGTCCCATGTTCGCCTCCATCCCCACGCCTTGGACCTGCCGCCGCCAATACTCGCCCACCTGTTAGCGGCCAAGATCCGAGATAGCCCCTGGGACTTGGCTTGCTTATGCCCGCATCAATGCCACGGCCCTCTCCGCGGCCCTCTCCGCGCCGCGCTAGTTGCCGAGCCCAGTCTCCGCCCCCCGCACCCGCACTGATGCTGATCCCCTTGCTTCCCGTGACTGTCAGAAACGCTGTGTCCATGCCATCACGTCATCTCCGCCAGAACCCAAAGCTGCCGACCCAGCCACGCATGTCACAGACCCACCGCCGCTCGACTCCAGCCCCACGAGGGGCGGCGGTGCCGAATCTGTCGCATCACAGGCTGGAGACGCCGGCAGGCTGCTTGAGGAGGATATTTGCCAAGTCGCCGCGACGCAGCTCGTCGAGCTCTCGTCTCGGTTCGTCGGCGACCTCAACCCGGAAGGCATCTTCATCGAGGCCACAAAGGAGACCGCCCCGGGGCCCAACGAGATTGGGATATGGCTCTCCACGCGCTCCGAGTCCGCCAAGGACAGCGTCCGCAGTCCCGAGCTCCCGCACCGGGGTCACCAGCGCCTCGGCTCTCACCATCAGTACCGGTCACTGACCGACCGCCCCAGCGGCCTCCTTGCCGAGTATGAACGTGCCAGGGCGCGCTATCTTAGCGAGGAGTGTCTTGTCACAGTTCCGCCTCCCGCCGACTATGCCGTGCTGCATCAAATATACATGGACAAGGTGCACCCCATATTCCCCGTCTTCACCGATTCGGATCTAGCAGGCGCCAATCCAGACTCCGTGTACTGTGCTATCCTCAAGCAGGTCATCGCGCTGGTTGGCGGCCTGGACCCCAGCGCCCGTGGCCATCTCCGTCTCGAACCCGGCGGCCCTCTGTTGAGACCACAGGACTTCCATCAGCGCCTTTCCGATGCAATATGTCCGGTTCTCGACGCCGACTGGATCCAGAGCAAGGTGGACCATATTTCCATCCTGACGACCATGGCGCTCTTCTACCAGCCCTTTGATGCCACGCAGCGAGATCGCGCCCCCTCGCTCAACACACAGGCTGTCCACCAGCTTTTGAACCTCAGCGCCCACCTTGCCGGCTATCAGTCCCAACGGCCAGGAGAAGATATCGACCGGGTGTTCTGCGCCGTGTGGGCCGTAGACCGGCTTTGCGCTTCCTTCTACGCCCGGCCCACTGTGATCCACGAGCGAGACATCGAACGAGATCTGTCGGCCACGATCGAGAAGCAGCCGCCTTGTTTTCGCCTGTTTCTTCGACTAATCCAGACGCTGGACGGCATATTCCCGCTGTATAGGCCACATCAGCGTCTAGAGTATACCGACATTCCCATTCTGGAGTCACTAATAATCGACACGGGCACGGCGAGGACGCCAACGAGGCTTCTCGGTAAGGATATACTTGGCTAGTCTCCTGAATATTTAGCTGGTGGCTCTAGGGCGCTCTTGCGACGCCATCACCTTACCACATGCCGATTTACTGATGGCGCCTTGACCGCTAGCCACGCTCGAGACTCTTTATCACGGCATCTCGGTGCTCAGCTGTCGCCAACCGCGCAGCGCATTCAACCGCCCCTTGGCAGACGATGAAAGCCGGTTGCATCTTCCCAGCGCCACCATCAACCCCCGACGCTCCCTTTCAGCCGACCGTATCAAGTGGATAGTCGAGAACGAAGACCTGGGCCCTTTCCCCTTCGTCCCATATGCCGTCTCGCTGGCTCTTAGCGTCCAGTACAGGAAGATGAGGTACAGCCGCACCGTCATGTTTCGCAACCGTGCCAGGGGCATGTTCCAGGATATCGTGGTGGAGCTGAGGAAATTGGGCGACTTCTTCTTCAGCGCAAGGGTCAACGCCGGCCTAGGAGAGAGCATCCTGCGGGAGATGGAAAAGACGGCGACCTCTCTGTGCAGGGACGAGCTGGACCACAACGGCAACGCGTCATCCGCTGCAGCGTCTATCGCCAGAGGGGCCACCCCCACGGCGGGCGGGCCGCAGGGCAGCGGTGTCGTGTCTCGAGCAGGCCATGCCGGGCCCGCAGCCACGATCGCCTCTGCTGTCGCGACCAACGGCCCTTTTGCCGATGTTCCGATGGGCGGAACAGGTCCCACAGCCACTGTGGCGTTACAAGGCGGAGGGTACGGAAATCACGGCAGCGCTGCTCCTGCCAATCATGACTCCGCGTCCGTGTTTGACAGCTTCGACGTGGACCTTGACCTGTTCGGCTATTTCGATCCGAACTTCAACCTTGGCGCGGTCGACACAGCTCTTGAAGCGAACTTGAATATCGGCTTCCCGCAGACCTGGACACGCGAGCCCTGGAATTATGCGGGCGTCTGAGCGGTGGGCCCAAGCCGGGGTTCCTGATCTTGCGCTTATTTGCCGCGCTTATTCCGCTGCGGTTGCTTGGGCACGCCGCTCAGGTAGTAGTGGGCCGGCCGTGTTGGTCAATATCCCCGCCGTTTTGAGGAGACTTTATTTTGCATTTCCAGGTTTCGCATGATCTCTCCTTGAATCAGCACAGGGCCTATGGCACATGTCAAAAACGGTAACAAGATCACCGTGCTTGTCGCGTTTATATTGGCCCGACCCCTGAGTGTCGACATCATATGGAAAGTTCCGATGATGACATCCCTCCCACTGATAAGCTGAGCAGAGAGAGAAGGCATAAAGGATGGAAAGAAAAAGAAAAGAAACAAGAAACGAACGAAATAAGGAGAAAAGCTTCCAACATTCTGGCGCGGCAGCACGGCAACTCACCCACCCCTGGGTTAGGTCGGGCCAGGGAGAATACGATTTTGAATACCTCAGCATGTGACACAACCACGCCAAGGCCGACATCTTGTATCCGTGCAACTCAACCTGGCAACGACTTTTGTGTCGCGTGCTCTCAGGGCTCCGGCTTCGACGGTGGCAGAGCTGGCGCGTCTAGATGCCCACAGGGCAAAGGAAACCCTACAGCCTCCACTCACGATGCCTCCAGCCGCGCAAGGCCATCCACACGCATGACACACGCAAGCCACATCAGTGCCATGTGTCCATCCAAAGTGGGCGCGGGTCCTGTCGTCGTCGCCGTTGCAGGCGCAGCGTTCGTCTTGGCTCGAGTGCCCAAAGCTCCAGTAGCGCGCCAAAAATGGAAGCTGGTGGCTTTCCCGCGCATGGTTCAGGCGGCGCAATTGTGCCAATTGCCTTTTTTGGATGAGGGATCCGCTCCAACTGGCAGCCGCAGCGACCCCGAGATCGAATCACGACCCGCCGACAGGGCGATGTCCCTGGACTACCCCTACCCCCTATTGCGGGCGCAGCCACTCACGATGGGTCGTCCTCTGAACTCAGAAAGAATTGTCCAATCACGCAGCGCGCGCATGTCCGATGCGACATCAACCCTGCTGGGCCAGGCGCTGTCCCCTGCCAAGGTGTGATTTGATCCGTGCATCTTGCCAATCGACGGCAATGGTGATATAGATAAAACAGCCCCGATGCGATCCTGTTGCCCCTCTCATAATGAGTTCCTTCTTCACCACGCGGTCTGCTCACTCACACTCCTTCAACACCCAACCCAGTCCGCTGATATCTCTCGGCCTGCGCTCCCATAGCATCCAACAGACGGCACCCCGACATCTCCCCCGAAGGTATCGACAACCACCAAACCGTCGTTCACGATGCGCGCTACCACTCTCGTCGGTGCCCTCGCCCTGCCCACCCTGGGTCTGGGAATCCGCATCATCCAGGGCAACGATGATGGCTGGGCCGAGATGTACGTCCGCACCATGCACGACACCCTAATGGCGGGAGGCCACGACGCCGTGTTCTCAGGCCCTGCCGAGCAAAAGTCCGGCACCGGTAAGTAACAAGCCCCGACCCCCCTGCGCACCACGAGGACCAGTGTTTGGGGAACGCCCTCGGATGCAGACTCGTAGACACGGACCGATTTTTGCTGACATCGGCTTCTTGATTGCGCCAGGCTCACACGATGCGATCCCTGCGAACCGGACGACGCCGTGCCAGTACGACTCGTGCCCGGCCAACTCTGGCCCTGTCGGCTCGGACCCCAAGAACCCACGCCTCAACTGGGTCAACTCATTCCCCGTGACGGCCATGAAGTACGGCATCGACACGTTCGGCCCCCAGATCTGGGGCAACAACAAGACGGCCGACCTGGCCGTGTGCGGGCCCAACGTCGGCGGCAACCGGTGGCTGCAGCTGCCCTTCTCGGGCACCGTCGGCGCGTCCGTCGAGGCCGTCAAGCAGGGCATCCCCGCCATCGCCTTCTCGGGCTCCTCGGGCACTAGCCCGCAGGTCTTCAACAAGACAGACCCGTCGCCCCGCGCCAAGCTCTACTCGGAGCTGGCCCTGGTGCTGGTCGATAAGCTGGTCTCGACGGGCAAGCCCTACCTGCCCGCACAGACCTTCCTCAACGTCAACTTCCCCGACATTAGCGACAAGTGCAAGTCGGTTGGGGACTTCAAGTGGATCATGACGCGCGTCACGTCGGGCCTCTTCTCAGGCAACGACGCGCCCACATGCGGCCGCAACAAGATGCCGGCCGAGTTCGATCTCATCTTCACCAAGGACTGCCAGATCTCGGTCAGCGTCGGCGACGCAAACGATAAGACCACGGCCGCCCCGGACAAGCAGCAGGTCGTACTCGACAAGCTAGGCAACTTTTTATCGTGCCTATAAAAGAAAAAACCGGGACGTCGAGAGGCGGCGGCGGGGAGGAGACTAGAGTATAATGGACTACCTACGACTAGTGTATATATGACCGCCAAGGGTGCCGACCTAGGTATTTGGATATGTGAGAGTGGGTGCTGTAAGCCATGTTATTGTTGAGAATACCCGGCTATAATCGTGTGTCTGCATTGGGAGGAGCGTTTGTTTTCCGAGAGTTCGGCGGTTCCCGACCAAGCTTTCTTTATCTACACGTTTAACCTAGGTGGGATACTCGTAACCGTCAACCCTTTTCAACCCCAGACTCTTTCACTTCCGCTCATGATTTGTAACACCGTGCCTGGCCAGTGTGTGCCCCATGGACGGCCAAGCCACGCTTAAAATCTCGGACTCCCTCGGTCGTCTCGTGGATTTCTTACCCGTCATTGTCGTCCGTTGTCCAGCATTAAAAACACCCGCACCGTCAGTCGTAACGCTTGTTAGCTTACTTTACAACCGCAGTTTGTGCCGGCCGCCTGGCGAGGTATTTATATGCATGGATGACTTTGCGCTTTGATGTTCCCTCTTCCCATTACAGCATCTCCAGGTACTCGACCCTTGAGTCGCCACCACGACGGCCCCCCACCATGCAACCGACAGCAGCCCGCTTGGCTTAGTGGTAAAGCGTATCACTAGTAGGCATCCACTGGATATCTATGCGATATGATAAGATCGTCAGTTCGATTCTGACAGTGGGCAATCGGAACCCGAGGTTGGAGGTCACGTTCGATCATCTTTTTTTGTCTATCACGCACTTGGTCAGTTCGTTTTTTGCTTTCCCTCCTGGTTCCATCACAGAAAACAAATGCTTCCTTTGCTCATTGCATCGTGGAATTAACAATTATTTGATTTCGTATTATGTACAGTCATCAAGAAGGTCGCGCAGTTGTTTTTGGTCAACTTTTAGCGCTGGCTTCCCCTGCCCCTTTTTGGGGCGCGGATTCCTGGCTCGGCAGGTCCGGCGATGGCGGTATGTCGCGCTCCTCGTGGCGGCCGATGCGAATGTCGGGCACGGCGATCCCGTAGGCGTTCATCTTGAACGGCAGCTTGCCCAGCTTGAGCGTCGTCGTCGACCAGCCGGCGACCATGCCGACCTCGTTGGCGGCGACGAGGAACAGGTAGACGGTGGGGTCGCCCAGCACGGCGTTGAAGCGCTCGTCGCCCGTGATGACGAAGACGAGCGAGTACGAGATGCGGGCCAGCATGAAGGGCATCAGGATGGCGAAGCACAGCAGCGCGGGCCGCTCGGCCGGCGGGACCTTGTCGTCGCGCGCGACCCAGAGGCGCACAAAGAGGCCGACGGTGTAGAGGTACAGGGCGGTGAAGAAGACGACGGCCGACTGGGCGATGGGGTTGGGCGCCAGCGGGTCGGGCCAGTCCTCGGCGTAGACGAAGCCGGCGGTGGCCAGGCCGATGCCGCCAAAGGCGAGGGCCTCGGGCAGCACGAAGCCCCAGGTCGGCAAGACGCAGGCGAAGCGGTTCAGGCGCGCGAGCAGGGTCTTGAGCAGGACCGTCATCTGCGCGATGCAGAGCGACTCGCACACGAGCACCCCCGCCCACACGTCGCGCGAGTTGCGCTCGAACGTGGCCAGCATCAGCGCCGCGCCCACGAGCCGCAGGAGCGAGAAGACGAGGAGGCTCCACCAGCCGCTGCGCCGCGTGCACAGGACGACGAAGGCGACACCGAGGTAGATGGTGAAGGCCGCCACCTGCAGCACCGAGATGGCGTCGCGGTAGCCGAACGGGCGCCGCATCGTTGGAGGAGAGGAGGAGGAGGAGGAGGGTGTGGAATGCGCTTCGAGGGGGCGCTCGCGGTCGTGGTTGGCGTCGTCGTCGTCGTCGTCGTAGTTAGTCCAAGTCGCAATGCATCGTGAGTTTTTTCTTCACCGAGCCGGCAAAAGGCCAGAGTTTGGAGCTGGCCTGACCGACAGCCCATCATTGCCCCAAAATCCGGTTGTCCAATTTCGATTGCGCCGGAAGCGGCCGCTGTGTCTCCAGCGCTAACGTCACCATGGGGGCGCGGTTGCCTTGGCGACCTGACTATGGTCACGTGAAAAGCACATGACCAGAGCATGACATCAGTGTGTGGTTTATTCTATGGTTTAGCACGGCATCTGCCTTTTGCTGTTCTGCTGTCGCTTGACGGTTTGTGTGCGAGTGAAGTTTGGTAGAGCAATGCACCCTTTTTTCTAGATGTGATGGCCAGGTTAATGCAACGTTTCATATTGCAGCTCGCCACTCGGCTTTGTTGAAGGATTGGGATGTGTTAAAGTGAGGCCCCGACACTGAGCCAAACAGACACACCTCGTAAGCGGCGATAACAATGCCATTTGCGGGAGATCATCGGCAGCGCACCAGACTTGTACCGCTCAACGTCATCCAGCCTTGACACCAACCCCGTCGGCCCGACTGAGCTGAAAGTCACGTTTGCATGCTCGGACTTGGCACCAAGACCAGCTCCAGGACTGGATGTAATCCGATAAAGACACCAGAGTTGAAATCGAATACGAGATCAAGATGGTAACATGCCGAAGCCACCCAAGCTAGAGGATCTCGCCAAGCATTATATCCCAGCCCAACCCAAGGTCAGGTGCTCCTTTGTCCGTATGCATACACAAACTGATACCTTGACGAAATGTTCGTGGCTGGAGAAGGGTGGTATAAAAAGTGGGTAAAGGCCTTTCCATCTGCCAGATGTTGACGGCGGAAAGTAAGGGGCCAGCTCTGTAACCGAAGCAAGGGGCACCTTGCCGGCAAAGTAAATCCTCCCACATCTATTAATCCAAGGCACCCACTCAACCCACCCGACATGCACCTCCCCGCCCGCCCGCCTCGCCGCCCTCGCCGCAGGGACCCTAGCCCTAGCCCTCCCGCAGCAGCGGCGGCAGGGCCATCTCGGCGCGCGCCAGGCCGCCTGCGCCGAGCTCTCGAGCGGGGGCTCCTTCGCATGGGAGATGCGGGACTTTTCGTACCGCGCCTTCTGGATCTTCCAGAACCCGGCCCAGCAGTGGGCCCGGGGCGAGCTCGGCTTCACGCTCGCCAACCCGGCCACGGGCCGCGAGGCCGCCTGCAGCGCCACCAGCAGCCAGCTGTCCGACTTCTTCTACGGCACCGTCACCTACAGCTGCGACGTGCCCGACGTGGAGGGGCAGCCGCCGCCGACGTTTAGGTTCAACGGGTACGGGCTATGGCGCCTGCAGGTGAACGAGACGTGGGCCTGCTCCCCGGGAGGGTTAGTGATTCTCTTTTTCTTTTTTTTTTTCTTTTTTTGCCATTTACCCTTGCCCGTAGCTTGCCCGCACAGCTGTCGTGATTCCCTATTTTGTTGGTAACCCGCCCTAACTCTATTTACTAAAACCTTCATCGGTGCCACAACGAGGGACCTGCCTCTTAAATGCAATGACACTGGGGTGGTGCAGAATCCGGACTGGGAGCCCGGCTAGCCTGGGAACTTCTACTCGACGCGTTATCTGACCTGCGACCCCTTGGACATCACGCTCCCAGCCCAGGTTGCGGTTGGCGTGTGAGTGGAGCTCGGGTTGGGGATGCATCTATTATGGACTCGGACTTGGAGTACACATGGACGCCTTATAGTTAAGGTCATTGGCCCATGAGCAGGTTGTAGCTTGAGTTCGCACATGATCTTCACGTCTTCGCCGGAGAGTCCAGTCCGCAAGTTTTACACTGTGCTTGTCTGACAAAAGAAACAACGTTGAGCTCTCAAAAGTATTGACAAGAATTGAAACACCACCGGCCCGTCCTGGTCCCACCCAAAATTCCTTCCAAAGGACAAGAGCACTGCTTACAAACTAAAGCCCTTGTCGCTTTCCCAAGCCCGCGTACCACCACAGTCTCGCGTCTCCCAGCCGAAATGGTTCACACTGTACACATGCAGAGAAACGACCTCCTCGACCAGCGGAAGACTGCTTCACATAGCCCTCAAACCAGCCCCTTTCCGCCTTTTCACCCCGCTCCACAAACTCACAGACCGCTCTTAAGCGGGCGAGTTGACAGTGATGCGCGCCGAGCCGGCGCTGCGGTAGCCCTCGGTCGCGACGATCATGTAGTTGTGGTTGCCGAGGGGCATGCCGGCGCTGCGCCAGGCGTTGAGGAAGTTACCCATGGTGATGGTACCGCCGGTACGCTTCGAGGTACGGATGGCCCAGTACTGGTTGAAGGTCTTGGTGCCCTCGATGGAGGGGGCGTTGTACCGGGTGCTCTGATACAGGTTGTAGGTGCCGCCGTCGCTCTGGACCTGGCCCTTGCGCGTGGCCGAGTTGCCCGGGTTGTACTCGCCGAAGTTGTCGAGCACGTAGTACTCGACCAGCGGGTTCTGCATCCAGCCGTAGACGCAGAGGTACTGTTTTTTTTTGTTTGTTAGGCTTCCATGTGATCAAGCGGTCAGATAAGGAGGGAGGCGCTTACAGAGTTGCCGTTGTTCACGGGGCTGAAGGAGCCAGAGTATGAGATGGAACTGCGGTGAGCACAGACAAGGCAAGTTAGCGGGTCTACCTAGGTTTGGGGGACCATCTCGCGGGAGCTCCAGACTTACCGAGGGCCGCCGGGGTTCCAGCCCTTGCCGCCGACAAAATTGCCGCCGGAGCGCCAGTTGACGCTGTAGCCGCCGCCGCCCTCGTTGGTGTAGGTGACGGGCGAGGCGCCGTCGGTCCACCACGAGTAGTAGTAGCCGTTGTGCCTGCCGGTGCTGCTCGGGGTCGACTGCCGCCTCATGAGCTCCTCGAGCGGGAAGCCCGTCATGTTGGCGTCCAGGGGGAAGGCGAGGGCGCTGCTGGCCAGGGCCGTGCAGGCCGCGAGCAGGGTGGTGAAGGAGACCATGGTGGCGGTGGTGATGGGGCTGGCTGGGGTCTGGGCGACTAGTAGGGGCTTCTGGTGCTTTGCCGGTGCTGGGAGATGAGGAGGAAGGTCTGGACTGCCCTGCTGGTGAGAGTGCTACTGTCGATTCTGGTCAACGGGGTTCGAGTCGAGGGCCTTCTTATACCCTAACCGCCACCGCCCAGAGACGGCCGTGATCAACAAGACTAAGCCAAACTCCCTCTCTCGTCATGTTCTCGCGACCCTGCTGGCACCACCTTCTCGGTTGGGTGGCTACGTTATCGGAGAAACCTCCCTGGGAGGGGTGTGTGGACTTGTCGACTGTCGATTGTGGGTTCCGTTCGGTGTGTGATGGCGCCGCCAACGCGGAGAGTGACGCGCCGGTTGCCATTTGCGATCTTGTCCCTGAGCTGGCAAGCGTGATCTGAAGTTGGGCGGGGTCCCCACTCTGCATGGGATCGGGCCTCGAGACTATGGGGGATTTTGAGGACTCTGCCAGCTGGCGGCCCATATCGGGACGCGCTTCCTTGAGGTGACTCCGTGTTGGCCAGCCAGGCGCATGCCGTCGAAGGATTGCCATGTCTTGGAAGTCAATCTGTAGAGCCAGGACAAGAACAACCCGGCTTCTGGATGGGCCATGTCTCGGCTAGTCAGGATCGCTGTGGCTGACGCTGCCTGGGTGGGTGCATGTACGACAATGGAGGCGTGCGATGCGGGAGGGTGTTGTGGCCTCGGGGGATTTTTTTTTGTCGCGCGATTTTTCCTGTTGGGGTTGGCGGCATATGCCCGCGGCACTGCAAAGCCCACCATTCCGGAACGGGCACGCATGGCTTGGCCCATCGAACAATGTTGTGATGCCGTTGGTCGGTCCACAGGGGGGAGGGCTCCCAAGATGGCGCCCATTGGAGCATTTGGTCTGGGCATGACGGCGGGGTGTGGGGGAGGGAGGGCAGGGACTTATACCAGCCAAGCCCTTTCCAGAAACATGGGGCTCCCCCGCAGTTACCACAAAAAAACAAGCCAGAGAGGACTGCCGAGATCGCCCCATCGGGGGGCCGCCACCTCTGTACCACGATGGGTTCACGTGGTCGCATCGGGATGTTGTCTGCTGGATTTAACCGGCACGGGCATGGGGTTATAACCGGCTTGGGGGGTTGCTGCTGGCTTGCCCGCCGACCTTGGCGCCCAAGGTGAGGGCATATTGCTTGTAACGACGTGTGTCACGGCTTCTATCGAGACATCACATCTCGCGTGCGGTCATCTATGGTTCACTACACTACAGGGGGCCGCGCAGATGAAGTCGGCCTCGGCGGGCGGCACCGCATCTCCGATTACGTCGTTTTCCGTAGCGTTCTTCGGTTTCCAGGGCCGCCTTCATATCGCCGCCCGCCCTCGATTTAATATCGGGTGAGGCTCATGCGCCCGTTGGGGAGGGGAGGGACTGCAGCCCGCCTACCTGTTCGAACGGCTCGCGGCAGGGTGGCTATTTTGGTCTTGGCCCCCCCCTGGTCGCCCATCCGCCCGACGACTCGATGATGACCATCGCCGTCACGGGCCCGGGGGATCAGTGGACGCGTCGTCCGTCGTCGCCAAGCAAGCCCATCAGCCGCCTTCGCGGGTAGGTGATCAGGCTGAATTCGAGGGGGGCGGGCACGAGGGAGGTTGCCGGCGAGGGTGCCGCCTGCCCGCGGCCAGTCATGGACGTCGCCAGCGGCCTGGTCGGGCATCTGTTTCGAAACACACGTGGACAGGGGGGCTGTGATATCAGGCTGTTGTGCGCAGATGCGACCTTCTCTGCTGATATCATGGTGGCAAGAGCAGGCATGAGATGTTGGATACAGGTGTGTGTAGAGGTGTAGAGTGTGTATTTTAGTCCGGCGCGCGCGGCTCCTGCACCATGAAATTTCCGAGAATCATAAGAACGGGGTAGGGGTCTTTGTGTTCCCCCATTGTGTGTTGCTCCGGCAGGCGGGCAGCCGAGGGTGTCGATGCTGCGGCGCCGAGTGGACGGAAAATTTGGAGTCCGTGGCTCGGAGGCTGCTGTCTTGGGCGCAGGTCAGGCCCACCGCCACGGATCTGCTCCGGCCTATGGGGGTAATGGGTAACCGCATTGTCTCTGGAGGGTGTAGTGGGTGTCCAGAACACATGAAGCCCAGATATCGTCCCTTTGCCGAGTTAGCAGTAGTACTGGCCAGCCGGGGATTTTCTCAGGTAGGTACACGGCAGGCTGCTTTGAAATTTCAAAGGGAGTGAGCAGATGTGGGTGGAGAAGGATGTGTCGCACAGTATAAAATACAATGTTGGTGTAGAGCAAAGCACATTGTCCTTTCCAAATAGGCCAGGGTATTAGCGGCATCCATGTTTTCTAGCTGGCCCATCGTGATGGAATCAAACATGGCACACTGCGGAAAAGCAGTGGTAATGTAGCAAAATAAAGAGAAAATTAAAGTAATTGGTGTCCAATAATATGGGGTAGTAGGTAGTGGAAGGAAGACGGACGCAAAGGTTGTGTAAATAAATATGTTTGAAAAAATAATGGAAAACGAAAGCGTGAGAAAACGAAAGCGTGAGAAAACGAATCGGCAAAATTTGATCAGAGTGGGACTCGAACCCACGCGGATTGCTCCATAGGAAGACTGTTGTAAAACCTTAATCCTACGCCATAACCAACTCGGCCATCTGACCTTGAAACAAAGGCATATTCAGCTGCATGATAAGCCTGCAGGAGGCTCTGCTCCCCCGCCAGGCCACCGCTTGCCCCACGCCCAGGGACCCGACGGTTGCACAGTCTGGGCCACGCTGCTCGCTTATGCCGGTTGGGCTGCCGCCGTCCACGGCCCGTTGCACCCCGATACACAGGCCGGTGAAGGGCCAAAGGCGGAGAGTGGACGCCGACTGTCGGTGTATTTCACTGGCCCTGAAGGATTTGATTCTCGCCACGCATTTGCCGCTTCAAGCGCCCAATGTCGTTCTACGCCGCTCGGCTGCGTGCCCATTATGACTCCCGATGATTCAAGTCCAGGGATCGGCTTCCTACCCGATTTCCCCTCTGAGTGCCAAGCCCGTCGTTTGCTGGAAACAATCGGTGTGGCGGGGTTCAACATGCGGGCGCCCAAGAAAACTGAAAACCCCAACCAGTCACTGCGCCGCGAAATGGCGAATGATATAAGCATGCACAATATACAATATGCACGCCGGATACGGGCCGTCAACGGCAAGATGGCGTCGTTTGACGTATTGATAACAAGCTCGACCGGTCTGGGCAAGGTAGGCGACCAACCCAGGATGGAAGGAGGCGGGCTGGTGGCGGTAAGAATGACATGCAAAGGGCGCGCAGTTTCTGCACCCCCACTTCGAATCCGTCTCATGCGAGGTCGGAAGCCAACCCCCTGATATCGAGTCATCGTGGAACCCACCAAAGGTACTATTTCTACCTCGGCCGCCGCCGACTTTTGCTCTGCAAGCCGTCGTCCTTTACCTCTGTGCTGTGTGCTTTATTGTTTGCTGCTTGCTCCGACGTCCAGTTATGAACACAGCCCTTCTTGAGGAGACCGACCCCTTGCTGGGAGATGTGGCGGCGAACCGTGTCCACCACGCCGTGACGGTCGATCCTGATGCTCCAACCGAGGAGCAACCCCTGGGTTTCGGCCTTGGCGATGCTGATCCGGACGACCCCATGAACTGGACGACGGCCTACAAGTGGTTCATTGTCAGCCTCCTTGCGCTCATGGCGTTTGCTGTGTAAGTCTGCGTTTGATATCAATGCGACACACACGGGCTGTGTGTGACTGACACAGACGGCTTCGTGTCACCTACACCAAATCGCAGCACATTTACATGTATGTCCCTCATTCCCATCGCGTCGCGCATCGTCAGCGACCTCGACGGCGAGAACGACCGCGACCGCGGCGATGAGGCGGCCCCGTCCGTGGGCGCCAGCGTGGCGCTCCTGGTGACCATCTGGGAGCTGGGCGAGGCGGTCGGCCCCGTGCTGATCGCGCCGCTGTCCGAGATCCACGGGCGCTGGCCGGTGCTCAACGCGGCCAACTGGCTCTTCGTGGCCGCCACCGTCCTGGCCGCCCTGTGCCGCCGCACCGACCTCTTCATCGGCGCGCGCGCCCTGACCGGCTTCGCCGTTGCCACAAACGTGCTCAACCCGGCCATCGTCGGCGACATGTTCCCGCGCGAGGGCCGCGGCGCCGCCATGAGCGCCTGCATGCTCACCCCGCTGCTGGGCGGCGCCTTCGGCCCCGCCATCAGCGGCGCCGTCGCCCAGACGATAGGGTGGCGCGCCGTCATCTGGCTGAGCGTCGGGATATCTGCCGTGTGCTCTCTGATGCTGATGCTGCTCCTGAGGGAGACGTATAAGCCCGTCATCCTGAGGCGCAGGGCCGAGCGGGCTCGGCGAGAAGGGAAGCTCAAGCAATCCGTGGTGGGCGAGCATGCGTACGGCTACGGAGCCACCGCCGCCGGGCTGGTTGCCCACGGCCAGGAGAGCGAGAAGGGCGGGGCGGCGAAGCTGATGGAAGCCATCATGCGGCCGGCTACTGTCTGGTCTAGCTCTGGGGTTTTGATTGCCATGGCGGCGTTCAACGCGCTTGGCTTCGCGTATTTTTACATCATCACGGTCTCGCTGTCAGTGATTTTGGACACCCTATACGGCATGTCACCCGCCGAAATTGGCGGCGCGGTCCTGATTCTAAGTCAGTGCTCCCCTCCACCTCTCCGTTCCTCCGCAGCAAATGGGCCCGGAACATAAATAAAAGTAACCTAGCTAACAGCGGCTCGAAACAGGCTCGGGCGAGTTCCTGGCGCTATTCATCATCAACCTGACCCTCGACCCGCTATACGTCAAGCTCCGCAACGCCAACGGCGGCGTGGGCCGGCCCGAGTACCGACTCCCCATCTCCATAGCCGGTGCCCTGATGATGCCGGTGGCGGTCGCGGCCTACGGGTGGGCGGCCGAGTACCACGCGCCGGTGCCCGTGGTCCTGGCGGCCGGCGCCGCCGTCTGCTTCTCGCTCCTCATCACCAGCATGCCCATCACGGCCTACGTCGTCGACGCCTTCGGCGATTACTCGGCGTCGGCGCTGACCGGCGTAATGGTCTGCCGCTGCCTGGCGGGCACCTTCCTGCCGCTGACGATCGCGCCCCTGACCGAGTACCTCGGCTGGGGCTGGGGGTTCATGGTCCTGGCAAGTGCCAGCCTGGCCGTCGCGCCGGTGCCGATTCTGGTCATGCGGTACGGGCCGCGCTGGAGGATGCGGTCCAAGTACTCGCAGGAAACGTGAGTTTAGCAGCAGAATAGCGTGAGGTGAAAATAATGCAGGGCTACAGGAGACGTGTAAACACTCATCGAGAGCAAGTAATTAAGGCATATTTTGAGGCTACCGAGGTTGTCCGTCATAGGAATGAGGACTGACCTCCAAATAGTTCCTAGAACGAACTCGGCAAGGGCTGGGGTTGAAGACGTGCTGGTCAGGCTGTTCTCCACTGTGCTGTACTGAGGGGACCTCAAGCTGGCGGGGTTGATTCAGGAACAGCGAGCCGGTGCCACCAGCGTCATCCAGCCGCCCCAAGATCGCCGGACACAGCGCCAAAATCCGATCCTAAACACCGCGTCGAGCCCGGGCGAGTGCCATTCATTCGCATTTATCAGCAGGCTGGGCATGATATTGATTTGGCATCATAAGCCCGCCGTGTGTTCAACATTGCAATCATTTCCTCCACCATAAAAACCGAGTGCTCTCCCTCCCCTTTACTGTTTGAGAGCTTCAACATCGCCAGTTGCCCTCGCACGAAGCAACCAAAATGTCGACAGCGATTGCAAAGACGATTGTGGCCACTGGTGCCACCTCAGGCCTGGTGAGAAATCACCTTGAGCCAGTCACAGGCCTTGCAAGGAGGACCCGTCTGTACTGACCACGAATAACACACCAAGGGCTTCGAGATGGTCAAGCAGCTCCTCTCGCAGGTGGACCAGCCCTACAGGCTCATCCTGGGCGCGCGTGACACCGCAAAGGCCCGCACCGACTTCGATTCTCTGGGCTTCGATGCCGCTCGACATAGCCTGACGGTCCTTCCCCTGGAGCTGACGGACCTGGCCGGCGTCCGGACATTTGCCAAGAAGGCCCTCGAGGATCTTGGCCGCAGCGACGACGGCCGTCTCGACTATCTTGTGCTCAACGCCGCCGCCGCATTTCCGGCCGAAACGGGAGACCCTAATAGGTCCAAGTGGTGCGACGCGTACACTATCAACTATCTATGTGAGGATTGCTGCTCCCTTCCTTTCTGTCTGGGCGTGGTGAGCCTGTGCTGACTAGCACTGCTGACATCTCATCCTTAGCCCAACACTACCTGACCCATCTGCTGCGCGAGAAGCTCGTAGCCTCTCGCTCGCGCATCGTGGTGGTCTCGACGGGCGCGGTCCAGAACGTCCCTGACCCATGTAGGCACTGCCCCTCGCGACCGCCTAACCCAGCAGGTGTTTCTACTCGTAACCCCCCAGCTGATATACCCGTGTGAAGCCACCCTGGCCGACACCCTAAAGCTCGGCTCCGGAGCGACAAGCTGGAAGACGTATCCCGCCTCCAAGTTCCTGCAGCTGCTCACCGCCCACTGGTGGCGCCGCGAGCTGCACGGTGTCTGCGATGTGGTCGCCGTATCGCCGGGCATGATCCCAGGCACAGGCCTTGGCCGTGGCGCCGATTTTAAGGCGCCGGCAAATGTCATGTCGTCTGCCAAATCCATCCCAACCGGTAAGCACCACTGCTCCCCTGCGGCAATTTTCTCCTCTCTCTCTCTGTATCGCTTGACGACTCATCCGCTGACCCCTGCCTTGCACGCCGACTACAGGAGCCTCCAGCATTCTTGAGGCCCTCTTCAGAAAAGACTTCCCGGACGACCCTGACAGGATCTTCCTGACCAGCTGGGGTGAGTGGTGGCCCGCCAGTGAAATCAGCGCCTCTCTCGACAAGCAGCTTCAGAACGGGTGGTCTCCAAGCAAGGGGGAAATTGAGAGGGAGGCGAGCCTGCCAGCAGAGTGAGATGTAACTTGTGATGAGGGGGATAGGGATGTGTAACCCATATTATATTTAAGTCAAGCTTCTACGACCCCGGTAGATATTTGTACGTATTTCTGTGTGATTGCTGGGGTTTGACGGAAACAGATATACTACGCTTACAAAACAAAATCATGTCTCCGACAATTTTGCGGGAGGGCGGTAGAAGGTGGTGCGGGGTTCGGAGGGGAGCTGGGTCTGGAAACCGCCAGGGCTACCTAACCTTCGGGGCGGCGCGGCGCACATCCGGGCCGTGTTCGGCCGCATGGGTTTTTCGGACCGCGAGACGGTGGCGCTGAGCGGCGCGCACGGCCTGGGCCGCTGGCACGCGGCCAACTCGCGCTTCGAGGGCAAGTGGGCCAACAACCCGACCCGGTTCTCGAACCAGTACTTCCGCCTGCTGCTGTCCGAGGACTGGGCCGAGCGCACGGTGGCGGCCAGCGGGAACCGGCGGTTCGTCGCCGTCAACAGCGTCACGGGCGACGAGCTCATGATGCTGCCGACCGACATGGCGCTGGCGGCGGACCCGGCGTTCAGGGAGTATGTTGAGCCGTCGACGAGGTCGCTCCGGCCCGCCCGCCAGGCGACGTCGGGCCCGCCCATGGCGCGGATGGCCGTGGCGCCCGCGAGCGTCCAGAGGTCCGCGTACGTGACCCATGGGTGCTTGGCCTTGACGGGCTCCAGGAAGCCGCGGGCGTGGTGGAGGCCTCGGCCTCGTACCGCATCCCGGCGCCGTTGGAGCCGCCCGTGTCCGTCTCGGCATCGTACGTGCCGGCCGAGTGCATGGGGGTGTAGGATTTTTTTATTTTTAGCGAGGGGAAGGTCCATTTCGTTCGTCGGATGCTCCGCACAGGGACGTTTAGTACAACACCCATCCCACGGGCTCCAGACACTCACCACGCGGGTCGGACCAGCAGTGGACCTGCGCTTCCGTCGTCGTAGTCCGGCTGCTCCGGGAGGAGCTCGATGTCCTTGCGGACGGTCAATTCTCTTTTTTGTAATTACGACATTGCGAGCTCAGTCATACTCTTCTCTCTCCCAACCCCGATAATCGGAAAATTCGTCCGAAATCTAATGCTTTGGCTTCTTGACGCACATCTATCTACTGAAGAAAAGCACCCTGGACTATTGGCTCCGCACCTCGTCTCACGAGGCAAGGCAACTTTGGTTTCCGTTATTGCACCATGCGCTACAGAGGCCCACGATATTCGGTAGAACGCTATAGAAGGACCGGTCAAGAAAGCTGAAGCTGCTCTTGGATCTCGTCGCACAGGCGAACCGCGCGCACAGTTCGGGCGCCGGCTTATGCGGAGCCTCAGACGAGGAAGACGAGAAGGACAGGCATCTACAAAGCCGTCCTTCTTCCGAGCGCCCCGAGCAGCTTGATTATCACCGTCTTCCGGACTGGCCGGCACGGGGAACACCAGCCGAGGCAGACACAGCACTGAGTCGATTCTGCTCGCTTACTCTCACACCTCGGCCAAGTTCCCCGTCATTCCCATCAACCCGTCGCCCGGTATGACGTTCAGCGTCCCCCGCTGCGTCCTGGCCGCGCTTGCCGCCACGCCGGCGGTCGCGCAGGCGGCAGCGACAGCGGCAGCTGCTCCCCTACCGCCCCCGCAGCTGTTGATGCCGCGCAACCAATGCATGGAAGGCGCCGACAAGATCTATTACGGCATCGATGGCGGCCAGTCGCAGGTCCAGTACGCGGCCGACCTGTCCATCACGTCGTCGGTCACATACAATGACATGGCCGACAGCATCGACGGGGGCGAAGACGCCACCGATTCCAAGCGCGATGCGGCGCTCCTCGGCTTCGGCGCTAACGAGGGCCAGCGTGGGGTGGTCGCCAAGAGCAGCAACCCGGCGTACCAGACGCCAGAGTACAAGGATACCGGGGCGAAGCCAGAAGGAATTGTGATCAAGTTGATAGACGCCTCAGATCGTTAGGTGGGTATGCTTTTCAAGGGGGAGTGCTATATCACCCCGCGCGTATTGCTATTTAACCCCGTATCCATCTGTGCACACGTGTGAGCATCGCCGCGCACCGTCTCACGGGCCAAATTGAATGTACCCAAACGACGAGCGATGTTCTCCCATGTTGATCACGTCAATTCATGAAGTCACTAGTTCAATTCCCCGTACTGCACGGTCGTTGGCACGGCCGTTCTTTTTTGCGTCGGTTGACAGGCAGAGGCACAGATCCGGCTTGGGCCCGACCCACCAATGGCCCCGCTTTGCTTATTAAGGCCCAACCCCTTTTAATCCCTGCACCAACTTTAATCCTTAACACCAAAAAAACCCGCGATTTTTATCGTTCCAGCCTCATTTAAATCGATAATGCCTTCCGACGCTATTTGGCCTTCCCGTAACAAAGCTTTTAATATTTTACCTTTCCGATTAAAAAGCCGCCCCCGTTGGCCCGGGCAGGGGCTAAAACAATGGGCGAAAAGGAAGCACTAGGGCGGACCCCGACCGCTGCCGGGTTAGGATCGGAGACCCCTGCAGCTAATTTGGGAGGTGGGCCCTTAGCCCCTAGCCTATTTGCCGACGATTCCGATTCCTCCCTTACGGGGGTTGATTTCAGCGCCTCCCGCACGTTACTTACGAACACAGTTACGTTATTATTGACAGGCATTGAACGACCAGCAAAAGCACAGATTCCCGGCCCAAACTAGTGGAGGTACCTTGACAGTTTGTGTTGCACGGTGACTCCGCTATTTCGGGGTCAAATAGCAATACGCGCGGGGTGATATAGCACTCCCCTTTTCAAGGGCTATGCCCCGAGGGATGTAATAAGGAGATTTAGATATTATTGAAGTTTTGCCCCAATCCGACCGGAAAACACATTGGTATTCGTTAGCTACTATCCTCCCCACGAAGCGACGCGGCAGTTCTCAATATTCGCCGCTTGATGGTAAATCGAATGAGGCAAGAGGCTCTCCAGTCTCACGCTTGGGGCCTTCGGCGGAAGGCCTCTTGCGGTCGTAAACCATTTCCCACGTTTCCCAATCGGTCCCTTGAAAATGCAGGTCCTCGTAATACACCGTAAGATGGCCGGCGTCGATATAGGTCCAGCCAACGTCCCAGTTAATATTTCCTTCGAGTGGTTCATATTCCTCGTCGGTCCGAGGGTTCCCGTCCTCGTCCAGCTCCGCAGGTATAAGGTGGCGATCGTCCTTATCGTGGTGCCCGTGGGTACCGTCAATAAGAACAACTTGGCCTTGGAGTTGCCAATGAATCCCTGGACCGCGGTGCCATTCGTCCCGCGTTACCGTAATAGAATCCAAACAGGCGCGGTCTACGTAAATGCAGTACTTAAAGCGCGGGCACGCTTTAGGTATCCACGGCGGCGCCCGGCCCGTCGCGCTCGTCGGACCGCGCGGCAACCCATTCGAGGAAGCGGGCGCGGATGGCATCTCTAGACGCGCCTTCGAAGGCTTTGTTTTCGATAATGGTCCATTCGAGATCGGGCCCTAGCTCGCCCTATACTCCTTCACTTTCCATGTGATTGGCGTACTCGCCTTTAAGGAGAGTGATAAACTTTGCCCAAAGCGCGTTGTCGTTATATGTGCCACGGAAAATAACGAAGTTCCATTTGCGGTACCGTATCCAATGGCGGGTGTCGATGGTCTGTGCGAATTGGTCTTCGCTGGGCGTATAGTCTGGTGGTAGGTTTGGTATGCCAAGGTTGGCCATCGTGGCTGGCGACTGCGCTGAGTTGTGTGTTGGCGCGAGCAAGTGAGGGCGGGAGCTGCCAGCGAAGCGTCGACTTTTGTGACCTAAAAAGCTAAGGGGGTCCTAGCCCGCAGCGCCCCAACAACATTTAAATCGCGCCAAGTCCTATTTCTTTTCCTCCCTCTTGATATCGATTATCGATTAAAGAACTATCCTATCCCCTCCATTTTGATTCCGACGACCTACTTTCCTTGAAGCAGCCGGTTGGCGCTTATCATCTCTTGATCAACCAACATTCAATGCCCCTGGCTCCCGCTATGCAGACTTCCCTTCTCCACTCCCGCCGCCCCCGCGGGAGCGGCCCGGCGCTTGCGAAGTAGCACGAACGCTAGTACACCAAGGATAGCCACTACGCCCAAGGTAACCATCGCACCAATGACGCCTGCCACGGCGTTGGACATGCCACTCCCCGAAGGGGCCGGACCGTCGACCTGGTTCCCGTCAGCGGCGCAGAAATCGGCCGTGGAGCCGCACGCGGCGCACCACCCGGCGGCGGTGGCGATGGAGCGGGACCGCATCTGCGCGGCAAAGTCGGGCCACGCGAGCGAGTCGGCGCCGGAGCCGAAGAGCGGGAACGGCGACAGGGCGCCGGCGGTGCCGTTGCGGAAGAGGAAGCGGACGCGCAGCGCCGAGGCCGGGTCCTGCGGGAAGGACGCCACGGTGTCGGCGCTAAAGAGCTCAAAGGCCATGGTGGAGGCGTAGTCGGGCAGGCCGAAGAAGTTGGTGTCGACGGCCGTGAGGTTCGCGAGGCCGAAGAAGGCCAGGAAGGTGTTGTAGCTGCCGCCGAGGAGGGAGAACTTGAGCTTCCCCTTGGAAGTGACGGTCTGGTTGAGCTGGTTGAGGACCGCGGCGCTGAACGTCTCGGCGTGGATGGACCGCGCGGGCTGGGTGGTGTTGTAGTTGGCGCCAAACTCGGAGCTGTCGGCCAGGGTGCGTAGCTGGAAGAGATCCTCGTCCGTGACGTTCCTCGCGAGGGACGTGGCGTTGTGGATGCGTGCTACATTGATCAGGTCGAAGATGTCGAAGGCATTGGCATAGCTCATATTGTCGGCGGACGTGTAGTCGTACACCGCCGGCGACTCCAGGATAGGAAAGAAGCGACGGTAAAAGTCACGGGTGGAGGCCTGCCGAGAGGAAAATTCGGCGCTGTTCTGGAAGGAGTTGCTCGCCTTGGCGTAGGCAGGGCAGCCATCGCTACCCTTGATCCAGATGGTGTCTGGGGAGTTTTTGTTCACCCCCTGGAGGGTAACATACTGATAGCCGTCCAGGGGGGACTCGGACTTGGAGCCATTGTTGAGCGTCTGGGCGGCAACCTGGCCGTCGGTGGGAGGATACAGGCCCTGAAGGAACGCCGTTGCCGTGTTGAGCAAGATGCCTTGGTTGGGCGCGGCAGCATAGACCTGCGACGAGACGTAATTGAACTCGGAGATGTTGAGGATGCGGTGCGGAGAACCAGCAGTAAGGTACCGGGCGCGGTAGCCGCTGCCGACCTGGAAGTTTTGCGTGGCACCAAGATTGGTCAGGGCCTGCGCACCGTAATGCTTCACGGTCCCTTTTGAGTTGCGGCGGGTTAGATCACTGAGCGAGGCCAGTTTGGGGTTGCTCATCACGTACGATCGCCATGTCTCGAGAATACAACAACCCCGTGAACAGTCTCAGCCACGGCAGAGCCCGCCAGGAGACCTGCCAAGGCTAGAATCACAGTGGGAGGGGAGACCATCTTGACTGGTTCCGTATTGAGCACTTCGCAGACTGATTGGGTTTGAAATTCGACCTCGCAGCCCGGACGGGTAGTCCCTGCTTAAGTAGGCTCAAATTCTCACATACAATCGGGAAGCTGCAGAACATGTGGAGTGGGGGCGGGGGAATTTCCGCGGGATTTTACGTACTGGCGGGGTTCCTTGATAACGGCCTGACCCACGTTTGCATCAACGCGACGGTAACAACCATCTGCTTGGCCCATATCCCCTCGTATCCTACCCTAAACGCGTCCGTCGAGGCCTAAATCGATTATAGCAACCAGCTAAAAACGTCCCAAGAATTCTTCCATCGTGGTTTCGCACTCGACAAGCCAGTTGGCAGTTCTCTAATACGCTTAATAGCGTACCCTCCATGCGCTATTGTAAGTGCGATGGGGTGGCCTAGACCGAGAACCTACCCGTTACGGTAAAGTGTCACAAACAGGTCTTTGCGGTTAAGGCAGGAAACTTAAGGGGGTATTGTGCAGTAGCGACTTTAGCTGGTCAACAAAGGGAGTATTAAGTCAGTGCACCCCGTGTCCGACCACCCCCCGTCCGGACACCTTTTCCTACATAAACTCACAGTTTTCATAAAGCATTTAAAAATCGTATAAAAATCGTATAAATATAACGTAAACGGCATTATATAGCTAAAAGCATAAAAATTTACGAAATATATTATATTTATATTTATTTACTTTCTATAAATTATAATTTGGATTTTAACTAACTTAAGCTAAAATGTTAGTGTTTTTTTAGCAAATTATATACAATTTATACCATTTTAAAATATGCAATAACTTTTTAAATAAGTATATTATTTATATAAAACAACTTACGTTGTATATATAAAATCCCGGAATTTATATTTTAAAAAGTATTAAATTACATAATTTTTACATATTTAATTAAAATTTAAAAACTTAAAAAGTTGCTTTTACTGTGCAATACACTGTGTGGTTTCAAAATATAAGCTTAAATATACAAATTACGTAAATAAAAAAGTATTTACGTAAAAGTTTAGGTTTTTAAAAGTTAAATGCAGGTTATTGCATATTTATAACGTATATATTAACAAAGTTATTTATAGTTTAACATTGTTATAAAATGCATACATTTTTTTAGTAAACTTTAACAGTTTTTTTATCCGCAATTTATACTTTATTAAATATGTATAAGTATATATTTTAATACGTTATATAAAAGCTTGCCCTTTCGGCTATATAAAAACGGGTACTTTATACTTATATTATTTTTATACGATTTTTAAATGCGTTATGAAAACAGTGAGTTTATGTGGGAAAGGTGTCCGGACGGGGGGGTGGTCGGACAGGGGGTGCACTGACTTAGGTAATTTGGGAGCAGGTTTACATTTTTGCTTTAAAGGATACTTGAATGTGAATTTGCCTTAACTAATTCCAAAACTTTGAGTAAAGGTATTCGAAATGTTTATTTGCACTCATTGTGTACAATAGGATCGCGGTGCTTCTACTTTTCTATATATAGCGGGGAAACCTCGGTAGTTGGATATCCAAGCCCTCCTTCCAAAAGTTATTCAAAATGGTAACGAATTTTGCCTTCATACTGGGTGTAATAGGAAAACAAAAAGACTTTTGGGAAACGACAAGCGAAAAGAAATCACGTGAAGGACCTTTCCGTCAGGTTCACTCTTCTTACAATTCCTGCCCAACGTCCAGCCTGGCCTCATGCGTCGGCGACATTTTGATTCTGCTTTGGCACTGGCTTAGCCATCCAGGTACTCAAGCCGCTTGGCTTTCTCGATACAACGGAATGTGACTAAACAGTGAACACAATCTGAAAAGGGGAGCGACGAAGCCCAATTCCCCACAAAAAAGAAAAAAAGAAAACTCTTAAATAGGCAGAGTGTGTAGCCCACCAGAAGCTCACTCCTCCACCCACAAAACCTCACAAAAGAAGCACACAAAGCAACCCGACACAGCGCCTCCAACACAGCCACCCTCGTCTCTATATTCATCCACGAAGCGAAACAACAATCTTGTTGCGATGGGATTCAATGACGTGGACCAGAACGGCTTTGCCGAAGAGGAGAGAATCCGGGACGACAGACTCACGCATGCCATCATGAACTCCAACCTGCCTCCCGACCACCCGTGGAGGAAGCGTGAGGAGGCCCGCCGCCAGCCTTCCGTCCCCTTTGTCCCGTCCAGCAGGATCGACAATGCATGCGCCCCAGCCGCGCCTCCTCGTCCGAGTGGTAAGTGAAACCCCGAAGGACGAGCCTGAGGATTCTTTGCTTTGCATCGCCAGGACAGCATCTGGAGCTTGTCAAGACGAAGTGAGAGAGTTCTGACAGTTCACCAAGGCTCAGCCAAAGTTGCCGCCGAGGACAAGCAGCATGACGCCAACCGCCCAGCGGCCAAGGAGCAGTCATTCAGCTTCGTTGAGGACGCTCCTAACGATGACGATAGCTCGTGGAGTCCTGTCTACAACTTCCACGTAGACCAAGAGGACGACCACCTGGAGAACTACGACTGTCTGCCGACTCTGGCCCAGTCTCCTGCCCCCACCGACCCCACCGGCAGCGACGCGGGAGGCAACGGCAGCAACACTCTCGTGACCAAGCCCACTGGAGAGCCCAAGGACCAGATGGGCCAGCAGCAAGACGAAAAAGCCCCGCAGGCTCCGGGCGTGGCTTTCCAGCCGGGCAAGCCCAAGAAGGATCTCGATACCGCCAAGTTTGTGAGGCGCCACCGCAAGCTCGAGAAACGGGCAAAGAAGCTCCGGCAGGAGCAGGAGGAGGAGGTTATGGGTCTTGTCAATGAGGCCTCCTATGCCCAGCGCGAACTGACCCTGACTCGTCAGTACTATGAGACCACAAACAGTATTCGGGCCGAGTTTCTAGCTCTCGCGAATCGGTGGAGCGCCGCAGAGGCGGGCCGCAACCGTTTACAATCGCTGGTTGAGAATCTGGAGGCACAGGTTGCCCAGCTGAAGACAGAGGCGAGGGCTCTGAAGCATGAGATCGAGGACTTGAAGAACTAGACGGGCTGACTGGAGGACATTCTGGGCATTATCCTCCACATACGGGCGTACGATGGCATTCAAGATTCTCCCAGACATCGATTCGTTCTCAAAGTAGAGCTTCCATATGTAGTTTTCCCATCAGGTAGCCTCGCAGGGGAACAGCAGAACCCCACCTGCTCTCTAGCCTCTCTGCTGGAAGTACAATAGAACACCCTCCCTCGCAGCTTGATCCTTGCTATACTTGACATCGTCCACGACCTTCCCATTGTGATCCATCAGCGCAATCTCCCCACCCGTGTTGCTGAGCGGGCAGCCCGGACCCACGGGGATGGGGAGCCTCCCGCCGGCTGGGATGACGGTGGATCCGGGGAGCGTGAATGAGCCGCCGTCGCCGCCGTTGGTGATCTTCCAGCTCCCGAGCTTCACGGCCGTGGCGGTCCGGTTGACGAGGTGGACGGTCTCCGGGTCGCCCGAAGTCGACTTGTTGTCCGGGCCGACGGGGTTGACGAGCGCGGCCAGGATGGACAGCTTGCCCTTGAACATGCCGTCGCTGTCCTGGCCATCACCGCCGTCGCCGCCGTCGCCACCGTCACCGTCATCGCCGCCGCCGCCGACGCGGTGCTCATCAAAGATCTCCCCAAAGCTCTTGCCAACCGGCCCGCCCTTGTCGTTCGTCTTGGGCGTCTGCACCGCAAACGCCAGAAAGATGCCCTCCCAGTGCCCCTTGCCGCCGTGGCTGCCGTCCTTGAAGTGGATGACGATGGCGCCGTCCTGCCAGACGCCGTTGTCGCGTGCCCACTGGCCCTTGTTGCCCTGGTTCATGTGGATGTCGTGGATGCCGGTGCCGTTGCTGTACGGCTCGCCAAAGAGGTACAGGTCGGCTCCCTCTTTGCCCGCCGCGACGGCCTGGTTCAGGACCGGGTTCACAAAGTCCAGGATGTCGTTGTCCGGGCCCGGCTCGGTGCCGTGCAGGAGCAGGCCCTTGCTGATGTCGATGATGCCGTTGGCAGCGCCGCGAAGGAAGTCCAGGCCCGGCGGGCCCGGGCGAGCGCCCTTGGTCTTGCCGAAGGGCAGGTCGGCCAGGGGGGCGATGAGGGGGTGCGACGCGGGTATGTCGCGGTTGAGCCAGAATACCAGGCGAGAGTCGGCCGACTTGGACTCCACGTTGACGGCGGCGTCCCAGAGCTTGCCGTTGCTCGTCTTGCCGTCGTCGAACTTGATGTGGCCATGGCCCGGCGTTTCTCTGGGGTTCCACTTCTTGATAGTAGACTTCCACACGATGTAGCCTTTGAGAGGCATGGTTGGTCTGGCTGTTGGGGATATTTAGAGGTATAAAGTAGTTGGCGGTGCGAAAACGGTGGTCAAGAATGAGCTGCCAAGACAAGAGGAATAGTGGAGGACCAAATGGACGACTCCTTGGCTTTATACAATACATTTCGCGTGCAAGGCCATTCAGCACTTTGCAAAGAGGCCGGATCACATCCAGCCATATCCAGGTCCGACAGGTGGCAGCGGCTGACGTTGGACGCGCAGCACTTCAGCCAGCCACGGGGCGCTGTCCAGAACGTTCGGGCGACGAGCTGCGCGAATGGACGAGACATGTTGTGCGACTGATGTAAGAAGGAAGCAGCCGGTCTCCTCCATGCAGCCTCCCATCAGACATCCTATGTAATAGGCTGGATGACACCCTCTGCGGCTAGCTAGCTCGAGTCTGGCAATGACACAGCCCGTCCCGGCCCTTCAGCCCATGCAAGCGGCAAATATCGGGCCTAGGCTGTGCGCGACGACAGCGTCTGCAGCTAGTCGGAGGCATCACATTCCAGAGCCCGACGCCGCTGCTCCCTCGAACCACAGGGAGTTTCGGAGGGCACTTGCACAAATAGCCTTGTTCATTGGTGCTGGATTTCCTGCATCTGCCCCGCTTGAGGGTGACCGCAGAAGCTACAGCGGGAAAATGAAACTAGACACATTGAGCTGACGCGTTCTGAGGCTCACCATGTTCGTAAAACGGTTCGCCAACGAGCTTTTCGGTAGCTCAAAGTGTGCCCCAGCGAATGGTGGCCGGAAAAGCACGATGATTACCGGCACCGCCTCTGGGGTCATACTGCAGAGTGAATTCACTGTGAATGGACGGGCCTCGAATATAAACCAATCGAAAGTAACATGATGGAAGTTGGGCTTTTTTTTTTAAGACTTATTCCATACACCTTGGTGATGAAAGTTCCAGTTTAAAAGGATAAGTGCGAAAAGACAACCCGCTTGGGTCCGCTAAAGTTGCAGCAGAGGTGGGGAGGTAGAGCTCGTTGATGATGGCCTGTCTAAGATATACATGGAGGTCAGGAACGGGCAAAAGGAAAAGGTAAAATAATCGCAAGGGATTAGGAATCACTTGCTCACTTGACGAGCGATTATTGCCCGTCGACTTTGATTTGTGTGGTCCTCGGTGGCGGCGGGTGATCGTGCTGCCTCGAGTTTTGGGAGGGAAAACAAAACGATCAAGCGGCAAGCCAACTGGAAAGCCATAATTTTGGGGAAGGTGGGGTTTCGCTAATTGGATGTTGTGGGAGCGCCAAGTTGGAGGCGGGCAGATTTGGCAAGTGCTCGTGTGCTCTTTCCCTGTCGCGGGCCACGACGGGCAACTGATCGCGTGCGCTGGTGCTCCTTCTGCCGCTCGGTCGCCCGCTTGGCCGAGGCATGGACAGAAAATGCCTCTCGATCAAGCAACACGGCACGCGACTCCTCGCTGCTCGCTCTTGGCTTCCTGCGAAACCCACCCGTTGGCGTGCGGTCGACATGTTGACTGTTCACCGCGCCTCGAGCTCCCGCCGCTCGGCGAAGACATCTGAGCCGGTCCAGCTCGCAACGTGCTCCCAGGACGGCCTCTGACTGGCTGGCCGCTGGGAAGGTCGCCGCCGAGCCCAGAAGGGACGACCCATCGAGCCAAGTGAGGCCAAGAAGCGCAGGGTGCAGTGTGCCGCCTTGCTGATTCGCGACAGTAGGGCTGGGCATTCGTCGGATATCCACCACCAGCCCACAGGCCTGGGAGGCGATCGCGACTAGACCTGTCGGGAGAGGCCAGGGGGTCGGGGAAAAGTGAAAAAAAAAAGATGGAGGAGAAAAACCAGGGCAGTGTGGGTGGAAACGATGGCGAAAAAAAAACATGCCGAGGGGCGAGAAGGCCGCAAGCCGCAGGCATCGGAACCGACCGACCAAAGCTAGGTGGGGGATGGAGCGGAGAAGGTCGACATGCCACTCCATATACAGCGAGCAACCCGGGCTATAAAGATCATGTCCTCTCTGCACTCTATCCGATCCTCTCATGTCCTAGGTCCTTCTCATCCTCTTCCATCACTCCCGCCGCTATATATATCGGGACACTGTCCTGATTCTCTCCCTTGTAGGAGAAACGGGCCCCATTATTCTCTTTCCGCTCCCTCCCGACTTGTCGTGTGCGCCTTCACGCCGCAGCCATGGCAGTCCTCGAGCAGTATAGCTGGATCATCGGGCTCATCACCATTGCCCTCTGCGCCAGCTCCTTTGGCAATGGCGCCAACGATGTGGCCAACGCCTACGCCAACTCGGTGGCGGCTCAGACCATGACCATGCCCCAGGTCGGTATCCTAGCCATGTTCACCGAGTTCTTCGGCGCCGTCGCCCTAGGCAGTCGAGTCACGGGCACCATCAAGAACAACGTTATCGACCTGGGCCGCTTCCAAGCCAGTCCGTCGGTCCTGATCCTGGCCATGGGCTGCGTCGAGATGGCAAGCGCAAGCTTCCTGCTTGTCGCCACCAAGCTTGGTTTCCCCGTGTCCACCACACAGACCGTCATCGGCGCCCTCGTTGGCGCCGGCATCGCTGCCAACTCCCAGATCTCGTGGGGCTGGAAAAAGGGTAGCGTTTCCCAGATTGCAGCCTCGTGGGTTGTAGCACCCTGCACCGCCGCTGCGATTTCGGCCGCGCTCTTCGGCACCCTCAAATTTGCCGTCCTCGAGCGCAAGAACTCTTTCGAGAAGGCCATGCGTGCCATCCCTTTCTACCTCGCTTTTACCGCCTCTATGCTGGCCCTCTTCATCACGGTCGAGGCCCCTGGAGCACCCAGTCTCGAAGATCTCGGCGCTGTGACTGCCGTCGGTATCGTCCTTGGAGTCTTTGTTGGTGTGCTGGCTCTATCCTACATATTTTTTGTCCCCTACGCCCACCGCCGGCTCGTCATGGAGGACCCCCGCATCCGCGCGCGGCACATGATTCTCGGCCCTCTGCTTCGCAAGGAGAACCCGCCCATCTTCTGGCCCGCCAAAGGTGACGAGATTGTTGTCGACCACTATGCCACCGCCGAGCCTACGGCCGACAACACCGCCAGCGCCAAGATCCAGCCGAGCGGCGCAGACCTGGAGAAGGCCAACCCCGCCGGCACCGACAACAGCAGCAGCAACGGTGCGGATGATCTGGAGAGGGGCCAGCAGCAGCAGGCCGACACGGCCCGAGTGCAGCGGTACAAGCGCAAGCCCGAGCCCGAGGAGAGATTCCTGGGCCCGACCGCACACCTTCCCATGTACAAGCCGCAGCGACTGTGGTCGTATGCAACGTACTGGTTCCTGCAGGGCGTGACGCGCGACTGCGTGACGCACGCCGCGTCGGAGCTCGAAGCCGTCCACGGCCGCGCGCACCGGTATGACAACCGCGTCGAGCACCTCTGGACATACGCGCAGATCCCGTCGGCCATGATGATGTCCATCGCCCACGGGTCCAACGACGTGGCAAACGCCGTTGGCCCCTGGGTCGCCGCCTACCAGACGTACCAGACCGGCCTCGTGTCGGAGGACACCGACACCCCCATCTGGATCCTCATCGTCGCCGGCTTCCTTCTCGGCTTCGGCTTCTGGTGCATGGGCCACCACATCGTCTCCGCCATGGGCAACCGCCTGACCCAGCTCAGCCCGACCCGCGGCTTCTCCATGGAGCTCGGCGCCGCCATCACGGTGCTCATGGCCAGCCGCCTGGCCTTGCCCATCAGCACGACCCAGACGCTGATGGGGGCCGTGTGCGGAGTGGGCCTGATGAACATGGACGCCGGCGCCGTCAACTGGCGCCAGATCGGCAAGATCGCCCTGGGATGGATCCTTACCTTGCCCTACGCCGGCCTCCTGTCGGGCTTGATGTTTGCTATGGCCCTCAACACCCCGCACTTTACCTAGGGCTTGCAGAGCGGCGGGTGGAGGGGCCTTATTGATGTCGCTCTGACGGGGAATCGAAGGCGTATGTTTTGGAGAGGTTTTTTGCAAGCATTTCAAATGACAGCCGGAGTAAAAGGAGTTTGGGATTGGGCAGCTTATTGAGAATATGTATTATCATGATGGGGTATATATTGAAGCCGACGGCAGAATCGGCTTGGCAACTTGTTTGTTCAATGCATTGGATGGCTGATCATGGAAGGCCAGCATATACAACCTTCATCCGGAATACCGTCCGGTTTCCCCTTGCCGAGGAGAGAAAGGAGGACTAGCTCCGAAGTCGGGCGGGGCGATGGGATCCCAAAACCCCTACCCCAAGACCCAGCTTCAAAGCAGTCTGATCAAATACGGGTTGGTACAGGAACCCAAGGGGATTCGAATTATACGGGGCGTTGGGAGGACGTAGTCGATTTGGCATGGCGCCCCCGTCGATGCGCCAGTACGAATACGTGAGTTTAATGCGAGAAAACACGAATCGATCAATTGAAATAGGGCCGCCTGAATTATCGACGCGACAGCCTTGATCAATCGTTCTCGGCCATTGTCGCCCCATCATGGTGCTTTTTCATCACCCTTTCAAGTACCACAGCCTCCTGATCTCTGAGTATTTCTCGCGAGAAGAGAATCATATTCACGTCACGCCAATGCGCCGACGCTACCCCTTCGAAAGCGGGGGGGTGGGCGGTGTGAGCCGGACCTCGGGGTGCGAGCCGGGCCCGCGCGCCCGTGGCTGTGGGGACGACGGGATCGAAAAGGGCCATCCTAACGCCGACGCGGACAAGACCCAAGGACTTGACCAAGGACTTTGCCGAAAAGCCTGGCCAAGGACTCGCCCAGGCGAGAGGTTCAATTTCCGAAGCAAAGATTCACAGAATCTGCAGCTTATGCTCGTGTTGCCCCGGATTCCGGCCGTTGATCGTAAGCATGTGTCTTGGCGGGCACACTTATCAGATCATCGCTGGTGTGCTACGATCTTTCAAAGGATGTATAAGCAGCGGCCTTCGTAGACCGTACTGTCCGTCATTCTCTCTCGTCCTCGTCACCCGACAGAGCTTCGGACCAAGACAACCGTTAAGCAACATAGTCCTCAACGATGCAGCCTCAGGCTGATCAACGTCGCCTCATGGCCCGCACGGGCGCCGCGACCTTTGCCCTCGCACTCCTCTCCAGCGGGGCTCTCGCCTGCGGCCAAGAGATAATCCCGCCGACGGGCCCGTTCAACGTCGGGGTCAGCAAGCACGCCATCGACTTTGTCAACCCGGGCGATTGGCTGGCCCCGGGCAACGTCACGACCTCGTTCCTCGCCACCGTCTACTACCCGACCCTGGAGGACGAGCCAGTCCCGCCGGCCCGCTACCTCCACCCGGGGGGCCTCCGCGCCCTGGCCGAGATGCTCGCCGTGGTGGCGGGCGACATTGACCACGAGGCCATCGCCAACCTGATGTCGTCCCACCTGCGCTGGGGCGCCAAGCCCGCGCCCGCCGCCGCGCTGCTGGAAAGGGTCCGACGCAACCACACGACCCTGATCTGGAGCGCCGGCGGGCGCGGCGGGCCCGCCGAGATGAGCACCATGCTACTCTCGGACCTGGCGTCGCGCGGCTACGCCGTCGTGGGGCTGGACCACCCGTACGAGCAGCCCTTTGTCTGGTACCCGAACCCGTCGGCCCCGGGGGGCGGCGGGCCCCTCGACCCGGGCGTTACGCTTGTCGCGGGCCCGCCGTCGACCCTCGACCTGTCCGAGGACCTCGTGCGCGCCATCTACGGCACGCGCCTACGCGAGATGAAGCACATGGTGGAGTCCGGGTGGCCCGAGCTGGTGAAGAAGCAGGGGTGGCCGTTCGCCACCGACGGCATGGGCCTGCTCGGCCTCTCGCTCGGCGGCGCCACGGCCCTGGGGACGCTGCACGACACATCCGAGGCGCTGACCCGGGCCGGGCTCAACCTGGACGGGGGCATGCAGGCGCCGCCGGGCCAGGACGTGGGCAAGGGCCGGCCGCAGCTGCTCTTCGGCTCCTGGTTCCACGTGTCCGCGGACGACCCGGCCCCGGCCCCGGGCGCGTGGGTCGACCAGACGTGGGAGGACTACACGGCAAGCCAGACGGGCTGGTGGCGGCGCACGCTGACCGACGATTACGGGCACTGGGATGCCCTGGACGCGGCCTACTGGAAGGATCTCGTCAAGCACACCATGCCGGCCAACATCGTCGGGAGCATCCCGGGCGCCAGGGCGGTCGACATCACACGCCGGACCGTGGCGGCCTTCTTCGACAAGTGGACCAGGGGCATCGAGGATGAGGCTGGGCTGTTGGATAATCCGGGGAGGGTGTTCAAGGAGATGAAGCTGGTTGCCGGGCAAGATGGGAAGTAGGAACGGATGGTATGATGGAGACTAAAGCTGCGGCGAGCGAGCCCACCGCGCATCCCTGGATGGGTTCTAGTTCGAATTTATAAAGTCGCAACAGTTTATCTCAACGCCTCCGCGTGGCGGCCCGAGTTCATTCTCGTAGGTCCCCGTTGCCCACCTTTCTCCCGTTACGGTTGGCTGGGCCCAAGTAGATTCGAGTAGAGGCGTCAGCTTTCGGAGGCGGACCTTCTCCAATCTTCTCTTAAAACCCCCGTAGCTCGAAACAAGAAAATACCGAACCAATTCTCGGTGTCGTGTGTTTTGTATTGCGGGCCTGATTTCCTCCTTTCGCCGCTTTAGCGGGGTGATTTAAGTTCCGCAAACATAAAGGAGTTGTATCAGTAACATTGTCGCCATTGGTGGCTTACAGAAAAGGAGCAGCTAGCCCTGTCCCCGAGGAACGACACCTTCACTACACCAGGACCTGCTTTTCCTTTTTGAGCTTCTCGACGAAACTGACGGGAACCCTCAGGACCTGCGCCACAATGTCGGGCGGCGTCAGCGCGAGCCACTGCGTCAGCGGAATGTCGGCCACCCGGTCCGACTTGTAAATCTCGATCCACACCAGGTCCTCCGTGTCGGATGTGTTCTCGATGTAGTGTCTTTTACGGAAAGAGGTCAGCATTGTTGTGTACCGTAGGAGGGTGGTGTCTGGACTCACCCGGAATTGTCTGGAAAGGCAGCCGTGTCGCCCGGCTGGAAGTCGAACGTGCGCGAGTTTGCGTTCCCGATAAAGACGGTGGCGCGGCCTGTCCCTTTGTGGAAATAGAGCCATTCCTCCGCCTGCAGAAACGGAAAAAAGTCGCCGTGCCGTCGTCAGCCGATGCCCAACGAAAAAGGAGGGGTTAGCTGCATACATTCGGGTGCCAGTGGAGCTCCCTCAAGCCCTTGGGCTTGAGCGTCACCAGGGTGGCCGCGATGGTCTTGCTGGCTGGGAAGTTGGTCGAGTCGATCTTGCGGAGCTCGCCACCGCCGCCCGGCACGGCCTCGGCCTTGTGCTGTAGCGTGCGATACGCAAACGACGCGTCACCCTGCAGCTTCCCTGCTGCCGCCGTCACATTGCGGGTGCTGACGGTGCCGTTCTGGATGTTGGGGTTCGTGGCCGGCAGGCTGGCGAAGACAGACTCGTCGACGCCAAAGTTGCGCGCCAGAATCCTGCGCGGCGTCTTGGCCAGCCAGTCGTCGACGTTGAAGGTGGTTCTTGTTTTTTTCCAACACGATCAGTCTTGGTGACGAGCTCCTCGGGGGGAAATGGGAGGAGGTGGAGACGGATCACGCACCCAACCTTGTCAAAGTCCGGGTCGTCAAACACCAACAGGTACTCGCTGTCCTCGGCGATCCCCTGGACAGTATGCCCGACTCCTTTGGGGAAGTACCAAATGTCGCCGTAGTTCAAGATGGCGTCCTCGTATCTCCCAAACTCGTCCACTGCAGATATTCTGATCTGTCCTGCGTAGATGAACCCCCATTCGGCCTGTTTTGGGCCAGGAAAACGCAGGTCAGCCACTACCTTCTCCCAGCAGTTCCCTGATGGCTATCAGATCCAGTCAATCTAAAGCAGCGCAAACATACAACTCGATGCCAATGCAGTTCCCGAATGGCACCCCGCTTCAGGTGCTGCTGCGCCGCGGCGACGTCGTGGCTCTGCGGCAGGTCCTGGATGACCTGCTGCCGCGACCAGCCGCCGGGGAATATCTTGGTCTTGGAGGCGGAAAAGCTCCATTTGAGATTGGGCACTGTGCCGCTGTCGGTGGGCTGCTGGCCCAGGTTGTCCGGGTTCTGCACGTCGAGCGCTCGGTTGGTCCCGCCTGGGAGTGATGCCGACCGACTATGGATTAGCGCCTCCTCCGCCGCGTCGTTTGCGGGCGGAAGCCTGGCCTGGATGGAAGCAGAGGGTTCTCACCGACGATCGGGGCGCCTCGGCCATCGGCGCTGATGGGCTGTCCGTTGATGAACTGGGCGTCCCTCCTGATCAGCTTGGCGTCAAGCTCTCCCTGGGCAGCCACAACGCTGCCGAGGAGGAGGACAGGCGCAAAAAGAACGGGGTGCATGTTGGCGGTGATGGAATATGGCGAGCACGTTGCCTAGGGAGATCTAATCCGATTTAATGTGTCTAGCTGAGAAGTAGACAGTACAGCTCCAGCCCTCGGCCGGCCCATCCCTCAATTATATAGGTAGGTACCTCTGTGGAAGATCCATCGCGATCGCCCAAGAAAAACAGACGGATCACTCAGCATTCGCTCACAACATATTTGCTTAAGATGACTACATCGATATGTCAACCAATCCTGGTTGACAGAGGTTTGTGATACCATTCTACCATCGCATTATCGCACGGGAGGTTGCATGCATTGGCGTGCGGGGACGCCCTCCCCCATGCCCTAGACGATGTCGTGATCGTGGGGGTTGCAGCTCCAGCTGGCACGCAAGATGGGTGGTTTCTCAACCACTCCTAACCACCACCCACCCCCTAAAGAATGGGTGTGCGTGGAAATGCGGAAGGGCTGCACTGCTAACCTGCCGCATTTCAAAGGGCGAGTTTAGTATTTATAAATTGCACCTCGCGCAGATGGCAGTCTTCCAGGATTGAGGGAGTATAATGTTGAGACTATATGTAAGGCGTTTGTTCGTAGGCATATCACCTAACAGCCCCAAAGAGGCTTAACTCCGGAGGAATGCAAATGCCGACTTCTGAGGGGTGAATCGGATCTCTTTTGCATGGGAAAGAAAGAGATCTATCTGCCAAGGGCCGGTCAAAGGCCGGCCCTTATATACACGCCTGGGCTACCACGTGCTAAGCCCACAACACCTATCGGATACACGTGCACATAGCTAATCCAACAGCTTTCATGTTACTATTCTTTTTTTAAAAAGAAAAAATCTTTTCCTTTATCTTTTAGTTTTGTTTCCTTTTTTGTTTTCTTCCTATTTTCCTTTTATTTCCCTTCCTATCCCTTTTACGACGTCTTCCTGTTTTTCTTCCTGTTCCTCCTCTTTTACCTGGTTACAATACTTTAACCCCCTCCCGCTGGCCCATCTCGTTCGACGCTCATCAAGGCTCCTGGTACCAAGGCGTGTCAGGGTACCACTCCTCCAATGACACCCGCCTCCATTCCCTACATGCGGCACGATAGTCATCCACAGACAGCAGGGTCTCGTCGGAAAAGTATCCGCCGTTGGCGGGGTCGCTGGGTAGCCGGAAGTTGGAGGTCCGCGTGCTCCTGTCCATCACCACGGGGTCCGGGAAGTACTTGGGGTCGAGTGGTAGGCGGGGGAAGTCGGGGACGCCGCCGTCGTGGAAGAGGTCGAGCAGCTGCTTGGCAAAGGCCGTGCGGTCCTCGCCGCCCTTAGCCAGGCAGGCCAGCGCCGCAAGCTGCCAGCCCAGCGGCGTCGGCCGCGCCTCGTCGCCCAGGGACTCGTCCCAGTCCTCAAAGTGCTCGTCTGGCTCCAGCCACGTGAGGATGGGCTCGTCGATCAGCGTCTGCCCGCGACGGCGTGTGAGCATCCAGATCGTCGTCGGGTAACCCAAGGGGTTATCTTTGGGGACTGGGCAGTAAATGGCGCCCGCGTAGTCGCCGAACTTGTAGGGCCTGCACGCCCAGTGCGGGGCCGTCAGGTGCCGGTATGCAGGGTCATCCTCATCAACGTCAGACTTATCGTCTTCATCGACGTCAGGGTCATTCGCATCCCCTTCTTCCTCAGCTTCGCCTGTCCATGGCCCCCTAGGCTCCCAGGGCCCCCAGCGCCGGTCATTATCCCAGCTGCCCCGGCGGCCCTGGGTGAGCTGCTCGAGGCTAGTTATCGTTTCCGCTTCTTCACCGTCCTCGGGCTGACCGACTTCCGCATCTTGATCGACCTCCACGCCGTCGCCCTCTCCATCGCCGGCTTCACCGACCTTTTGGTCGGCTTCTTCGTCTTCTTCTTCTCCTTCGTCGCCAATGACGTGATGAAGCAGTTCGCAATACTCTTCGCTGACGAACGGGTGGCAAGTCCGATCCCGAATTTTGAAGCTGTCCCACGGCGGTAGCTTAAAAGGGAATCTGATATGCCCAGCGAAGTCGGGGATGCCTTTAGATTCTCCCCGATACACGAGGGCCCCGTCCTCGACGACGACGAGATCCTCGACCCTCGGCACGTCTTCCTCGAACAGTTTTCGCATAACCTCCACCGTGGTCTTGCAATTCTCGAGCCGGAGCGTCCGGATACTCCCGCCGTGGCCGATGAGCACGTAGGCGAGGAGAGACGGGAGCTCACTGTTTTGCTCGTAGTGCTTGATTGTCAGCTCCTTGAGGCAAGGGGAGATGGGGACGAGCCCGTACATCAGCATGATGCGTGTCATGGGCTTGTGCGCCGCTTCGTCCGTAAAGTGCCAGGCCTTCCAGTCAAGACACAGCTTCTGCAAATGCATGGCCAGTTGAAGGTGGTCCGAGAAGTCATCGAGGGCATTCCACCAATTCCCGACTCGCCCCTTGGTCAGAGCAAGTGACAGTTCCCGGACGTATTTCAGCGCTCTGTGGGGGTATTGACTCAGAGACCTAGCGTATTCGCTGTCATGCACGGGATACTCGTTCTCTTCCCAAACAAGAACCGGATCGATCCCCGGCGGTCCGGTTCCCGGTGTGCCCGCCACACGCCCTATGACGGAGATCGCGAGTATTCCGTACAGTCCGCCACCTCCGTCGGGCTTGTTGGAATACCGCATGTAGCGTGAGCGGACGCCGGCCGTGTTGCCAGGCGTGAACTCGAAGCCCGAAGGGCTCGTCCATATAACTCGATCATGAGGCATAGTTTGTACCTCTACCCTCGTAAGGCAGGGCATGGCCAAGATGGCCTTGCAGAAGGGGGTTATGAAGTCACGGTTTGCCCTGAGGCTCGCCGTGAGATCTAAATCTAGTGCCGGCATCCAAAACACCGGGTTAGAAGGGCGCTTCATCAGTGCCGTCGCCAGCTCCAAGCCCGTAACGTTCAAATCATCCCCGTAAGCTGCGAGCTCCCTCTCCTCTTCTTCATCGATGTTGGGAATGTCGGGGGTCATGGGCGACAGCTCGAGCCACCGGAAAGTCCTGGCGGAGCCAGACAGGCGGGCTGAGCCCGCGATGCTCAGGAAATTCCTTCGGTCTCTCCAGAGAGAAGAGCATACGACCGTCCGGAAAAGGACGGGGATGATGGCGTCGTCCAGCCTCTTGCACACGCACCGCAGCGACTTGAGGTCCGAGTTCGACAAGCCGCAGTCGCTGCCGATGATCATTTGGATGATCTCATTGCTCAGCCTGTCGGGAAAGTACACCCGGGCCGCCTGCTGCCCCCACTCCTGTGATGGGGTTCCGGGCATGGCCGGAATGGGCGCGGCTGAGCGCCTTGCAAGGTATGCGGGGTGCGGAGTGCTAGACGCTAGACAATCCCGAAAAGCCCGAACAGAGATTCGAAGCTGTTGGTGTCAGGGCGCGAGGCTTGCGAATGGTTCGCCGGTGGATAATCCGCTCCGGAAACTCACGGCGTCCATCATCGAAAGAGGGATATATACACGGGGCAAAGACAACCCATAAAGCAATAGTTGCATACGGCCTCATCCGTGTTTCCGCCATTGTCCCTCAGTGCTGTCTTTGTCTTCGTGGATATCAAAGGCAATGGACAACAACGGTGAAGATGTGAACATGATTGGTATTAACCATTGTCATTAAAGCCGGGAGCGTTGTCAGCCCTGCCAGGGGCCCCGAGTAATCGAGGCAGCCACCCAGGGAACTCCCGGCTTGGCAAATGACATGACAACAAAGGCGGCGACTGGAGCTTGGTGCGGCTCTTTGCTCTACCACAATGTGACGGACTCCGCTATTCGTCAGATTTGGCTTGCAACAGCCCTTAACAGGAGTGGAGACGGCGAAACACCACCTACTTCGTCCATTATAACGCCTGCATCCCAAGTGGCGGTCAACAGCTTGACGCAAGAGGCCCGCTTGGCTTAGTGGTAAAGCGTATCACTAGTAGTGTTCTGGAACATCCAGATGTGCGGTGATGATAAGATCGTCAGTTCGATTCTGACAGTGGGCAACATTCCTCTCTGTTTACTTTTTGCAGGTGCCGGTGATGGTAGGTGGTAGTGTTTGCTCTGCAAGGGCGATCAAGACGGACGTCTCTGGCAATCTTTGTGTGCTGAATTTTGGCAGCTCCGGCGTCTCATTTGTGGCTAGCGCTAAGGGTGAATTAAATACATACAAGTAGAATCGAAAATAACAAAGGGAAGTCCAATTAGTAGCGGTAAGCGGATAACCGTGTCCGGCCTGAACTTTTTCCGAGGTTGCTTGAGGTGATGTGATGCAGGTTACGTTCACCGCAGGTCCAAATTTTATGCGAACGAGGTGACCGCAAAGAGGAAAACATCCAGTGAAATGGCGGTCTCGGAGGCTGCATATGTCCAACGGAGCAAAAAAAGAAATCTATGCGGGGCGATCTGGGGAGAGGCACATGGAAAGGGACGAGTGGATGCATTAAAAATCAATTGCCCAGATGGTGCCCAATAGGGCAGAGGAAAGGGATCTCGGACAGCCCAGTAAAGATTAACGCCACGCCAATGCTATGATGCGATGCCAACATCGGTTGGATGCAGAGGAGACGAAACGAGACGCAAGTATGCCTCGAACGAGCGAGGGATGCCAGCAGGAGCCACAGCTCGATTAATTCAAAAAAAAAAAAAATGCCCCCAAAAGGGAGCACTGCGTGACAAAAACGGGAGCTGAGCGAAAACAGGAATCGCGGTGGCAGAAAAATGGGGAAGAGGACGAGGAGAAGCGAAAGAATGATGAAGCTCAAGCGGCAACGGCCGTAGCCGCAAGCCCCTCGTACGCCCTGTCCACAGTCCGGCCCCCCATTCCAGGAAGGGCGCGGAGCTGCGCTAGGTTGACAATTTCGCCAGCCGCGGCCGTCGGGGCGTCGCCGTCGGCCTCGCCCATGGCCAGGTTGTCGACCAGGTCCTTGGCCTTCTTGGCGCCAAAGCCGGCCAGGCTGCGGATCAGGACCGGGTCGCGCGAGTTGACAATCTCGAGCAGCTTCTTCTTGCGCGGGGTGAGGGGGCTATCGCGCTCGTCGTCGCCCTCAACGCCGACCTCGGGGTCGTCGGTGCGCATCTTGCCAGCCTTGGTCCGAGGCTTTCGGGCCGCCTTTTTCGAGTGCTTGCCCGTGCTGGACGCGGCCGTGCCACAGTCGCCATCCTCGTCCACATCCGCCTCGCCGTCAAAGTCGGGGTCAGCCTCAACCTCCGAGTGCGCTGCCGGCTTCCTGCCGCTCCGCTTGCGTGGAGATCCGCGCGACTTCCTCCCGGCGCTGCTGAACGCCGTAGCCTCGCCTGCCTCGCCCTCTGACTTTGCAGCAAGCTTCACCCGCATCCGGTTGATCTTGGCCATCAGCTTGGCTTGGCCAGGGAAGAAAGGGAGGGCTGCCTCATAAGCGCGCAGAGCGCCCTCGTCGTCGCCGTGCTCTTTGAGCTGGCGCGCCTGCAGCAGGAATCGGAGACCCTCAGAACGGCTCTCGTCCCCACCGCCAGCTCTGCCGCTGCTCGAATCCTGTATCTTGCGTTCCAGATCGTCGAGCCGCTTCTGGACAGCCTCGCTGATCTCGTTACCCAGGGGTGTCGGTACCGCGTTGGCCGGGGTAGGCAGCGCTTGTTCTGCTTCAGCGGCCGCGCGGGCCGCCAGAACTTCTTGGACCTTGCGTTCAACCATAGCCTCGATCTGCTCGGCAGTTATGGATTGCACCGCGGGTTGCGGCGGGGCGAGCGCTACGGCGGGCGGGCGAGACGGTAGTTGCGAAGGGCGGACGAGCTTGGAAGGACGTGGCAGGGAAAGCTCAGCGACTCCAGGCTTGCGCTTGATAGGGCTTCTGGGGATCGAGGTGTTGGCCACGTTGGTAGTGTTCACGGGGCGTGTCGCCAGAGCTGTGGGCAGCGATGTTGGCTTAGAGACCTTGACAGGGCTCTGGTAGACTGCAAACGCCTTGGCGGGCTTTTCCTTCTCTGGGGGCTTGTCAGCATTCGCCTCGGCTTGCGCCTTAGCCGCAGCAGCAGCCCCAGCTGCCAAGTTGTGCGAGTTGGCCAGCAGCTTCAGTGGCTGGCGCACCACACCGGTGCCGGACAGGCCCGAGTTGATGCGGGGGAACTGTTTGTAGACGACCTCGTTCTCGATCTCGCGCACCTCGATGCGCTTCGCACGCGAGCTTACGTTGAGGCTGCTGAGCGTATCGAGGTGGTAGCTCCTGAGAGGGGCAAGGTTGAGAATCATGACCGTGATGCCGTTGTTCTGTCCCAAAGACAGAATGCGCGTCATCTTGGACTCGCGGTAGGGGATCCGCTTGCTACCATTTCCGATGGCGTCCACACACTTGGCCAGGACAAACAGGCTCTTGTTGATCGCAGCCGACTCGACAAGGCGCTCCTTTCCATTGTCGGTCCGCCGGTTATCCTCGGACCCGGCAAGGTCAATGGCCGAGGCAGTGCTTTCACGCACGGTGCCTTCAGCGGCCGAGGTTTGCGTCACCTTGACACGCAGGATCGCGTGGCTCCGACTGCTGTGTGCGTTGAGTTTGGTAGCGGCTGTGACACGGTTGTTGTTGGCCTCGATGTAGAGCTTCTCGAAGTCCTTGAGGTCGACGCACGAGCGTTCCGATAGGCCGACAACCTGTGTCCTGTTGTCCTTTTCCCGCAAGGGCAGGCCAGTCGGTGTGCGCTTCTCGGGCGGCTCGAGCAGGTCGTAGACCTTATCGTTGTAGATCTCGTAGTACGACAGTGCGACCTCGACGTTCGTCTCGCCATCGGTGTCCTTCGCGATCTTCTTTCCTCGGCGGAAGATTGAGCTGAGCATGCGGGGGATCACGCCGCGATCGGCCAGCTTAAGTCCGCCGCGCATCGTGTGTGTCTTGCCAGTGCCCGTGACGCCGTACGCGAAGATGGTGACATCGAGGCCTTGGAAGAGGGACTTGACGTGAGGCGCGACTGTGGGCGAGGACAATGGGATGAGTTCAGGTCGCTCCGACGCGCCAATGGCTGGTTTGGTGTCTTCCAAGAGCAAAAATGAAGGGTCAGGACTTACTCTCGGCTGTGAACAGCGTCTCTTGGCCGGTCGACATGTCGTAGACGCTGTTGAAGGTGAAGGAGAACTCCTCAGTGTCGTTCTTGGGGTTCGGGATCTTGACGACATTGTGCGGTCTGCCGTCCTCGCCGCCGTCGGCGTGGACGATGATGTCCTTCTCGATCTCCTTCTCCAGGAGCGGACGTATCCTGGCGACGACGCGTACCGACATCGTCGCGGGTCTAAGCAGTCGTGCTAGCAGCTAGCATGAACCTTCGCCTCTATAGCAACGCGATCCGAGCAGGAAAACACGAAAAAAGAAAGATGACATGAAAGAAAGCGGTGGAAGCACCCCGACGCGTGTATCAATCCCGCTCCCGAAGCAGTGAATCGCGCCTCCAGCTGACAAGTGACCAGTCTGGATCGTCCAAGTCGAAACCTTGTTCCCAATAATGCAAGGTGAGTTTGGTTCAAGTTCAATTGCAACCCCGTGGTCAGAGCTTTATCCTCGACTCGCTCGGGCGGGCCCGATGTTGTTGCAACCCCTGGAACGGGGCCCACCCAAGTTGCCAGCAGCAACCGCCACCGCCGCCACCTGCGGCAAGCGGCCGCCCAACGTTAGCGCGCGCCTGGAAATCAAACGACGGCTAGGCCCCTGAAGCTGGACGGCCTGCGCGCCAACCGACCCGTGCCGACCAGAAAATCGCCAGTTTTGGTCCCTCATCCCTGCACGTCAACATCACGTGGAGTTCAGGCGGGGATACCCAGAATTTTTCCACTGGCGGCGTGCCTGATCTCGTCATAGCTGCACCACGCTTTCATGATCGGACCCAACACCTTCAGAGCCCCAACGGCTTCCACCATGGCGATGCGCGGTCAATTGCCGCTTGCCAGGCCGGCTCAAATCTGGCGACTGCGCTCGAGGCCGCAGTCCGTCTGCAGGCAGTGCCGTGCCATCCAGATCGCTACTGCTCCATCAGCCCAGACACCCCAGTCTGGCGGGGATGTCTTTGGAGCTCCCGCAAAGAGGGATGCGGCTGGTGAGCTTGCCGGGCGTCGCCTTTCTGTCCCATGCACTGCCCTAGTCAAAACTAATCTCGGCCCTGCACTTCAGATGCTCGATTCGAAGTCATCGGCTCGCCATACTCGCTCCTCTCCGTCACTCTCTCGGCCTCACAGAAGCTCTACACCCGAAGAGGCACGCTCGTCTCCGTCGCAGGCAAGGTCGAAAACGTACGCCAGTCCTCTGCTGAACTCCGTCCTCGTAGCTCCAAGACGGCAACGCAGCTGACCTTGGCTCTAGGCCCAATCCACCCTGTCTATCCTCTCCCCCGTCCGCCGCGCCCTACTTGGAGTCCCATTCCTCTACCAGCGCATATCCTCGACGACTCCCATCACGGCGCTGATAGGCACCAAGTCGCCCAACACGACCTTCTCGATCCTCCACCTTGATGGCACCACCGACTGGATGGTTGCACAGCGCAACGCCCTCCTGGCATGGACGGGACACACCCTCACACCCTCGCCCCGTATCCAGCGCGGTCTCTCACTTGCCCACTGGGGCAGCACCCAACTTACCGGTCGTGGGCTCGCTGCCCTTTCCAGCCCAGGCCAGATCTACGAGGTCACCCTGGCCGATGGAGAGGAACTGATCGTACATCCGAGCCACGTTGCCGCCTACTCTCTCAGTCGCAGCCCTCCTTTACCGTTCCGCCTCCGCAGTAACCGCCCGCTAAACCTGCAATCCCCGGCGCTCCCTGCGTCGCTGGACCCGCGATCACTCGTGCCGGAGCGCTTAGCTCACTTTGTGGCTACCATGCGCCATACCGAGACCTACAAGGGGCTAGCGCGCATGTTGCTGGCGCTACGCACTGCCGCACGCCGCTCTATATGGGGCGACCGGTTGTTCCTGCAGTTCCACGGCCCGACCACAATTCTCATGTCGAGCCGCGGCGTACGGGTTGCGGATTCTTTGTCTTCTGAGGATGTCAACGAAATTTCCGATGCCGAGGCAGGCGTTGTGGCCGGCGCTATCGAGCTGTCGCGCAAGCCGGAGCCAACCGTCGAGTCGCCGGCTGCCTCCAGGGAATCCAAGCCCGTGGCTATCCATATAGCCAATATCGGAAGGGATGGCAAGGCCAAGCTCGAGGAGGCCAAGGACCTGAGTGACTTTGTCCGCTGAAGCGCTCGGCAGTGTCCGGAGTAACTTGGCGCCAGCCCGTCCATGTACATAATATCTTCCCCGTTGTATCAATACCCGCCTATATGGCCAGTGCTGCACAATTCTAGGACGAGAATTGCGTTCAAACTCAAACCCGTGTATGGGGTGTGGCGGTTTAGATGCCAGCTGGGGCTGCATTTCCAGGAGAGGATGTGGCAGGGCCGTTTGCGGTGCCATACTATATCATCGGTGCATGCCTCGACCAAGATTCTATCTAGAGTTTTAGGACCTTAGATTCCACAGGACATATTCCCGGCCAAATACCATAGCACCATAGCATACTTCGGTGGAACTCTCGAAAGACGACGACCCTGAGCCTATGACAGGCTGATAGCCTCTTCCGAGAATGGTGCTCGCCTTTCCTGGCCCAGGGGCAGTCCCCGCCCCGCCAACAAACCCACAACGGCCGTCCCATTGGCTTTCTCGTATGGGGATTGGTACTACAGCAAGCGAACGCATGTCTTGTCTCCGCACTAGACCTGGTTCGGCTAGTCGTCGCTTCCAATGAGTTCATATCAACGATAGATGCATCAAGCCTTTCGGTACTTACTACATATTGGGCAAACCCAACGATGACTAGCACATACGACCATACCCACTGGAATATACGGGATCCCGTCCGCTCTCCCCTA